TCCGCCAGGCCCAACAATTTAAGCGTGCTGCGAATTGACGACCCCATGTCCGCTTAACCCGAAAGCGTCTTGCCGTGAATATATTTAATCATCTGAGCCTTAATCAGCGCAAAGCAGCGCAATTCAGCGCAATTCGGCGCCGTGCAGCGCATGCAGCGCATTGCGGCGCACTCCAGGAAACACAGCGCATTCGGCGCAAATCGGCGCATTCGGCGCAATTCGGCGAATTCGGCGCAATGCAGCGCAATTCGGCGCAATGCATGGCAGTGCATGGACCATCTCGAGCCGCTCCTGCGGCTGACGAAGCGTCAGCGTCAGAATTGGGCATCTCTGCTTGTCAAGTTCCTGCATAGCCTTCAACCAGCATTTTCCGAACAGAGCTGCTTGCCACAAGCTGGTGGTTGATCATCTGAAGCTCCTCTGTTTTGCGGATGACGATCCCAGTCGAACCTACGCAGATGAAAAGCGGCCTTTCCGGGCCTTGTCGGACTCCCCGGACTTTGAAGAGGTGAAGAAGCGCATGCCAAGCCTCTTCTGTAGCTAACGTCTGTCTCACAAGCATCACAATGCACAGCGCTGCGCAAAAACAGTACGGTGCAAAGTAGCAGTTCAATATCGCCAGGTGTGACGTTGCTTTAGGTGCTTCTGCACCGAGACGGTACGCGGCCCGACCACGCGAGCAAGAAGGCCGATGCCAAAGTATTGCTATTCCGCTTGGCTTTATGTTTGTGAGTTGTCATGAAAAATAGGAATTGGTGGAGGGCTCTTTCCTCTTCCGGCCGCTCAAATAGTTTTTGTGCAAACTCGGTCGTGGTTGTTGCGAAGTTTCCTCAGGTTTGTTCATTTAACAGAAGGAGATGCAGGCCGCACCTGCATTCATTCTGCGGAAAAAGGGTTTTCGGCCCGAGCCCCTCTTAGACTGATAGTTGCAAATGCATCATGGCCTCACAGCCCCAGCTGCTTGCCTTGGGTTCGTGGCTTGTTGTCACTCCCCCGAAAGCATCTCCAAGTGGTTTCCGCCGCCTCTGGGGGTGGGCTTTTGGATCGAAGCCATCGTCAGGTTTTGATTTTGCTCAGTGGATGAACGGTCTAAGAGCTACTCGCATATGTATACTGCTGGCAAAGATGTGAATTCCAGCAGTGCAGTGCCCGCTCCTGTTCAGTAGCTTTGGACGCTTGTGACTGCTTGTTTTTGTGCCCTAGCCATGAGGCTCTCTGATTCCACAACACGCAACTGCACAAACATTTGCTGCAAAACATGTGTGATCAACAAAGTAATTATGTCAGTCTGTTATGATGTACCTGCTTGCAAGAAAAAAAGCAATCTGCTTTTTTTCGTTTCGCTCGTGTATTCAGGGTCTTAGAGGCTTGATGTCGAATATGACGGATTTTACCTGATTGGTGGTCATCTTCGCAAATGGCCGCCAGACAGCAGATGTTGCAGTTAATCATCATGAGATGTCAACCGCATGACTTGAAGATGCTCTTCTCGTGCGTGTAAGGTAGCAAGTGTGTCATTGCCGCGGAACCAACTATGTCCACGAGCAAGCACGTGCAGAGGAAGAACGGCAGGACCCTCTCACAGGACGGTTGCGCCGAAATGATTCGAAATCGAGTGAGGACACTTGGGTAACAATGTGATGTCCATTTGTTTTGTGATTGGGCGGCATGTGGGTTGCTTCGCCAGGCAAGCGCTGCCTGTACAACCATTCAGAAGTTCCACCTGGACTGTGCTGGCAGCTTCCACTGTCATGGGACCTTTGAAGCGCCGCAGGGAAGGCCCATTGGCCCATTGGCCCATTGGCCCATTGGCCCATTGGTGTACATCGCTATCGAGAATAGGTTGCCTTGGCTTCTTCGTGCATTTGGCTTTCAGGCCGACCTCTCCAAGCAGCATCTGGCCAGGTTCCAGCGTTGCTTGTTCTAGCTGCATCAGGGCGAATCCTTTGCAACACGTTGTCAGGTCGGAGGGGCTGTTGCCATTGACCAGGACAATTGAACGGGCGAGACAGCTTCAAGCGACGTGAGTATTGAATGCACCAACGCATGAAAGGAGATGGTTTTGCACGGCCCACAAGACGATGACCAGCCGAACCTCAGCTGTTGCACGAGTTGTGTGTTGAAAAGGCCATTTCAAAAAAACAAAGAGAGCAAGAAAACAGTTGCAGGCTTACCATTCTGCGATATGGCTTCTCGGCGGCACATCACCTTCTCGGTCCAATATAACAGGTAGTAGACCTTCGTCCAGGGTCGTTCGTCCATGATGCCATGTGAAGCCAGGTGTCACTAATGCTTCTATGCTGCCATGGACTCAAGCAAAGCTTCAAAGTCTTCATCCGGAGGTGGTGAAGCGAAAGTTGTCAGCATTGCCGGATTGCAAGGGAGACATACGCATGACAGGTCAATTTTTCGGGTATGGTTATGGCCCAAGAGGCGTGTTGCAGCACTTTGTGTTGTCTCCACGGGAGGTGCAGCTTCAAAGCTTTTGTGGGGCAGGCAGTCAACGGTGATCCAGACCAGCTGGCGATTTTACTCAATAGGCTTGAAGCAGAAGAGGCTCTTCAAGCACATCCGTTTTCATGCAACGCGAGCTTGAAAGTTTGTGGCTCGGGCGAAGCTTGAAAGCTTCGTGCGCAAAAGGTGGACTTTGTGATAGCCCCTGCAGAAGATGTTGGTGTCCCAGTTGGAGTTGTTGATGTTGGGGTCTTTGTCCATAAAGCTGTGTTGCTAGATGAGGTCGCGTTGGGGCTCCCACAAGGCCTCGTTGCTGCTGCTGTCCTACGTGAGGCCTCTGTCTGCGTGTGTGTGAGAGTTGAACAAGTGATATGACACGTTATAGTGCTTGGTAGGATCCTCGTGATGCTCTCGTGCCTGCCTCAAGGGGCCTCGGGCAGTTTGATGACCTGTAGACCGATGACAGTGTGCGGTCATACGAAGTGTGAAGAAGTGAAGAAGGTGGTTCAGCCGCAGTTGGCACCGGTCAGATCCCTCGCGGTCTGGGCCCCAGCCTTCCTGAAGTCCGGGTGTCAACTCTGGCCATGGTTAAGTCGCTTGAGCACTGGAGGAACTTCCCTCTGGCAGTAAAGTCTGCGTGTCTGGTTCGCTGCGTCGGATGCAGATAGCTGCCAGGTGCACTTCGGATCACTACTCTAGCGTTGCGCCAGTAAGAAGCGTGCAGAAGGCATCAAATTGAAATGGGGCAGGTTTCCTATGCTTTGTGTCGAAGAAAGTCTTGAGCTCGGAGTGTTCTGCACCCCGTGGACACGATGTGCACCAATCATAGGCGACAGACAGAACCATGAAGAATGCTGCCTTAGGGGTCGCTTCTGTATTTGTGAATGCACCATGTGAGACTGCCAGGCAGGCTGCCCAGTCAGAGCATCCTTCGACGTTTGTACAGTCTCGATTACGATGCCGTTGTTGCAGCAATTGCTGGCCTGCCACGCTGGCTTGATTGAAGAATAGGTTGCGTAGTACGGCAGCTTGCAAGCAGCTAGCTGCTTCAACTGCTTCAGTTCCCCCCCCAAGTGGTTGAAAAGCAAGCTGACAGGCAAAGGACGGGCCTGCATATGTCAGACGAAGTCTCGCCGCTGGACGTCGATGAACTCATGCCCGCTTTGTGCCAAGGCCGACTCGAGCATTGCTGAAGTCATTGAAGATCGAGCCTTGAATTACATTTGTGTAGGAATGTCCTTTAACTCCAAGGCTCGATTATTGTTTCAGATTTCCAAAGAGTGCAGATGTGAGTACCCGGACCCAGTTCCTGCATCATCCTGCTGCGCATTGACAAAGTCCCGCGAAGGAGTACCGTACATCCTGCACTGGGGCTTAGAGCTGGGAATATCTTGTGTCTTTCATACCCTTCAAATTTCCAGCCGGGACCTGGGTTTTGGTTTAACTCGCAACACAAGATTCCCCTGACAATCGGTCGATACGGACACTGCTTGCTTCCTTCTTCCGATTTCTTCCGTGAGATGCTGAGCATCAATAATATCTTTACACAGATCCCTGTTCTTTTTTGCAAGTTCGGCACTCAGAGCCTGCGAAGCGCAAGAGGTCTGTCGACATGGTGCGCTTGACTTGTTGAGGTGTTTTTTGCAGGGCACCCCAGTTTTCGGCTGCCACATCGCCTCTTCCGCTTCTCTTGTCCAGCATGTACAACACGTGTAGATGTTCTGATGTTTTAATTTGTGGGTGTTGCCATGACGCAGCAAAAAAAAAGGCTTGCAGCCAGCAAAATAGAAGTTGGCTAGAGTATCTGGAGGTTTCAATCTGGGCCACAGGATTCATCTCCTTCATTCCCCAGCCAAAGCCATGTTGAAACTGAGATTGGCATGAATTTCTCACATGACTTCAGCCATCATGCCGGCCAGGTGCGCTGACAATGCTTTGTCGGGCCAAAGATGAGCACATCGCGTCTTTGCTTCTTGATCTGAATTTTGAACGTGGAGATACGTCTTGCTGTGCCCCTGCTAGCATTGTGTACGAGGCTGGCGATTTGTGATGATGCAGCAGTCACGAGCCTGGACGTCGCAATTGCAAAGTTTCTTGGGTTTCCAGTGCCCAGCAGCCTCAGGCACGGACTTGTGTAGTCGCAGAGCGCGACCTTTTGATGCAGTTGGGGAGGCCACATGCACTGGAATTGGTTTCGTCTGCCGAGCAAGACTTGCTTTGTCATCAGCCATCAGGCTACCAGACGGTGCAGCAGCGGAAGCCCCAGCACATAGAGATGCTGATGGGATGCGCCGTTGTCCTGACTGGACCAAGGTGGGAGGTGTCGCCGAGTTAAGGCCGCATTTCTGAAAAGCATAGCTGGCGAGTCTCACTAATTACTATGCTCAGTCTGGGTCTCTGTCTGTCTGTGTGTGTGTGAGTGTGAGTGTGAGTGTGAGTGCGAGTGAGTGTGAGTGTGTGTGAGACCTATGATGTCTGCTGGCAAGCTTCCTGGGACAAGCTGGGAGTGGTAGCTTGAGCATTTGTAGAGACGTGTTGCGACTTGCATGGAAGATGGCCAGTTGTCACCATTGTCAGCCAGCGACTACGAGAGCTCCTCGTCGTTTCGACAGCTGGCAAGTGACAGCTTTGGGATTCCGTCGCCATTCGCAGACACACCGAGGCAGAAGGCGGTAAAAGCCGCTCGGTATGCTCGACATGAGAGTCCTGGAAGCTCGGGTGGCGCGACGCCTGTGCATAAAGCACGACAAGGAACTCCGGAGGATTGGCAAAAGCTTCCGGGCCATGTCCATTTCGATGAGTCCGTTTATCAGACCTTCCGGGCAAACCCCAAGAAGCCACTCCAGCTGATTGGACATCATTTGGAACCAAAGGAAACGCAGTCGGAACCTGAAGACGATGAACATGAGCCCAATGAGCCTAATGAGCCTGCCCCGGCCGCCTCGCCCAAACGGCCCAAGCCGCCTAAGCCGCCTCCTCCCTCAAAGAGCACAGGATCTAGACGACCAGGCAAACATCCTCCACGCAAGCCTACTTTGCCCAAACGTAATGTCGACTTGGATGCTGCGATGGAGGTTTGTGGCTGTCCCCATCCGGGATGTGCCGCGAGAACCACTCAGGCTCCGGCGGCTAAAGCAGCTAGATGGGCCACGGCACAGCCGCGGCAACAGCCTGAGCCAGCCGGGGAGGAGCGTGTCGAAGACACGTCTCCAGAGCTGCCAGCTCTGTACCTGAAGCCACACCACAGGCCAGGACCACCAGTTCACAGTGTCAGCAAAGAAGCTTTTGCTGGAGAGGATGACGAGAAAGCCGATGCCATTGAATCAGCCTCCTCTCTCGTAGAGACGGTCCATTCTTTTTACGTAGACACTTCGCAAGTGCCCTCGCCTGGTCGTGTTGGGGGCGAGGAGGGACTGCCGACCAGAGCTAGCAAGCAAGGATTCAAGCAGCATCGGCCTGCAAAGACTGCTCGTATGCCGCCTGCCCAACCATCCCAAGCAGCTGGCACTGGAAGAACTGAAATGGGAGAGCTTCTGCCTAGGGAGTTTGCCAAGATCTCGCGCATGATCGCAACTGCTCGAGCTAAGCAGCAAAGACAGCAGGATCTTTCAGAGACGGCCCAACATGCTGTCATCGAAACTGCATCAGTTGAAATTCAATGTGAGACAGATGATGACGGCGCAGCCCCACGGGATGCTGAGAGGACATTCCATGGGAGGACCTTCATGTTATTCCGGTGCGACCCCAGCGAGGTCACGTTGAACAATTGGCGAAGGCTGGAGTGCACCCATCCGCCCTTGAGCAAGCTAGAGCTCTATCTGCGCTTCTTCGCCCATCGCTTTCCTGGGGCACTAGATCCTTGGATTCCTTCGTTTGCAGTTTTTTGTGGGGGTGAGTCTCCGCATTTTTTCTTTTCATGAACGAATGAACGATGCTTGCACCACCTGCACCATGATGTTGAAAGTTTCATTCCTTAACTGAGGATTCGAAGTCTTTGGTCAACAAGGCCGAACACAACCATAGCCGCCACAGCATCCAGACTGCGAGAAAATCCGCGCAGACTGCGAGAAGAATCTGGAAGTAAAACAGGGCAGGTGCTTCGCTGTGCTTATGCTCGTCCCTCATGACTCGTTGAAGGGCAAAGTGAATTTTCAGTTGGAGGTCAGAGAATGAATTGTGCTTGAAGTGCTTGCTGGCGCTACCAAGTTCGCGACTTACTGGCCCAGAAACTTTATAGCAGTCATAGTGCAGTCGTGCTACGAGTCACTTGCTCGAGGCGCTGGCAGCCCAGCCCTACCGCGGATCTTCCAGGCAAGATGCCCAGCGTCTCTTTCTCGCATGTCTCAAGAAAGGAGGTCTAAGTTGCAGGAGTGACAAGAATCCTTCATGGACTTCATGGATGGCGTTTGGCTGAGACATCGAGCTGTCTGAGGCTCACCAAGAGGGTGCAGCTGGTGACAGAGAGGCTCGTATGCTGCTTCAGTGAACCTGTGCTGGTAGTAAACTGTCTGATCGCAGCACATCGCAGCTGCGACAGGCCATTGTGCAAAGCATTCTGGCCGAGCTGAAACAGGGTGACCCGGAAGTGGCTTCCCTCTTGAAGGGAGCCTCTCAGCCGCAGCGACTGCAATACGGGTGTGCACTGCCACACTGTGTGCACTGCCACACTGTGCGATGCCTCAGCTGAAGGACAGGCCAGCGAATGCTCCTGAGATAGCAACTCGCGTGATGCAAGAAGAAGACGAGGATTTGGAGGCCCTGGCTCAAGCGAGTGATCTTGCCAGACTTGGGTACACTGTGGCAGGAGATGGATATGCAAGGCAGCGGGAACGTGTCTGCGGAGGTGGGCTTTTATTTTTCGAGACATGGTATCTTGCACAGTGTGGGATTTCCTCTGAGGTGTTGCCCACACTCGATGCCAAAGAACGGCTTCCTGCTCATGAGCTTGACTGTGCTGGAGGCACCCACCGCTCCGCGACAGTGCTTGGCTCTGTGTATGTGGTGCCTTTGTGCATCTTTGCATGACGCTTCATGCTACAATAGTGGACAGGCAGATACAGGCAGATACAGGCAGATACAGGCAGCCTGGACAACTCGAGCCGTTCGCACGCGTCGCACATCGTCACACTGTTGGTTTCTTAGCGCGTGCTGTTGCAAAATGTTGCAAAAGTATCCGAAACTCAGCGATATGAGCACACCAAGTTGAGTTGATATTTCCGCAATCACAGCCCATCATCGTTAGCTTGGACTCTGCAAGCGAGTCGAACAGAGACGAAGAGCCGTGTGACAGGGGAGAGCCTCTGCAAAAGGATGTGGATGTCCTTTATGTCTTTTCAGCATCGTGTGTCCTGAACGCAACCATCCGACTGCTGATGGCTTCCCAGCTCATGGGTCGCCAGGACTGGTTGTACTTCTCCGAAGTCCCTGAAAGTGCGCATGAGCCGATGAAGATGTTTGTGCCTGTTCGAAGCACACTAGTACTCAGTTGGCCAGTTGGCCGGAACCGGAGCTTGCCAAACAATGTCGTGAAGTATGACACGTTATGACACTTTGGTACACCGACACTTAACTTTGGCACGGTGAGCCGATCCAGCAGCTTCACCACAGTGCCTTCGGCTTTCATCTGTCACCGTCCTCCTACGAATATCGACCAAACAGGATTGGTTTCGATCCTCTTGAGAAGCATGATTAAAATCGGTGTATCGTGGACTCCGGCAGTGCCTTTGGCATCATGTGGTCCGTTTTGCTCTAATGTCTTGGAGATCACATGTCCGTGAGCGAAACTCAGAGAGCTTCATGATGCTAAAAGCCATATCATAAGGTTGGACTGATTATTCATGGCCAGGTTTGAGTCCATAAGTCTCGGCTGACGGCCCCCACAACGGTGACATGCCAACGTGAATCAGAGATGCGGTGTTCCTCACGACCTCGCAAAGCAGGCACAGCCTACACAGGGCGAGTATGTGCTGTGCTTGCAAATGGCCTGGCCTCCTGGAGTGCTTTGGAGTGCTTTGTAAACTTGTGAAAACGCTACTGCGTTCTGCAAGAGGCCTAGTGGGCCTAGTGTCGGGGAAAAATTCTGAGGTCGAGGAGTTCTCGTTGACATCGACTGCGAGGTGCCAGCGCTCCGCAGCTGCAATTTGCAGAACTCCCACATCTGGAGGTCATCTGTTCGTGAGCCCAGTGATGAGGTGTGACAGGTCCAAGGTCAAAGAAAATACCGGCTACGATGCAAGGACTAGCGTGAACATGCGTGTACGTAGTACGGGTGATGCATCATGATAGTCTGCACAGTCAGTGCGCGCTGCCGTTGTTGATGTCCCGAGGTTTTGGTATCCAGAGCTGGCGCTGGACTTAGCCAAGTTACGCTCAAGCCATCCAAGACGGGGGTTGAGGCATCCTGCTCGCGAATTCAAATTTTGACGGGAGACATGGGCGTCTGTGGGTAGCATTGAGATTCTCCAGAGCCTAATGCGCTACGGCAGCTTTGACCCCCGACCATGTTTCGGAACACGGTTCAAAGTCACTTCAAAGTCACTTCTCCCCCGCAGGTTCTCACAACGCAGCTCTGAGCACCCTGGTGATTCCAAGTGGTCCGTCCACACACACACAGCAGGAAGGAAGCCCCGTGCCGCTCCCCCCACCCCAACCCCAACCCCAACCCCAACCCCAACCCCAACCCCAAGCTTGAGCCGCTTAGGTGTCTTCCTCGTCCTCAGCATCTTCCTCACAAAGTCCATCCCCCGACAGAAGTGACCCAGAGGCAGGTGTGGGCAGTCATCAGAAGTCGAAGGGAGTCAATAGCCGCAATAGCCATTTGCCCTTGTCTGGGAGGGCCTCCCTCTGCTCGGCAGCGAAATGGAGGCATCAATCGCAAGTTCTCGTCGAGGTGAAAACACCTGTATTGGGGGGTGTTGGTGGTATCCATCGCAGGTCTACTGCTGCACCAAGCACAGTTGGTGCATCCGCTCCGCACTGAGAGTTGGCCGAATCAGACGATCGTGCAAAGTGCCGGTCGCGAGGTGCTCTGCGTGAGCAACCTCCACGGCCAGGGACCGAGCCCGAATCAGCAGATTCCCGCTGCTGCAGCTCTCAGCCAAGATGGGTTCCGTGCCCGTGAGGTTGGCCAGGCGCGGCGTTGCTCAAGTTGCGCCTCTTCGCCTGGAGGAGTCGACTCCTTTTCTCTCGGATCTCGCAGCGAGTGATCTGGTGATTGGAGGGTGCCAACTCAGAACACTCGGCACAAAGGCTGCGGGCAGGGCTTGGACCATGGCGTGCTGTTGTTATATCTGCAACCGATGATGGTGTGTCTCAGCCCCAGTTTTTGAAAGCAACATAAATGTAAACTGTCATCAGGACATATCATGATTGGTAAGACAGTCGAACAGGTGCTCGAACGGTTCACAGACTTCGCTGTGTTTGCTGGCAGATTGCGGTTTCATGCCAGGGTTCGGCGAAGCGTACAGCTGCATTCCCGGGGTGGTTTCTTTGTGTTACATGTTTGCTGACAGACCTAAACTCCCACTCACAAAAAATTGTATGAATGCATCTTGTGACAGATCTGCACACGCATGATTTGGGCGGTGCGTTTCACAGGCAGGCTGAATGTTGCCTTAGAACTGCATTTGCCATGAGGCTAGTCGACTTCAACTGTGAGATTCCTGGTGCTTCACCCAACTGATGTCACCTTTTGAACCCTCATGCGTCCCGTGAAAATCGCTGGCAGGCTTGCTCCAGTCGGATCAGCTTCATGTTCGTGGTGAGGAGTTGCGTGTCCCATCCTTTGAAAACAGAGAGAAACACAGGGTTGTCAAGTTGTGATCAGATTTCAGCTTACTTCATGGTGAGGTGTATTGCTATCGAGTCGTCGCACTCTTAGAGATCTTGGTTTCACCGTGTCACCTCAGTGTTCTGACATCTGAGGATGTGTCCATGAGGCTATGCATTGTTGGTACTGTCAAGGCCCACAGTGTCGGCTCCAAACTGTGCTCAGTACTTCGTCCTTCTCTCTTTGTTCTCGATAGGAGACCAAGGCCGACACTGGCAGAAGGCCCTTGCAAGTTTCGCCCAAGTACCGGAGACGGGACGTGAAGTGACTCGAGCCAATCTTCCAGGAAGCTGGAAGACTTGATTTCAGCGGACACCTCTGTAGGCATCCGAGGTACAGCATGAATCTCAGTCGACTGTGCCTCTTGGGATATTCCAGTCAAATCGCTGCTCGCTTCTGTGCTCAGGTCCTGCGGGTAACAGGATCTGGCGTCTTTGTAGATGTGAACTGCGAGGTTCTGATCACCCGCTGCGATCAGTCAAGCTGGCAGAAGTCTTTCTATGCAGGTCCAAGGATACCTGTCGCCCATGGACATTGACATGATGGTCTCTGGGTCTTTCTGCAAGGGCTACGAGGCGGTCCGCGAGCTGTCTCGTGGGCTGCGGGCCTCTCCAAAGTCCCCCCCCTGCATGTCTATGGGTACTGCTCAAGGTGACCGTGTATGTGAAGTCTGTGAACCTCTTGAAAAGACAAGTTGCGCTCGAGCCTGATTTTGACACAGTCGAGAGCAAAAGTGGTTGCTTGGCGATGCAGCCGTAAGGCTTTCAATGTTCCCGACACGCCAGCCAGTCAGAGTCATCGATGGCGAAGGATCCGATGCTTGTTTGGGGCTGGGGTTGCTGAGCAAATTTGGAGCGCCCCTTGGAAGCTTCGAGTCTGGAGTGAGAGTGCAATGAGCTGGATATAGCATGATAAGACCAGATTGGTCGTCAGGCACCTCCAAACGAGCGCAAGACTGAAACCCGGCAAGCATGGCTCAGCGAGAAGCTGGTCTTGCAGCGTGAGCTTCAAAATGTCCCGGGCGAGGTGTGACTTGGGAGTGCTTGCGAGCGCGTAGCGCTTGCACCATGCGGTCTGCTACGATACGTGCCTCGCCAAGCAACCTTGAAACAAGGATGCTCTCGGCGCAGGATCCAGCTCAGTCATGCAAAAACGAGAAGAACTTTGCTCGCTGCGTCAGAGGTTCTGTTGCATTACAATACACTGTAGGTTTCACATCTCCCCTTGGCCCAGTTTCGGCACCACGCTGGGAATTCATGTCGAGGACGAAGCTGTTTTTGGATCGGAGTTTGAATCTCCAGATTGCGGTAGCCATCCTTCACGCGGAACTCACACTGCATGCGTGCCATGGCCCTCCGATATTGTTTTTCAAGCACGTACTTTGTTACAATGAAGCCAAGCATCCACCAAAACAGTAGGTTTGTGCTTGCTTGAGTGAAGATGGAGTCTTCCCTTTTCTCTCAGCCTGCGATCTCGCGAGCCCGGCAAGATTGAAGTGACACAGGGTAGGATCATGCGATCGGCAGTGCGCAGCGTGTTGTCGCACAGCATGTGGAGGTACTTCCAACCTTTCCAATCTCCTTGTGCCACATCCCTGGTTTCAACGGCCACCTTGTCAAACATACGTTTTGCAGAAGACTCGGTTGGGTCATGGCTTCATGTCGATGTGGCTCACCAGCAACTTTGCGCAGGCTGTGGCAATCTTGAAAGGGTAGGGGGTCCAGCGAGCCATGGCTTAGCTGGGCATCTGGCTTCAAGACCCAGAGTCAACGGTCAGCTTGGCCAACAGTCATGGGCTTTCGAGGTGCTTGAAGGTGTGTTCAACTTGATGGTACTACTCTCACTGTGGTTCTCACATGCGAGAAGGCTGGGTGGTGTATGAGTCGATGGTCCCAAGGCCTCGTTGCGGGCAGTGCTTCGTTCAGCAATGTTCAGCTTAAGCCTTGTCGGCACTGCGCACCGACGGCAGGCTATTCTCTTGTTTCTACCCCGTGCGCGGGTTCACAATGTGGCCTTGCATCTGCATTCGGGAGTCGAAGGAAGAACTTGAAGGCGAAAACATCGAAGAGCGGCTTGGTTGCAACCGGTCCGGCAGGTCGAAGCCAGCGGTGTTCAGGGGTGTTCAACGGTACAAACGCTGTACCTGGAGCATCTTGCACACTTGGCTAAGTGGTGGGCCCCACATGTCAGGTTCATCAACCACGAGCAGATTCACATTGCCCAGGCAGACAAGAGCATGCCATATATGGTGTGCAGTTGAGTGTTTCGAACAGCCCGAAGCTGACAGGCTTCCGAGATGTGCTGCATCTTCATGTACCTGCTGTGGGTCTTTGATTTCTTCAAGGGGCTGGTGTGCATCGGGCCACGTGGCTACCAAAGGTGTGCGTGTGAATGTGATGCCAGACTCTCTTATGTATGGAATCGTCTGGAGCAAGAAGCCTTCGACCATCAGCATGACCTGGACTACCTGGACCAGCGTCCTTGTTGCGCCTGGTGGGGTTATCCGTCCAGGGAGGTGGCGGAGAAGTGGCTCTACTGCCAAGGCCAGCGAGTCTGAGCTGGCGCATCACTAGGCCTCGAATAAGACTGCTCTGGGGACGACTGTGGACGGATGCTCGAACCGGCTCACACACGCTCGGCGCTTCATGTGCACCACCGTGCATTCATTGTGGGTTCCATAGCCGCCATGCCTCGAAGATGAAGCCGCACGTGTTGGACCCAAACGATGCAGAACAAGAACGTGTGGAGCGCTCCACGAGGACTGAGACGCAGGCAGCTGCAAGCCTGGCGAGAAAACAGGGCTAGGTTTCCGCAGTGGCAGTGCTTCTATGTACCTGCACAATCAGCCACTTTGTGCTGACACGGTCTGCCTCGGCCAAGGGGCCATCACTGATTTCGTGTGAGCCCGTTGCCTGCGAGGCTGGTGATGCTTTGCACATCGTGGATGTACATGAACTCACCAAGTCGTTTTTGCAAGCCTGCTTTTGGAAGCATTTTTGGCTGGAGGATTTTGGTGCCAAGTATGAGAGCATTTCATCCAAGGACTGCATGAGCTCTTGACCTTGCGAAAGCGACGTTCCAAATCTGAAGTATGGCAGGTTTGCGGCTGGGCCGGCGAACTCGGGAAGGCTCTCTTTGCTCTCTTTGCTCTCTTTGCTGGATTCTGGGAATCCGGGGGCAAGTGCCTCGGCAGGACCACGACCTGAGACAAGGAGCTGATTGCGCACGGCTCTTTTCGCAGACGGCGCCCTTCCAGGTCTCCGTTTCAGACAAGATGCAAATCAAGATGCGATAGGGCCAGCATAGTGTGCAGCGGAACAGGTCAGCGCCGAGTTTCCCAGCAGCGAGCTGATCCCAACAGCACAGCGTCAACCTCGCCGTGGTCCAAGAGACAATGGCCTGCTCTGCCATATATTTGCCCCTAGCGGTTCATCTTCCAGTGCTGACCCTTTAAGGGGTTGACTTTCTGAGCAGCGCCACCGCCATGAAGAGCATCTTTCGCGCATCCTTTGATACGGACCTCTGCTGCCGGAGGGGGCGCCGGGGGCGCTGTTTGAGAACTTGCTTGTGATGCGGGCTCTAGCCGCTCTAGCCCAGGAGTCTGATGTGGGTGTCGCGGTGCATCGCTTGGGCGATTGGTCCAGAGCTTGGGTGCATTGCCAAAATTGCCTCATTGCGGACTTTATGGACTTTTCCCTTTCGGAATCACGATGTCGGCATATTCTGAGTTGAGCTTGTCTGAGGCTGGTTATCGATGATGGCAGCGAGCTGTCATGGTCGCCGCCTCCTAGCAGCCCAGACAACACTGAGTGGGTTGACTTCTCAGCACATGTTGCTGTCATCAAGCTTCAACTGTGCTGATCACGATGCAAAATCGAGGCGGAGCGCGTTCGCACTGCTGAGCAGCAGCACGACGAATGTTTGGCCAGAGTCGAGGTCAGGCATGTGAGCTGCCAAAGAGCGTGCAAACCAGTCCTTGTTGTTCTTGTCCAGGCCGCCAGACTAAAGCTGTTCGACTCGCAGCAGTATGTTGAAAAGGACGGCACATGCAAGCATTGCTGGTTATCCATGCGACGCGTCATTGCAGCCTGCTTCAAGGTCCGATCCATGCTCTGGAATGCAGAAGTCGCCCATGTCCTGGAACAGCGTAGCGCAAAGCATGAGCGCCAAGACACGCCATCAACCCACAGCAACGGTTCGGCAAGCAGGCTGCGAAGCAAGCGGACGATGAACTGCGTGAGGCGCCAGAGAGCTTGATTTTCTGAGTTTGGCATGGTTGGCCTTTCAGCGTTGCAGGCTTTGATGGTCCAGTGAGTTTGGGAGGAAGAAGTATGGGGTGTTGGATGATTTCGGTTCTCGCATGCGCAGCTCGATTTGATGCAGTGTCGTCGGCAAGAACCTGAATGTAGGTCAGGCAAGTAGGCCCAAGCAGGCACCGTGGGCAACTTAGTGTGTTGCCTTCTGTACCCGCGCTCATGCCGAAGAAGCAGTGCCTTTTTCTTTGGTTCTTCTCCGCAATGCGGTGGTCCGCAATGCGGTGGGAGCGCCAGGCCCTCGCGGAGGCCCAGCAGGCTGCGGAAGCCTGTGGCGACCTCGGGCCCTGTGTGGTGCTGTAAAATTTGGGACTGAGACTCGTGTACTTTGCATCACTGTGTCTTATACTTTGCGTCATTCTGGAGGTGAACGTCTCAAGCTGCATGAAGCGACGGCACCTTTCTTTGAGACAGAGGCTGAAGGCCGAGGCTGTCGCGATACTCACGAAGTCGAAGAGTTGCATTGTCAAAATGCGTGGTATACGACATCATGTCAATGTGCCATATGATGTCAGATGTTTCAGAGTTGCCATTCAGCCAGGTGAGCCGGTCGTGGAAGAGGACGCTGTGGCTGCAGATGCGAGCCATCAGGCTCGACAGGACACACACAGAGGCACTTGCATGCATGTGCATGCACCCCGAAGCCTTCACCTTGCAGGAAGATCCTCAGCTGTACCGCAACTTTCTGGGACATTCCATCCGCCAACTGCAGGACCCCCACGGGGTGGCGCTAAGAGTTGTTGGTGTTGCGGTCTGAATGGGCCCACAGGCCTTTTCCCGTTGAACTCAAAACTGCAACCCTCCCCACCTCCACTCAAGAAAGGCTCCAAACCGGGACCTAATCAGAGTTTTGGGATTTCAAGATACATTAAGAACGAACAAGTACCATTTGCGCTAGCTGACTGTCAAGTGGATTCTACTTGAGTTTCTTGTCAAGCTTAGTCATAATAAGGTCTTCCTCAAAAACACGAACCCCTTTCCTGTATAAATTCGAACATTGCATGGTAATTCGAATCAGCTGAGTTCCTTACTCCACATGAAGGAAACTTTGGCTCAGGTCTCTATATCCAAAGTATCTACATCTTGAGTGACTTGAACTGACATCATGAGATTAAAGCTCAATCTTGCTAGCCAAGCCCAACTCAATCACAACACCTTTCCTAAATGTGTGTGTGTGTGTGGAAGTTCGAGCACTGTTGCAGAACAATGCGAACAAAATCGAATCAGAGTCTATTTTCAAAAATGCACATTGGGTGCCAACGCAGTCATTTCTGGCAGCTTCCAATTATAGGTCATTCGGTTCAGTTGCCTGCGTAGTTGATGTACTTAGCGAGTCGTTATTTCGAGTTCAACAAGCTCAAAAAGTTCCCCGTTGCTGGCTATCTATATGTTACTGTAGTGGGTTAAGCTAACCTGTCGTACTGCAATTGAGTTGCAGTCAAAAAGGAAGTGAGAAACAAAGCATGACTAACCCTTCTTTTGCAGTTGAATGCCTGTAAGATTCCTGGTGGAAGTAAACAAGTTTCAAAGCTACTAAGAACAAGCCAGTTAGACTGTTGGACTCGAAGCCAACTCAGACTTCAGTAGGCTTTTTTGAGGTCTGAGTAGCTTGTCTGTAATTTTGCGTTGTCTAGTTCCCATCTAGTTCGAATTAAACGAAGCCTTTAAAAGTCTTACTTTGGCTTGGGTGAACTGTATTTAACCATAAGTGCAAGTTCAAGAGATGCAGCTATATTGTCATTATTTCCACATGTACCTGAACATCTCAGAGTTGCATACCACGTGGGCAATTTCTGCTTTAGAATCCGCAAAAAAGAAAGCAACGACTGCCACCTGGGAGATTGTCTCACACTACTGAGCCCTTCCTGCTGCGCAGCTTGTGGAGGATGAGCCTACCGAGACTGAAAACACAAAGCCCAAGGAGCGCGAGGCAGAGCTGCCTGCATCTACTTTCATTGTAACCTTACAGTCGTCTGGGTTGTGTTGGCAAGTGAGCGATGTGGGAGTAGTGTGCCGTCACTAGTCACTAGTCCGCTGGCAATTCGACGCCCCTTTTTTCCCTTTGAGAAGCCCTGAAGGGTTGGACGTGTTGGAGGTTGTCGCAGCTTCTTGGCGCAGGTTGTCTCTAGCTTTTCGCTGCTGGGACATCGTGGTTACGCTCTTTCGCAGCTGTAGCAGATACCCTCAGCATGTATTCGCAATGTGCTACCTGCAATGTCAGAACAGGCTGAGGCATCAAAGCAGCATGGAGCGCAGAAGAAAGAGCGGTGGTTTTGTTGGACGGTAGACCAGACTGAGGAACGTTGACCCTGCACACGGTTTTTTTGATTGCCACAACTTGACAGACCTCTCTATCAAATTGAAGCTCGCTGTTCGTTGTTAGCTTGCAGATCGTTGACCACAGCTTCATCTGGCCACCTGTTTGAATTTTCCCGCAGCCAACATGGTTAGACGGTCATCTAGAAGGTCCTAGCTAAGATCCGTGTTTGGAGTCGCAGAGCCCTGAAGCTTTCTCTGTAGCATGAGAGAAAGGGGAGGATCCATGAGGAAAGAGCGACATCACACATTGCAATGAAGAGGGGCTGGTTGGTCCTCCCAGCTGTGATGGTTTTTACTTGCACATCCCTGTCGTATTAGCAGGTGGACACATGTTCGGCTTGCGGGGGCCTCAAACGTTATGCTATATATATATATATATATGCTACCCCCCCCAAGCGCCCACGCTTCAGCATGGTTTCCAGATAAAAAACACTACGTTCCGCCATACGCGGTGGCTTTTAAAGGGGGGAGGGACCCCCATAAAAACTCCAGCAGAAGTGACCTGAACAACTTGCTCGAGATTGTGGATTGCATACTATGAATTGAGATAGAAATCCTATGCATGTGAAAAGCGTTCCTTTTAATGGGGTTCATAGGCTTCATTTTGTTTCAATAGGAATCTTAGTAAAATGACAAGGAAACCCTTTAACATGAATAAGAACCCTTAATTCTATTAAATTCTATGGGAACCCTATCCAAATGGCAGAATCCTATTTAAAGTTGATAGGAATCATATTACGTTTGTAGGAGCCTTATTAAAATAATTAGGCAAACTATGAAAATTTATTGGAATCTTATAAGCAGAAAAATAGGAATCCTCTTTTTAAATCCATAGGAACCCTATGAACATTGATCGGACTGTAAAAAGAAGTTAGTAGGAAGCCTATTAACATGAATAGGAACCCGATTAAAGTTAATGAGAACACAATTATATTTGATAGGAATCCTAATAAACTGAAGAGGGCCCCTACTAAAATTAATAGGAACCAATGGGACTCCTACAAGAATAGAGTGTGAACCCCTAAATCATGGGAATCCTACGAAAATTAAGATGAGCCTAAACCAATAGGACCCCTTTCACACGAATGAGAACCCCATTAAACATTAGTACGAATCCCATTAACATGAGTAAGAGCCCTGAAACTGATAAGAATCTTATTCATTTGTGGGAGCCTTGTTAAAATGATTAGCTATGAAGATTTTTTAGGAATCTTTCATTGAATACATAGGAATCCTATCAAATTGTTTTCGGATAAAAGCTAATAGGAAGCCGATTAGAATGAACCTTATCAAATCAAAAAGAACTTTATTGGAATGCTATAAAAATAAATAGGAATCCTCTATTGAATTCATAGGAATCCTGCCAATATGTTTCGGAACCGATACAAGTTAATAGGAAGCCTATTAAAATGAATAGGAACCCTTACCAAATTGAAAGGAACCGGTAATAATTCATAGGAATCCTGTTAAAGTGAGAAGGAATCTTACTAAAATGAATAGGAGCCAATAAGACTCCTGTATAAAATAATGTGAATCGGCTTAAAAGATTGTTTTTTTTGGGACAGTATAGCGTTTTTTAAAGCAAACAATGCAAAAATGCTGTGCTGTCGCAAAAAAAACAAAAAACCAAAGTTTGTAGACCTCCAGGCCACTTGGCGTCCAAGGTCTCTAAACTTTGTTTTTTTGCTTTTTTTGGGACAGTACAGCGTTTTTGCTTGTTTTGGCTTAGAAAGATGGTTTTTTTTGGGACAGTACAGCGTTTTTGCAGTCCCAGGCCTCCAAAGTGCTGTACTGTCCAAAAAAAAACCAATGTTTTTAAAGCAAACAATGCAGAAATGCTGTACTGTCCCAAAAAAACCAAAAAAACCAAAGTTTGTAGACCTCCAGGCCAGTTGGCGTCCAAGGTCTCAAATTCTTTTTTGGTTTTTTTGGGACAGTACAGCGTTTTTGCTTGTTTGGGCTTAGAAAGATGGGTTTTTTTGGGACTACAGCGTTTTTGCAGTCCCAGGCCTCCAAAGTGCTGCACTGTCCAAAAAAGACCGGCCGCCCGTGCTACTCCTGCGCCCCTTCCTGTGGTGTGGGTGTGGTTGGGGGTTAGGGTTTAGGGTTTAGGGTTTAAGGTTTAAGGTTTAAGGCTTAAAGTTTAAGATTTAGGGTTTACATAAGTTTAGGGTTTAAGGTTTTGCCTGTGCTGTGCATGGGGGTTGGGTCTGAAGGTTTGAGACCATATATATATATATATGTGACCCCTGCCCATGTGCCCCATGTCTTTGTCTTGGAGTTGCAGGTTTGACGTCAAGGTACATTCCAGTGCGCGCTGTTGGCTCACATCTTGGAGCTGTGTGTCAGTAAGAATTGGCTGCTATACTACCAATCTGAGGGGGCGACTCGTATACTTGGAAGACACATCATTCTGCCAAAACCCTCGTCCTCGCGATGCTAGTAATCTGAGATGCAGATTTGTAGAGTGATGAGACCCTACGTTATTTCTTCAATAGTGCAAGTAGTTGAATTAGTGCAATGAACCCTTGAATGGATTAGCTTCCTCCTTCCTCGACATTCTAATTTGAAGGGCAGACTTGTACTTTTAGCAGGCGCTGCATCTTGTTAGTTTTGCTAGTTTTCACGAAGATACATTACTTCTCTTCATGACCGGGGCTTGTTTTGTCTAAGTTGTAAGAGGGAATCTAACCAGCTTCAATGGGGGAGGGGGGTAGACTATTGCAATCAGAAGCCACAGCTCAATGATAGCTTCACGGGTCTTCAATCATTTCATGATGGTGAAAGGATAAGTGGCTGGTAGTAAAGTTAACCATAAATTGGATAAGTCATTTCAAGAGATTTGTCTATTGTAAAAATCTAGTGCGAAAATGAATGTGTAATGTACAGGTATGAAAATATATTCGCCTTGCTCGTCATTTGCTGGTCTGATAGGCAGACTGGAGAATACCTAACATAGGCAGCTTTTGTTTTGGAATCTTCTTGGGGTAGTTACATGGTCCTTTAGTGTGGGCCCTTCATTGGGGAACCCGTATATACCCCTTGTATACCCTGTAAAGCCCAAGGGCCCATACTTCAGAACCGTTTAAGGAAGGTAACGGACCATATCAAGGGACCATGAGACTACTTTTAGTTTCCTCCCAATAAATGTGGCTGGTTTTTTGTTGCACAAGCTTCATGTTTTAAGACTGCAACTTCCCAAGCTCCAAAACTCAGCAAGTTGTGGCGTGGAATCCCCAAGTTCCAAACATCAAAAGTTCCGAAATTTCCACAGGTGCTCTGATGCTCAGCCAGCTTAAATTGTAGATTACAGGGCTTAAAATGTTCACGAAAACGAGTTTCAAAATTTCTGGGCCCATATTTCAAGAGTTCCAAAGTTCCAAAGTTCCAAAGTTCCAAAGGCATAAGGTTCCAATTGCTTTGGCCTCAACATTCCGAAATTCCAAACACATATCGGAATTTTGGAATGCTGGGCCAAATCATTTTTTGGAAGTTTGGAGATCTGGACACCCGAAATTTTGGACTTTTGGAGTTTGGAAAATAGAGCCCCAGAAATTTATAGTTTGCCTAAAACTATTAGAGGCGCTGTCGTCGAATTTGCTCTATTTCTTGTTGCAAGGCAAAACGTAGGGTACATGGGCGGTGGAGCATATATATATATATATATGTACATACATACATACATACATACATACATACATACATACATACATACATACATACATACAGTTGCATATATGTGTATGCACCTGCTTCACCTTCTCAGATAGCACACAGTATCACCCCAGAGGTCAAAACGGCGAGCTCGTGCTTCTGGACAGCCCGCCGGCATCCTTTCACCAGGTGGCCGCCTTACCACCCAAACAGAAGGGGGAGCATCCTTACAAGTTAGTACGCAGGTCGGAATTTGGAAGATTGCCGAAGATGCTTCAGTGGTCGTTGGCAGTCGCCTGCTGTGTTTGGGGAACTCGGAGCATCCGAAGTTGACCCTGCAGCTTGTCTTCATGGCTTGGCAATGGAAGTATCTCTGGCTTAGTTGTGAATGCCAAGTCATGGAGAATGGTCGAGGTACCTCCATGACGACAAAATGATCTCAGACACAATGCTGCTTGAGCACTGGGTTGAGTGCCTCATGGCACGCCACTTTTTGCACTTCTCTTGCGTCACATGACTCGACTCTCTGTCAGCTCTCTGCAGGCCGGGGTCCCAGAGTTCGCCGTCTGCTTCCACCGCGACGGCGCAGTGCAGCGTTGACCCCGGCGGCACGGCGTTTTGGAGCAGGGCACAGATCTACTTCTGGGAGACTATCCGACGCACGCAAGTGTGTCTGCTGCCCTGGTAAACTTTGCTGGAGCATCAGCCTCGCCATATCTACCTCATGGCACACTTGTTTGGTACGACCGTATGAATGTAGAAGTGCTGATTGTGCCAAGGGTCGGCCGCTCTAGCACAGATGCTATGGACTTGCAACCATTTAGAGCTGCTTTGGTCAGGTCGTACTCGTTGTACAAGGTGTCAGAGTTGCAGAGCTTCCTCGAAGAAAGACTCTCGCAGTCATTTGGTGCGGAGCACTGACGCTTCCATCATGTTTCACATTTCATATTGTCTGAGGAATGGAATTGGGCAGACGGGTGCAAATGACGTGCGCGGTCTCAGCTTGTCCCATGAAGCAGTCGGTGTGGCCCTTTCTTCCTTCCTTCCTTTCCCGTTTTCTTGTTAACCGCCGAGGTTGGAAGTTCTGCGCTGGATCAAACGCCAGCCTGGGCCTCATTTTTTGCCGTGTCCTGTGAATCGGTTCTGAAAAGGGAAACTGAGCCTCTGTGAGTTAGGTGCCGCCTGGAAGGCTGCAGCTACTGGTTGTCCAAGGACTGCCTGAGAAGTCTTGAATTCAACTTGGACTTCGGTTTCGAGCTCTGCAAGTTAATCCGGTCGGAGTAGTGCTTGACATCTATCACCCCTTCTCGCATGTGCAGCTGCTGTGGCTCACATTCAAAGCTCATCCTGTTGCCAAGGCTGCTGCTTCGACTCACTTTGAGTTATGTCTTTGGGCGCTTCCTTGCCCTCTTTGTTTCAGGGGTGTTCGTCCAATGTGCAAGCGCAGTGAGTAGTCTTCTGGGCCCTCAAGGTTCATTCCCTATCACTGCATGAGTGAGAGCTTGTCCTCTTCCTCACCAGGGCATCCGAGACTAAAATTGTGGTATCAAGCGCCGCTGCCGAAAGAAGACCTGTTCATTTTGCAGGGCAGCAGCAGCAGGAGACGCACACGCCACGCCATCGTGAAGTATTGCTGGCGTCTGTGTATGTTCACTCGTACGTTTTGGTGGCAACTCATTGCAGAGGAATGCGCATGAATTGGGTGAAAGTGATTGACCGACGCTGACCTTGACAGACCCCACGCCGTGTTGCCACCATCTCAATGGCCAAGGGTGGTCCACCAACGACGATTCGTCCGCAGTCGGGTCGTACGCTCCTCTTTCCCATTGCCATCACTGCAAACATTCCCGGCTTGGTTTTCATCAACCTTTTGGGCCGCATAAATCTTTTGGGGCACATGTATGAACACACATTCTCAAAAAATGGCTTTGGGCACATGGTCCGCGGAAAAGGAAGACTACGGATGGCCCCATCAGCAGTGCAGGCTGTGTGTATGATTGAGCTAGATTAGTCTTGTTTGTTGCTCGGACCAATTGTGGGCGGCTTGCACTGCCAAAACCACTTCGCATGCGCAAGAGCTGGGACCACTCGCATTCAAAGGCTTGTCCCCACGTTTATGATCAAAGCTTGGCGAACCTATGCCTTAAGCCACACTGGTACAGCTGCACCTCAGCGCGGGAACAACATGTGCTGATGCCCCACGAGCTTTCGGCGGTGATCATTTCACACAGTGTCGGGACAAAACGCAGTGCCAGAAGCAGGCAAGAATTAGCTTCTTCTGCAGCGACCCAGTGTCGATGTCGCTGTTGCGGATATAGCGTGCAATATTTTCAACGGTCTTGTCACGCGTCGGAAAGGGCGTGTTTGCACGAAAGCGTGGCATATGGAGCAACTCCACTGTGATCATGTCAGCTGCTTTCAGTCATAGTATCCCCATGAGAGCTGGCACGGCAACATTAACGCAGACTCGCGGAGCATCGGCCTTGCTATACGTGCCGAGCATGATGACCAACAAAAGGTGTGCAGATTTGCAGAGAAACAGTGTGAATCGCCCTTCCTGTCGCCAAACCCCAGGACAAGAAGGACTCATCTTTGAAACTCATCAAGTGCCGCACGCAGACGAAGTTCTCCAAATATTGACGATTGAAGCTTTTCAACCTGCTGTTGGCACTTGACTTTGAGCAAGGTTGTCTGGCGCAGATACTCCGCCCCCCAGCAGTAGCAGTGGCCCTTGCTCGTATTCTCTGCAGAGAATGGCCTTCGAAGGATTGAACAAGGTGTACTGTAAGCAGTGTGGTTGGCATGGTTAATTTTGGCAAGTGATCAGTACCGAGGTCAAGCAAGGCCGCTCCCGCCTTGCAGCTGCCGCCTTGGGCTGTCTGACTCAGTCTGACCCCTTAACGTGTTTCGGACAAGATCCAGATGTTATTCGTCTGGTCAACCTCTCGCCGCTTCTTGAAAAAGCATGTGGTCAGCATCCACCAACGAAGCCTTGTGTGAGACAAAGGCTCTACCGGGGCACCTCAAGGGTTGGTCTTGAAGAACACCTTCCTGGACATCCCGGATGAGGCGTGGCTTGCATTTATCCTTTGCCCGGTTGTTCTTGTGACATGACACAGGACTCAGATTCCGAAGACTTCCGTCGCGCCGATCGCTTAGAAGAACCTGCCCACGAGATCCCGCACATCCGCATTACGTAGCACGCCTGTTCCGTCGCGAAGGGTGCAAATTGTTGGCTGTTTAGTGCCTTTGGCTGTGTGATGCAGTGTTGTTCAATGCGACGCTGTGACGAGAGTGACGAGAGTGCGCCTAGGCCTTGAGCTGCCCGGCTCGCTTCCTAGGCACTTGCGAGATGGACGACTTGTGCCTCAGCTTCGAGAAGCGACTTTTTCAAATTACTGTTCAAAGTATATCGTCAAACTTCTCAAGGGGTTGTATTACTTTTGTCATGTCATCACATCGTGCAAGCCCACAAGGTCTCATGTATCTCCCCTATGCGGCAGAGTTTCTGCACTTTTCTTCCGACGTGCCGTGTCGTCTGCGTCCTGGCCTTAGGCGCACCTCGAGCCCAGCTTACCTTTCTGTAGTAGTGGCCGTGACATTATGGACAGCGCTGTGTAGTTAGATGTAGCTAAATTGCAATGAGCTAGGAGGGGATAGTGTAGGGGGCACCTTCTTGAGGCCCAGTTCTGCCGCAGCCCACTTCTTTCGACAGGTTTTGGATTTGGAGGCACGCGTGTGCGACAGTACGTGCAGGAATGTTTCTGTGGACTTGTCCCAACTTCCAGGCCTTCAGCACGAACTCGGGCATCGCGTGGTCCGGGACAACAGACGAGACGGGCGGGTTCTTCTCTCAACTAGTGTTGCCTTTCCTAACGCCTAGCTACTATATGCCACTACTATCTACTAGTGCAAGCTGGAGAATCAGGCCAGCACCAGACGGCACGGGTGGACGTGCGGCCCTGCAAGCCCGGAGCTTGGTCAGAGTTTACCACGGCTTCAGTCAAATCTCCTGGACCCAAGGCCTGCAGTCACTTGGGGCTGGCACTTTGCGAGTTGCAAGGCTTCGGTGAAGCCGGAACCATCAAAGGCAAAGGAGCTGCGGAGGAGGACCTGGCAGACCTGGCAGATCTGCAAAAGCCTCGGGAATGCGGAGCCAGTACGTCCTCTGCCTCAGCCCAGGCGGCAGCTTTGCTGGCCGGCCTTCGCGGAGATGTGCCCATCCCTGCTACGCGAGGGCGCGGTCGGCACCGGATGCTGCCGCTTTGGGGTGGTGCTCATGAGAAGATGGAGGTGGCCCCATTTCTCTTCATTGCAGTGCCTCCATGGCCGGGAGCAAGCTCGCAACGGAGCTCTCGTACACCTGCCTTGCAAGTTTCATGTGCGTTGGCGGCGCTGGGCAGAACAGCGGATGCCTTGAGCCTGCAACTTGCTGGCGAAGACGAGAAGCGCCTGCACATTCTGGCGCTTCCAACGGCAGCTCTTATTCTGCTGCAGCTGGCATCGGCCATGGCAGCCATGATGATCCAGGGAGATTGCTGCCGACCCCTCATATGAAGACTTTTTTTTGTCCAAGTTGTGCAGTCAGGTGCTGTCACGGTTCCTGTTGTCTGAGGTGAGCATGGCTTAAAGACGGCAAGGGCTCTGCTTTGGAGGACCCTTCTTGCAGGGCAGAAGTTCGCAGCTCTGGATGCAGCCGATCCGAGCTTGCCTCAGTATATCAGTGGCTTTAAGGCGTGTTTGTGAGCAAGCTATGCCTTGCTATGCCTTACTATGCCTTACTATGCCTTACTATGCCTTACTATGCCTTACTATGCCTTGCTATGCCTTTACTGCGTGTTCGAACTCTCAGAGTCAGTCGCTGCTGGCTGAGGCCCAGGCCAGAGCTACAACCCTTCTTCTCCCATCTGCCATCCAAGGAGGAGTCGGTCCGAGCAGCATTTATCAGTTAGACACTGGTGATGACGCGTCGAGAGCACAGCCTTGCGCTCGACGAGGAGTTGCTTGTCCGCTTTGAGCAGCGACCCTGGGATCTTCACAGTAGGTTACAACGGTTTCAGGCGATTTCAAGACACTGCTAGTTGATTTTGTTGAGTGGAGTTCTGCAAAAGCTGGCTCTCAGGCATCTTTGCGGACGGACGCTTCTGCTCTTCGCGAGTTCGGACGACAAGGCCGTGGCGCGTACGCCTTGTCCGTGCTCTGTAGTCTCCTGCTCTTGCGATGTGCTTAAACCTCAGCTCCTCGCCCTTCCATGCTAGCGCGCAGCAGAGAGTAGTTCCAATCGTTTCCAAAAACACGGGCCGAAAGGTAAGAGAAGGTGAGAAGGTGCTCTGATTCAGTGAGGGTGAGCCCGGTGAGCCCCTGCCTGCTGATGAGGCCAAAGCTCCGTCACCTTTGTCTGAGGCGTGTTGATGCACACGTTGATGCACATCTCAGACCTCAGCAGTGTACTGTTTGGAGCTTTGCGAGCTCGTTGCGCCTGTAACGGACTGGGAGCACGTTGCAAGCGGAGACATGTTACTCTCCACGGCGCGGCCGGTGTTTGAACTTTGCTGTATTTCGCTACCCGGTCGCCCAAAGCAGAGGGTCACTCTTCGACAGGCCCCAGCGGCCGCAGCGGCTTGGGAGGCATTGGATCGCCAGCTGTGCAGGCGCAGAAGCTCTCACTCAAAAAGTTCCTTTGAACTCATCTCAACTTGTGCCAGTTTGGGAGGTTGGAGGGTTGGCTCGACATGCAGAATTCCAACGGCAAGGCCATCGGATCGGTGCTTAGACTGTGACTGCAGCTTTTTCAGTTGTTGGTCGTCAACTTAAGGCAAAGTTTCGTCAACTCCCGTAGGTGGAGGCATCTTTGGCTCGTCTACTGCCAGATCAGGCGAGCTTTCTGTGCTTTGGCATGCGCCTGGGCATCAGAATTTTTTTCAATGTTGTTGATCCTGTTGATGACCTCTGTACGTAGGTGGAAGAAGAGTCAAGGCAGGTCAGCCGGTTTCATGTTGCAGTTCGAGCGTGGCATGTGCAGGGTACATACGGTGCCGATGCATGCTGCGAAGTCCTGCCTGTGACTGCAAACAAGTGACGGTTCAACCAACCAGAATTGCATGCTGTACAGGGCATCCTCAAGCAGTTTTCGCTTCACCAGAGCTGATTGAACTTTTCTTGCAGGTGGGACCTCCATGATGGCAGTCAGGCTCGGAATAGGAGCCGACACATCCGACACCCTGTTCCAATGGTTGAAGTAGTTGAAGTAGTGGCAGGTCCGAGCACACCGTTGGCGCATTCGAGCAGCGTGGCACTTGGAGCGGAGTGTGCGACTTCTGCCCTCCTGCATCTTGGAGGCACGGGGAGATGCTGTCACTGAAATGTCCGGGTTTGGGGCTTATGATGACCAACATCGCAGATCAGATCACCAGTGCGCAGGCGAGATCTCAGCGTTGCTGCAGCTCATTGCTGAATCAGTCTGATCCATAGAGAGAGAGAGAGAGAGAGAGAGAGAGAGAGAGAGAGAGAGAGAGAGAGAGAGGGAGGGCGAGAGAGGGCGAGAGAGAGAGAGAGAGAACCCGTTCGACTGAACCGCTTGGCTGTCGCAGCCTGGTCCCCTCTGAAGGCCCTAAAGCGTGCAGAAGAAGAAGAAGAGATCAGTGCATCCCATTCGTGCTGTGACAAGTAGCACGGGCGCTGCTCTCAGGATCATGATGACGTTCGCTACCTCGCTTTCGGAAGCAGCTGCCAGAGACCAAGTCGCAAACGCCCACGGACTCCCTGATGCAAACTGCACCAGTGCGAAGGTTGGGCTGTTGGGACAAGCTGAACTCCGAAAAGGAGACCAGCAGCTGCTAGCAGTGCGGGATGCTGCTGGAAATAGTAAGAAGCTTCCTGCTTCGCAGATGCGGCGGGCGGCTCTACCTCTCTCATGCAGGCAGGAGTTTTGCTTCTTTGTCTGGGAGAGTATGTGTTCGCTGCCCTGACACCAGCCGTTCCAATGCTCACAAGTCCTGAAACTATTCCCTATCGCACTGCAGTCACCTAACACCATCCCTGGCCCAGCGTCTGCTCAGAGATATAGAGAAGTTCATCTTGCAGTAGTATCTTCATCTTTATTCACTTAACTTCATGGAATTGCTGTCTGACTGTTGCCATGGCAATGGCAAGTTGCCGACCCAAGCGAAAACGTGATTCAGGCGACAGACTGCAAAGGACCACTGTGCTGCACGTGCCGCACGTGTACTGGTGAGTGGACATGCCTCCGTTCAACTGCAGTCCTTTAATGCAGCCCTTTAAAGCAGCAACAGCCTGGCACGCGGCTCCATTCAGAAAGAGTGGCCAGGCCAGCAAGCACGTGTGAGACGTCAAACTGCCCGATCTGTTACGGCAGAGTCAGAAGCTGTGTTGCGCTGGTTCCTTGCGGCCACGTGTTCTGCAGATGCTGCGTGAACCTCGGATACAACAGAGGTGCTCCTTGATCATCTGTACGTGTCAGTTCGACCACATGGAAGCTTGTGCTTCCCAGGCAAGAGTGGCTGAAGCGCTCCTCCTCATGTCCGTCCTGCCGTGCTGAAACTCTCGAGCCGAGTTGGGTGCGGGTTCGGATAGTTGACGAGCTGTTGGAGCTGCTTCACGCTTGGCAAGGCGCTGCCTAAACTCCTTGAAAGGGTGTGCAGGTCTGGCTGTGTTGCTGTTGCGAAAGCCCCATCTCTTCACAGGAACAGCAGCTCGGCCATCTGCCAGCCAAGAGATGAAAGATGTTCCGACAGGTTTCTGCGGGCTCCCGTGTTGCACTTCTGGTCGCTGCTAGTCAACTGCTGGTAGTGCTGGAATCCATTGGACTAGTTGTGATTTCAAGGCCATTGCCGTTGCTGAGGAGATGTCGTGAAACTTTAAGCAGTTCTGGCGGTCAATCCTGTGGCGCCGTTCTCATGCAGATCAGAATGCAGATCAGAATGCAGATCAGAACAGATGGGAGGTATCAGGAGGGAGGTATCTCTTGTGGTGCTCGGATGCTCGGTGTGGCTGAGGCGTGTGTGAGACGGATCTCGGGCTGTGCAGCCGCTGCTCAACTGACACGGTACTGCAGTGCGAGGAGTGCGAATGTTGGATCTGCTGTTCCTCCTGTGCTTCGCGGCCATGCGTCTACTGCCGTACGCCTCATGTATGTGCGAACTGTTTTACCTCTCCTCTGAGGCGCTGCCCGCGGCCAGAGTGTTAAAAAATCAGCCGGTTGAAACTTTCAGGGTCTGGGATGTCGGTGTTTACCTATTCCACAAGGCTGAACAAGCTGCATCTGCAGGTGCTGAAGGCGGCATATGAGCAGCTGAGTCGAGCAGAGGACCTGGCCACGGCTGCTGGTCACAAGGCCCCCCCCCCTCCCCCCCGCAATGGTGCATTCAATATTTCTGTATGTACGTACGTACCACGTACGTATGTGTATGTGTGTGTGTGGGTGTGCATGTATGTATGTATGTATGCATGCATGCATGCATCTATGTATGTGTGTGTGTATGTGCGAATACCTGCTATTTCATGTTTGGTATATCGTAGTATCCATCTTGTCTCATCTTGCAAAAGTGACTGAAAGAAGTGCGGAGGCAGCCGCAGCGCTGGCCCAGGCCAGCAGAGGCCATCTGTGCGCACTGGCTGCTGCCCGGGTCCCAAAGCGTTTGAAGGGATGCTCTATATTTATGTATGTATGTATGTATGCATGCATGCATGCATGTATGTATGTATGTATGTATGTATATATGTATGTACTGTGGTCAGTGCGAATACGTGCTGTGGGCCGCTGCTGTACTGTTGGTTGCTACCGTGTTTCTGACGATTCCACGAGTAGCCCAAACGTGCTACAATCAGAAAAATTCCCACTGAATATATTAAATAGCATGTCCTGGTGGACGCAAAGGTTCGCAGCATCTCCAACTCAAGGTGTTGGCACATTTTTGTATGAGATGGTATTTGCGTGCTTGCGCTACACATGGCGCGGTGGCTTTAACCAAAAAGTGTCAGCTTATTTCTATATATAGACACGTATGTGTGTGTGTGTGTGTGTTGACCTGAGGACCACATGATGCAAACGGTATCAACTCGTCGTCGTTTGATGGTTCGTATATGCCTGTACGAGATATGCCGTGATGCCTGTCTTCGACATTCAGCCGTCGATTCGGGTTGCAGGTACTGTTCACTGGATTGATGTGTCTGTGACTGCTTCACGTCCCTGCAGCGTTGAGCACCAAGGATTGCATCGTGGATGCACTGCACAGAGGACAGCTGTGCTATGGTCAAGACCTGAACCACCGAACCCCTTCTGCACCTGGTTGCAGGCGATTGCAATTCAGCTGAGCAGGCAGCTGCAGATTGCTTATGTGTGTCGGGTCTTACATGGTCAGCAGCACACTCCAGGCTGATGTGGTCCAGTGCACCTCGGTGGCAAGCAGCACTATGTAAAGCATCTGGGTACTGCCAGGATTCATCAGGCAGCGACGAGTCAGTATGTTCGCAGAGCAGGGCCATTGCAGGGCTTTTGCTTTTCAAAGGCTTGCTCGAGGACGAGGACATAACCCTGAACGATGATCAGGTGCATCACTGATATTGCCGATTTTGCTCGTGTGTGCGTTATTCCCATTGGTTCGTTGCCTACTCCGGCAGACTTGCGAGGATGAGATTGTGCTGGTTGGCCGACTGGGGGACCGAGCAGTGGCAGAGACATATGCCCTTGACTGACTGCAGCTTTTCTTCTCTTGCTCTGATGTGTGAGATGGCTGAACTGAGGCAGCCATGCGCAGCTCGATGCTCAGTTCCTCATGCTCGACATCTGTTGAGAAGCTTGTGCGATCTTGTGCATATAGCAGAATACTGTCAGAAAGAAATTTGTGTCTGGGTACTGGAAGGCACAGACCCTGTGGTCGAGCCTGATGCAGCATCAGTGCTGGCGCTAATGGCCAGCGGGGCTTTGCAGGTCGACCTGGTTGCATGCGTTGGAGCGGAGTCCAGCGTGGCTTGCCATCTGCGCAGGCAGCCGTGGCTCGCCTGCGCGCGCTGCCTCCCCCCGACCTCTCCGAGGAGCAATGCCGGCACATTGCCCTTGACATGCCTGGAGCTTGGATGACCTTGGCCATGTTTTCATGACCCGTCACAGAAATCTGGATGTCGTTGTGATATGCTGTGACCGGTGCGAAGGCTTGGACAAGCCGTCCAGCTACTTCCTGGCGAAGGATGTTTCAGGGGTACGACGTGCATGTACCCACCAAAAGCACAACTACTTCATGCAAGTCCAGGCTGCTCAAGTGCCAGTGCCGTTGGAAATGTATCTGTGGACAGGCGAGTGCCTTTGAGTCTACCAGTGTGCCGGTCCGTCCCTTCATAGCTCTCCGGTGTCTGAGGCAGTGTGCCATTTTGTCTGCCCAAGCGCACATGACCCTCAGCAAGGTGCAAGTTGCGGGGCGTGCTGCGCAAGTCCATGAGGGGTGTATGATGGTGTATGCCAGGTGCATTCCAGCCTGGAGATTGGTACTTGGGCCTGCCAAGACAGGTGCTGACGCCTGTCCCAGAAGCCACGATTTCGGTTTTTGGCGTACCAGGACTCGACAGCAGCAAAAAGCTGCAACTTGGCACCTGGACAGAGTGCGAGCGGCACTGCACAGAGCGTCCCAGCCTGCAGCGGGCCTAGACATGTCCGAGATGCACCCAAAGTGTGTTCGCTTTTTCTTTGTTCTGGCAAGAACTTAGTTCAAGGTGCGATTTGAAGACCACCTTGTGGTGACCGCCATGTGCGCCCGGCTCGATGCAGGGCCTGGCTTTACTGCACTTTCAACTTCTGCGCCAAATGCTCCCATGCTCCCCGCCATGCTCCCATTGCATGGCAGGCTGATTCACGTGCATGTGCTCCACGCCGGCCTCATCAGCCTTAAACCCGGAAGCCTGTCCCACAAAGAAGTCGCGACAGTTCAGTTCGAGTCATTTCTCGCAAGCAGATGCAATGTATGCCCGCCGAATGAAATGACCAACTCACTGCCGGGCATTTGTTTGAGCGCCAATGCTAAGCTGTTCTGGTACCTTCGAGGCTGTGGGTGCGTCACGACCAAGAAGCCGCATGAACGCAGCCGGGGCTCTTGGTATCTTCCGCCTGTGTCACAGGGTTTGGTTCCCTTCACACGGCCAAGGTCTTGAAGAGCTGATCGCAGCAAGCCGGCTTGCCACAACTGCTTCCACCTCAGATCCATGAACGACCTTGCTCATGTTCACTCCTAAAGGTTTTGCAAACTTTCATGGCATGCTGAAGTGCCTGGAGGAAGATGGTTCCAGTGGCTTTGCAGGCGTGATGTAGCGCGTGTAAACTGGTGGTGTGCAAGGACGATTTGGTTTGAGCTGCTCTACGTACCAATGCTTTGCAGGTGACTGCGTGCTGCCTTTGCAGCTGCAGGCTCATGTTGACATTCATGCTGTTGTTGTCCTCTGACCGAACGACTGCATCCGGCTGTGGTACCGAAGTTGCTCACAAGAGTCGCTCAACACAGACCCGCTCTCCGGTCCCCAATGCTCTCTTGCTGCTCTCATATCTTGGTTTCTCAGAGACTCCAATGTAGTGTTGATGGCAGACTGCGTGGATGGAGACCAAGACTGTTGCGCTTGACCGGCTACGTGTCAAGCTCGACTGGGATGCAAGATGACCACTGCTATCCGGAGTCTCTGTGCTGTTTGCAAGGCCATGTGCTGCGGGTCCTATGTACAGGGAAAGCTTCGAGTTCCGTTGAAGGACCGACAGCACTGAGTACACATGGGGCGGGAAGAACGAGCAAAAAACTGCCTTGCACATCCTGCGCTCTGATCTCAAGGATGGAAGAACCTGTATCGGTATGCGCTCAAGCTCCAGCCGTCTGACTCTTGAACCATGACGGCAGCACAGGAGCACTTGTGCCGTCAGATCATGTGGCCAAGGTCTGAACTGTCCGAGCTGGTCAGTGCTTACGAGAAGGCCACTTCATGAAGCTGTCAAGTTAATGTTCAGGCGCCTTCGTGCCCACACTTCGTAACCTCAGCGCATCCCTTGGGGAGCGTGATATGTAGAGCTTGCTGCGAATGTCTCACTGTGTACAGGAGGCGATTGCACCGGCAAAGATGTCTACTCACATGTTGCGCAGCCTTTGTTCGTCCCAGCTGTGGCATGCTGTCGTGCTCGCATGATGTTGCGAACTTGTTGAGAACTGCAACCTTCTTAGCTATGTGCAAGCATGGATATGCCATGGGCCCTTAACCCTAAACCCTAAACCCCAAGCCTAAACCCTATAAACCCTAAACCCTAAACCCTATAAACCCTAAACCCTAAACCGTAAACCCTACACCCTAAACCCTAAACCCTAAACCCTAAACCTTAAACCCTAAACCCTAAACCCTAAACCCTAAACCCTAAACCCTAAACCCTAAACCCTAAACCCTGAAGCCTAAAGCACCCTAAAACGGTGGCACGGAGGGCGTGCAGGCAGCAACGTGTTTGCTGGAACTTAGGTTGTTGCATGTGAATTTTCCAAAATGCGGGGTTCCTGTTCCCCAAGCCACTCAATGCATTGCTGTGCTGATGGAGCCTAGCGATTTCATGAGATCAGGCCTTCCCATCGTGCAACTACCAAACATACAGTTGCAGTAGTTTCACGATGTTTCCTTGAGTTTGCGCAACAGTTGTATGGTTCTTTGTGATTGAAGAGGCTATGCGCTTCCTAGGAGGGTGGCTCTGCACGGGCTTGCTGTGCGCTTCTGAGAGCCTCACTTGTGAATTGCTTCCCGTCTCCCACAAAGCTCCCAAGGACCCTTGCTAGAGCAGCACCAACAGTGCACGGCTCAATCTGACTGAGTGCATCAGCCAGTATCAGCCATTTTGGCAATGCCTTCATCATCCACGCTGCTCGATCGCGCCGCATAGGTCGACATAAATGATCCCGTGAGCCTGGGCAAGTGCATATGCGACCTTACACGGGTCTGGGCCTTGCGGCCACCGTGAGCATCTGCAAGCTTTGCCTTGAAGACCTGACAGGGCCAATGCGATGTGAATTGCTGTTCCGAGCCCAGCAAGCGGTAAGAAGACTGCGTTCATTGTGCCTCGGATGCAGCTTTCGTTCTCTCCTTGAGGCTGTGATCCAGACTGCACCAGTCTCGTGGGCCTCACCGCGAGTTTCAGCTGTCTTCCTGAAGGTGCCCTGAATGGAACATCGGAATCGCGGATACAAAACCAAGAAAAAATGGAGACCTGCCTTAGATTTAGCCTCATACATGGCACGCTGGTGGACTGACAGTTCCTTGCTTAGGCCCAGTTAATGCAAGTGCGCAGTACTGCTACTCGAAAAGCTGGCTTCACAGCGTGAATCCGTTTGAAGCTCAGATGTTCCTCAAGATGCACGGCACCAAACTCAAGTTTCTTGCTTCGGCCCGAACTCCGAGGCGTGTGGATCTCTGGGTCATTGCAGATGATCTTCGCGGCCTTTTGTGCGTTTCTGTCGACAACAGCCACTTGAAGCACACACTCGCTGCCAGCTGTTCTGGAGCCAGCAACGAGTGTTAGCAGAAGCTGGCTGACCTCTGGATGGCAGCTCAGGTGCAGTGCGTGGCGAAGTGTTCGAGAACGAGGCGTGCAATGCAGCACAGACAAAGGCCTCGACGTTGCAAAGCCCTGCGATGGCAGGCCACGCTTTCAACTTCGCAGATCGATGCGGTTATACAGGACAGAGAGGGTGCTTTGGACTACAGCCAACGTTGTTCATCCGGGGCTCTGATCTACCTTTAATGAGTGTCCTCAAGGAGAGGCAGCGAAGCAGCTCCTCAGTCACTACAGCCTGAGCCTCATAAGTTCTTTGCTGTCTGGGCATGCCAGGTCATTGCTAGCTCTCGGAGCAGATAAGGCGGTGGAACAAGCTCTTCGAGGGTACCGTGCAGGTGATATACTGAAGGCACCTGCAACACCATGCAACACCATGCAACATCATGCAACATCATGCAACACCTGCCGAGTTGTAGAGAGCTATCTGCTTAGCTGTGTGCGAAGTTTGGCCTCAGATTCACTTTGCGCTCTCCGCAGCTGGGGAGGCGCTCGGAGACGTCTCGCAATTCTTAGTGCGGACTAGAGCATGAAGAAGCTTTAGATGGAGTACTGGTGGCGGAGGTTTCTTCAGACTTGCAGCATGAGACTCAAGAAGTGTGATTGAATACGCAGTTCAACTTCGTCAAGATTGTTAGAATCCCAGGTGTATCGAATGTCTCGGCTTGCTGAAGACAAAAGTGTTCACTTGAGATGAGAGCTCCTTCATTCATCTCCGCCATTGTCACCATCCTCACGCCTTCCTCTGAGTGCAGGTCCTACCCATAGCAGGTCCTGCGACGCTCGAGGCTTCTGGCAATGTGGAGGCGCAGTTCCGTCATATTCGTCCGGGCATTGGGATGGCACTGGGGGAAGCCACAAAGGCCGTTACCCGCTTGCACTTGCCCACGGCGGATCCCCTGGGCACATGTGCAGACCCCGGCCAAGCAGTGAGGCACACTCGGGCGCTGTTCGAGCAATTTGGCGCAGTTAGCTCGAGTACAGTGGTCAGGGGACCATGGCTTGAGAGGGACGCGTAGGAAATCGCGTGTAGAGAGCTGCGTGCAGTTGCTTGCAGCTCATTCTCCTTTGACGCCAGGTTCTTGAATGACGTTCCTTCAGCAAGCTGTTGGCACAGAAATGTGGACTTGGCGACGACTTGCACCAAGCTGGGACCCAGGCCTGCAAACTCAATGCAATGTATCAATGCGAAACGCGCACTAGGCAGACTGACGTGAGACAGGTCTCGCTTGGGCAGCTATATGTCTGTGCCTTACAGATCTTTGTGCTGTCAGCACAGGCTTTCTATTTGCATCTGAGATGCGAGTATTCTTCTGTGTCACTAGTGAGTCTGAAGTACCAGGGCACTGTTTTCTGTCACACTGGTGGCTTCTCGACATCCAGGGCATTGATTTTGTTTCAATCTGGTGTGCCCTATGCCCTATGCTTGTTCAGAAAGTGGCAGTAGTGTAGAACGAGCTGCTCTCCCTTCAAGTCGTACGAAGCAGAGAAGCACGGAGAAGCCCTTTGCCAATGGAAGTCTTTGTAGTTGGATGTATTTGGATGTGTACCCACAGTAAGGCTGCGCAGCCAGTACATGCCGGAGGCACCCTTTTTTCGGAGTCAGCCTTGTCGAAAATGAGCTCTGAAGCTGCAAAGGAAGTGTCTATACAGATAGAGATATGATATATATATATATATATATATTTTAAGGGGCTGCGCCCATGGGCGGGCAGCGCACGCAGAAGCCCGGGGCGAGCAGTTTCTCAGCATGTTGAGGCCCCTAAACTCCCTTAAGATCTCTATAAGCGTTAAGTTTCTAAGCATTTTCAGGCCCCTAAACTCCCTTCAAATCTCTAAGCGTTTGAGGCTCCTAGACTCCCTTAACGTTTCTAAGCACTTTATAAGGCCCCTAAACTCCCTTTTTCCTAGCCCCGGGCTTAGACACGTCGCTTATGCCCGCCCTTTGGGGGGCATCATGCTCCTGATGCGCCCCCGGGGTCCCGCCCCGTGAGCCGCTGATGCTCCTGATGCGCGCCTGGGGGTCCCGGGCTGGACCCGCTGATGCTCATGATGCGCGCCCTCTGGGGGCCTCCGTGGCGACGCAAAAAACCACGAAAAAAAAACCGTTCACCGGCGGCACGCGGGGGTCGGCGGCACTGGCGTCCGGCCTAATTCTGCTTCGCAGAAGGCCAGAGGCCAGCAAGGCTATTCCCGGGACGACCCGGGCTAAAAGGTCCGCATTTGCTCGGTCCTTGGGGACCTCGCGCTGCCCGATTTAATGGCTACCGCCAGTGCCGCCGACCCCAGACCCAAGACAGTCGCATTGGGGCGGAAGGCAGGGTGGAGCGCGGGGCGGGGGGGGTGGGGGTGGGTGGGGGTGGAAAGGGGGGCGGCGGGGGTGGGGGGTGTGGGGGGTGACGGTAGAGGGTTGGTGTCGGATTAGGGAGTTGGGGGCGGAAGGCAGGGGTGGACTGGGGGGCATAGAGATGAAGAAGCGATGAGAGCGGTGAGAGCGGGGGGGCGGTCGGATGGTGCACGATGGTGGGAGGGGGTAATGATGAGGGCTGGGGGTTGGTGGGAGGGTTAGGGAGTGGGAGTGGGAGAGGGTGGGGGCGGCTGGCGGAAAGGGGCCTGACTCATTTGACCAGCTCTGGTGAGAGGGTTGGGCGCGGCGGGTGGACAGGGGAGGTGACGGTCGAGGGTTGGTGGAGTTGGGGGCGGAAGGCAGGGGAGTGATGAGAGCGGGGAGGCGGTTAGGGCGGGCGTGGATTGGAATCCCTCAAACTAGAGATTTGTCAGGGGCGGAGTAGGGGGTAGGGGCCTAGGAGGGAAGGGATGGGGGGGGTGGGGGGGGCGGGGCTTCAGAGTCGAGGTGGCGGGTGGGGGGTTGAGGGCAAAGGGTTGGTGTCAGGGAGGGGTGGACTGGGGGGCATAGGGAGGGGGAGTGATGAGAGCGGTGAGAGCAGTGAGGGTGGTCAGGGCGGGCATGGACTGGAATCCTTAAAAACACCAGAGATTGGTCGGAGCAGGGGCGAGGCCCACAGGGTGGGGGGTGGGGGGGGTGCGGGGTGGGGGGGGGGGGGGGGGGTGGGGGGGGGGGGGGAGGGGGTGGGGGGGGGGTGGGGTGGGGGGGGGGGGGGAAGGTGGGGGGGTGGGGAGGGCGGTGAGAGCTGAGGGCAGGGGCGAGGCCTACAGGGGGGTGGGGGGGGGGGGGGGTGGGGGGGGTGGGGGGGGGTGGGGTGGGGGGGGGGAGGGGAATCTCTAGTTTGAGGGATCCCAATCCACGCCCACCCTAACCGCCTCCCCGCTCTCATCACTCCCCTGCCTTCCGCCCCCAGCTCCACCAACCCTCGACCGTCACCTCCCCTGTCCACCCGCCGCGCTCCACCCTGCCTTCCGCCCCAAACCTTTCACCAGAGCTGGTCAAATGAGTCAGGCCCCCCTTTCCGCCAGCCGCCCCCACCCTCTCCCACTCCCACTCCCGAACCCTCCCACCAACCCTCCCCAGCCCTCATCATTACCCCCTCCCACCATCGTGCACCATCCGACCGCCCCCCCGCTCTCACCGCTCTCATCGCTTCTTCCCCTGCCTTCCGCCCAACTCCCTAATCCGACACCAACCCTCTACCGTCCCACACCCCCCACCCCCGCCGCCCCCCTTTCCACCCCCACCCACCCCCACCCACCCCCACCCCCCCCGCCCCCCCGCGCTCCACCCTGCCTTCCGCCCCCATGCGACTGTCTTGGGTCTGGGGTCGGCGGCACTGGCGGTAGCCATTATATATATATATATATACATACATACATATATATATATATATACATATACATACATACATATATATATACATATATATATATATATACATACGTATATGATCCCGGGCTCCCCAGCCTTCCCCGCCCTCGGATGGCCCGCCGATAATCCCTGTGCCCTATAAAGCCCGAACTAAACCTTAAGCCCTTCAAGGCCGGTCTGAGCTCGAGGTCGCAGGGTTTCGGGTTTGGGTTTAGGGTGTACACCACGAGGGGGGCAGGAGCACCTAGACCGTGACCCTAAAAGCCGAAAACCCCACACCGCACACCCAAACCCGAAAACCTTAAGTGCCAAACCCTAAAGCCCTAAAGCCACAACCGGAAGCCCCAAACCCTAAACCCACGGGAGGGGTATTTATGGCCCCGTGTCGGCATGTCAGTAGCCCCCCCCATGGTACGACCCAAACCCTAAACCAAAAAACCCTAAAACCGTAATTAAACCCTGACAACCCTACACGCCTAAACCCCCAAAAACCCCTCAAGCCCCTAAAAGCCCTAAAACCCCTAAAAACTCCTAAAGGCCCCCCACGCCCGAAGCCCTAAAGCCTAAATCCTACCCTCAATCCTAAACCCACCCGTTGGGGGGCCCCCACGGTGTCCGAAACCTTACACCCTAAACCCTATCCCCAACCCCCCAACCAAACCACAGAGGGGGGAACCTAAACCCTAAACCTTCAATCCTACACTGTGAGCAAGGCCCCTGATTAGCTGCCGGCAAGGCAGCGCGCCGCAGCGACCCGTCAAGCCGTTGACGACGGCAGCCGACAACTGAGTAGCGACAGTCTGGCAATTGGACGTCAACGCCCTCCTTAGCACCAGAAGAGTTAGCTTGTGGCGTCGTAACTCACAGCTTTGAACGAGTTCAAGTACAGCCCTTAATCATTAGGATTTCGGATTTTGTGTTCAGGCGCTCGCGCTTCCGGCTGGCTCGGGTCGGTTCTGGCACGCCTGTCTGTGACTACGCAAAAGGAATCTTCGCCTCTTTCGGCTGCTTGCAATTGGGCCTCTGCATGCCTTTGTTGGGGCCTTTGCTTTGCCCTTCACCACCTTTGCCTTGGCTTTCGCTGATAATTCACAACTGCCTCGCGCTACAGCCTGCCCTCTCCTCACTTTGCTGGTCACAAAAAACAAGCCCTCCAGCGGCACGAGCTGGGGCATCGCTGCCTGACGTGTTTTAGGGATTGAGTGTCTCGGATCTGTGGCCTAAAGTCATCAAGTCTCGGTGGCGTAGTTCAGGATATATGGGTTTTTGGTTTTCTGGACTGGAACAGCACAGATGCGACGTGGACCTTGTCCCAGGAAATCCTTTGCTTGGTCACGATCCCGTTTGTTCTTTTGTCGTTCCTGGTCATCGCTCGTAGCTGCTTGATGGCCTACGGCCTACGGGACGGCAGGTCGCTTGCCCAGGCGCTTCTCTTTTATCTTAACTTGCGCTGACCCCGAGAAGTGATGAAGTGAAATGCCTACGAGAGCACCCGCCAACCTCCGAAAGCAACGACAGCACCCGCGCTCGTGCGCCTGGTGCCTACAGGCGAGCGCCCGATGTCGACCGAAAAGTCGAAAGCTACGAGCGGAAGCGCTCGGAATCTGGCACTCTGGCACCCGTCGATGCTTCTAGAGAGTCGGGCCTCTTCCTCGCCGGCTCCGGCTGTCCGCACGTTTGTTGTTGCGGTTCGTCTTGGAATTCTGCCGCCAACGTTCTTAGTCCTGGCAGAAAACATGCCGCGGGCACCACTCACTGCGCCAAAGAATTCATTGTAAACTCAAGAAGCGGCAACGAAACGGAGTCCATATGGAGGCAACGAAGCCACGCAGACCGAAAGACTAAAAGCAAGCTTTAACTTATAGCTGTCCCGGAAGCAAGATAATGTTAGTACCCGAAGCTTTGCCATTCAGAAAACGAGAAAACCAATGAATCCGAAATAACGAGAAAATTGTCGCCACAAAAAGTAGCCCTAAACCCTACTAAAGTAAGGCTCGTGCGGTCTTGGGGTGAGGTTTAGCTTTCGTGGGCACAACCGCTTGGGTCGAGGCGCGTCGCATCAGTGAGCAAAAGCTCAACCCTAAACCTTAAACCTTAACCCCTAACCCCAGCCCCCCAGTGGGGGGGAAGGGGAGACTGGGGTGGGGATTGCGGGGGGTGTAAACCCCGGTGCCAAACCCCTGCGTTCCAGCTATGAAAGCCCACAGCTGACCCGGTCGTGCAAGGTCGCGTGACAGCAGGCTTTGACAGCATAAAAGATCAACCTCGAGCTTCTGCCTGAGCTGTCCGCCCATGGGCGCAGCCCCTTCAAATATACTTTATACTTTATACCTTATATTTCTACTTTATATATCCGCCGACCCCAGCGGTAGCAGGGCGGCGTCAGTGAAGACCCCCCACCGCCCTCACCGCCCTCACCCGCTCTCACAGCATGCTGCTCATGACACCTTGAATTGGAGTGTTTTTGCATTGTTTGGCTTCAGTGCATGCCCAAACCCCGCCACCCATCGCCCTCACCCATGACGCCTTGAATTGGACCTGGCCCCCCACCCCATCCATTCAGGTGGTTTAAAGGGTCCAGTGCTCAGGGGTGGAGTGGGGGGTAGGGGCCGAGGAGGGAAGGGATGGGGGGGGTGGGGGGGGATGGGGGGGGTGGGGGGGGGTGGGGTTTCAGAGTCGAGGTGGGGGGTTGAGGGCAAAGGGTTGGTGTCAGGGAGGGGTGGACTGGGGGGCATAGGGAGGGGGAGTGATGAGAGCGGTGAGAGGCTGAGGAGCAGGGTCGGGGTGGGATTGGTCAGGGGGGGGGGCATGCACTGGGGGGGGGTGGGGGGGGGTTGGGAGGGGGGGGGGGGGGGGGGGGTGGGGGGGCGTGGGGGGGCGTGGGGGGGCGTGGGGGGGCGTGGGGGGGCGTGGGGGGCAAAAACACTCCAATTCAAGGTGTCATGAGCAGCATGCTGTGAGAGCGGGTGAGGGCGGTGAGGGCGGTGGGGGGTCTTCACTGACGCCGCCCTGCTACCGCTGGGGTCGGCGGATTTATGTCTATCAGTTCATATATCTATCAGTTCACATATATATATATATGTATATATATACATGTATATAGACATATACATGAGTTTGTTTCCATGTCCATGCCAGAAGCATCTGTGCATTTCAGCCCAGCAGTTTCCTTGATTGCCAGGACATGCGGTGTGGAACTCGTTGCCTTCTACCAGATTTTGCAGCTTCGTGTCCTGTTGAAACTGAAGCTGCCGCGGCCCTGGTACCAATATTCCTTGTGGTTTCTTGACTTGGGATTACTTGCCTGATTCTAAATGGCTAATCGCAAATCTTGAGAACCGAGGCAGATGGATCCGTGCCTCTCCGAGGATGTCATTGTGACGCAGGGTAGGCATCCTTTTGCTGGGGCCACTCTTGTCAGGTTAGCACCGCATCCTGCAGCGGGGACTTGCCGGAACTCCAAGAACCAGTTTTCTCAGCAGGTGCCAACATGGCATCGAATGGCCCAATGCTTTCACGTGTCATGGTCGACGTTCGGTCTCATCTTTCTCTCAGTTGCAGGCACGGACTCTTGCAGCTGCAAGGGCATGCTCAAGGACATGTGGCTCTCCCGGCTCCGGAAGAGGGAGTTTTAGAGTTTTGCCATGTGTTGCCTTCATGTCGCAAGCCCACGCAAAGGGCCGTCTCTGCAAGTAACATTCGGCGTGTCATTGCGTCAACTGAGTCATTACACCTTCACTTTTGGATTGGACGAGGCGCTGCAGGTAATTTCCTCAGCTACTCGAGATTGTAAACCAGTGAAGCACACTTCTTCCTGTTGCGCGCTAGGTGGTGCGCATCAGCAAGATGTCAGTCCGCTTCACGTTGCAAGATGTCGTCAGTCAAGGTGCGAGATTTCCAGATCCATGCGTGGGCCGTGGGCGTTCTTTGTGTTTATCGCCATGTGATGTAGACCGTCATAGCGCAGAATGAATTTGTCGTGTCGGGGCACATGCATGAAGATTGAACAATCCGGTCTACCAGCTTGCACGGGGTCCATAACAGCTCACTCCACACTACTTACAAAGAGCTTCCTCCAGTTGAGCAAGCTCCATCACGCAGCTCTTTCGTCAGCGGCCAGCGCGTGTGCAACTAGCAGAGGTTTTTCGCCAGCCGGTGAAGTGCTCTAGATCTCTAAAACAAAGGGTGTGCAGGAGAGCTGTGCAAGTAAAGCGTGACTTTCAACTAGCATTCGGCTTCACAAGGCGTCGTGAAGGTGTGCGAAGCCTGATGATGACTGTGCAGGCTGCCGGACGGTGGATGTGCAACAAGGAAGCAGCGTTCGCTTCTTGCAGGTACTGGCCCAACAGGTTACACTTCAGCAGTTACAAAATATCTCATGGTTGCTGAGGCGCAAGCGGATGGAAGCCAGTTGGAGGTGTGGTCTGACCCTCCTTGTTTTCCTGCGTCTTTCCTTTTCGCTGATGCTTTGAGTGCAGGCTCGTTCTGGCAATCCAGGATATCAGCAAGGACTGTCCTTTCCCCAGCCGTGTCGCCTTCCAGGCGTGCAGTCTCGGGAACGCTTGATAAGTCCCTGTTGAGGCCGCTGCTGGTTTCTCGGTGCCTCACCTTCGATGCCTCTGGCACGTGCTCCGACTATGGAATGCGTGCGACAGCTGCGATTCCAGGCATCACGCTGGCAGGCGCATAAAGCTTCGGACAGTTCGAAGATTTTGGACATTGCGAATGGTGCGATGTACCATGATGTACCATGTCCGGGTTCTCAGCCCTTGGAGGCACATGTCAACGTTCGAACAGCAGCAGCGTTCTGACTCAGGACGCCAGTCTAGCGAGTGTAGACATGAAAAGGCGCGCAGCATCTTGCTGATGTCGAGGTTCCGATTAATTTCGGCGAAAATTCCATGACCGGCCACGACCTGAACTAGTACCAGAGCAGGTCCAGTGCAACTCGCGAGGTGGAATGTATGTCTGCAGAACAGGCTGCACATTGTCATTGACGAGAAAGGAGCTGGCCTCTCTATGTCGCACAGGCACGTCGAGGAAGGTCTCATGTCCTCCAAGGTGTTTGAGCATGGTGCAAGGCCTTTTAGGGGTGAAAGTCCTTGCCTCCTGGCCAGACAATCCTGACTCGGCAAACGGCTTCACTGGTCGGTGCCCCAGTTGTTTTTCGTAGCCTTCCATAGCATCTGTCCCTTGAACAGCCTCTCTTAGCTTGTTCCAGCAGCTAGGCCTGCTTGCGATGCTGCCTATCGGCCGTAAGTATCTCAGCAACTGTGGTGCAGAGCTTCTGGCCTCACATCAGCATGCGGATTTCAAGGTTCCGGGAATCGATGGACTCACATTGCCGCTTTCGGCAACGTGCCGACTGATGCACAAGATGCGGCAGACTGGGTTGAGGTGCACAGATGTCAATAGCACTGTGTCTTGTACCTGGTTTCTGTGCGACCGTTCTCAAGCAGGTCGAGGAGCGTGCCAGGACCTTCACCAGTAAGACCACTGAAGGCGTTGCACTTCCTTGCGAGTTGCTTTCAAAGTGCTCGCTGCATATCCTGATGTGCAAGAGGCATTTCTGGCTCAGAGTGTGTTAGCAAGGCAGCGGGGGGTAATGTCCACAGACAGCCATGTAGTGCAGAAGTGGCTGGCTGCTTATGTGGAGAGCTACCACATGCCTCCGCAGCATGCCCAGCAATTGTGCGCCTTTGCTCGACATCGAGGTGCCCACCTTATGTACAGAGTTGTGCGGGATACACTGTCGCAGTCGAGCCGAATGATCACAGAGGGAAGTGTTGAAAGCATGAGGGACCTCGGGGAAGACAGCGTTGATGTGGCGCCCATCAGTTGTTGGCCTGATCACCATTCAAAATCAGCTGATGGACTCGATTCTACAACTCCTGTGCTTCGTCGCCTGAGGAGTGACATCAAGGGAAGGAGCAATGAGAGAAGCATCAGGATCATCAGAAGAGCAGCGTCCGCACCCAGATCCTTACATGCTAGCAATGCGGTTTCGAGCATCGAGAGCCTACCCTTGGCGTCGAGCCTGCAAGCGGATGCCAAGGCTCTGCCAGACATGGCTCACAAACGCCTCAGTACCCAGGTGTTGACATATGCGTATCAAACTGCAGCGAAGCAATTGCTTGCTGCAGAAGCGGCAGTACGTGCAAGCAAGAGCATGCAAGGATTTGGCAAGAACCTGGATCACTCGTCTCCAGGCACGGAGATCTACCAGACAACTTGTTCGATCTGCCTGGAAGATGCCGCATGTGTCCGAAGTGCGGACGAGCTCTGCGTTGACAGAGGCTGTCAGGGATGGTTCTGCAGACATTGCCTTGGGCTCTACTTTGAGACGATCATTCGAGAGACGCCCTTTGCCGTACCAACTCTGCGCTGTCCAAGCTGTAAGGGCTTCGTGCCACCGTCTTGCTGGCAAGCACGCGTGAAAGAGGAGACTGTCGCAAAGTGGCAAAGCAATGCCGAGAACCTCTTGTCCTTACGATGTGGAAGTTGTGATGAGCCTGGATCGTTGCTCTTTCCCGGCCCCGAATCCAGCGAGTCACGTGAGTGCTTGGTGAGAACGGCTTTTGGTACGCAGGAGCCAGAAGCAGCAGCAGAACTTGAACAGAAGTGGCATGAGTTCGAAAGGGGACAGCAAAGCGCAGCGACTCTATTCGAGGTTCTGCTAGGCATGTGGCATCCTGAGTATAGCCACGACACAGCCGATGGGGGAAAGGCACCCGATGACTTCTGGGTCCACTTTTCGGCTGCCGCAAAGTTGATTGAGGACGCCGGCCTTCGAGCTGTCTTGCAGTTGGCCGTGCTCAAGGTATTTCCAAAGACGGAAACTCGCTGCTGCCACGAGCCACACTGCTTCAGATGTAGGATCGCCACTCACCACGAAGACATGAGCTGCGAGGAAGTGCAGCAGCAGATGTCGGATGATTTGGAAGATGGAGTACAGTTCTGTCCAAGCTGCGGGGTTGCTACGATGAAGACCGAGGGATGCAATCACATGATCTGCCTTTGTGGGGAGGACTGGACATGGGAAGGACCCGAAGACGAGTAGAAAACGTAGACAGCATACGTCGGAATACTTCGAGGCTCGAAGTCTCAGGCTTGCCCCAGCAAGTTTGACCAAGAGCGAACCTCAGCCTGTATTTGCTGACTAGCAGCGAGCAGCGTCTGAGACGGCCAGGGTGGTCTGGCGATGTACAGGACAAATTTGAATGAAAAGTGCAGTATTTGTGGTACACTCTGTCGCAAGTCTGCGCTTTGCTCGTGGTTGTGCCGGCATGGAAGGTATGGAAAGTGCCCTGCATCTTTGCCGGTGTTGGCTCGAGCAACAGTCCCGTTAGGATCGTGCGGTCCTTGCATCTCAAATCGGCTAGACGGGTTTGATCTAGCACCTGTTAAGCTCACCCAAAATCCAGGACTCCATGCCAACTAACTTCTTCGTTCTCTCTTCTCGCAGGTTTTTGCTTTTCTTGCCTGGAGTGCGGGTGAATAGTGCAAAAAGACGGCATTAGCAGGCATTAGCTTTCTGCTTGTGACATACCAGGGCTTCCGAGCACCGGACCTGAACCTCCGGAGACATGGTGTGAGAGTTGTACAGAGCGCAGGTCTCACAACAGTCGTAGTGTGTAGTTGTTTGTAGCACTACTCGTGAGCTGCATCTAAACTTGAAAATGAAGCTGATGCCTCCAGCCTGGCCACACAGCGGAACAAGAGACCATCTGCAGCCCCGGAAGCTTGACATGAGATAGACGCCTGGCTTGTGTGTTGCATCACGGTGTGCAGGACAGAAGTGCTGGAGTTCAGCGACTCAGCAGCGGCACAGAAGGCTCACTCGGGTGTGCTCCAAGGATGTACTTGCCGAGTAGTGGATGTCTGCTAGCATCACGTGATAACTTCAAGCTCGTCTTTCAGTATGAAGCTGAATCTCATGCCTGCGCTGTGACGTTTTTTTTGCCAGGCATCAAACTCAACGTGCACAGGAGTCGTGACGGGTGTTGACCTGGAGGCCTTTGCCGACTCAGTTGCACAATCCACGTGAGAGAAACCAAGCTGCCTTGGGTCAGATCATCTACTCATACTTCGGGGACGTGCAGAATCCACAATCTAAGATTGTGGGCGCAAGGATCTCGCAGAGGAGAGGGTTAGTTGGATGTTCACACACTCAATCATGACATGACGGGGGATATCCGGGGACTCTACTCTTACTCGCCGTTGCAGGCTTGGCGTCTTGAGCTTCACTCTTGCGGATCCTGATGAAAGGCTTGGCCGCCGTTCTGTGCTTCCAGCCCACATGCGACCTTCTCAGGCAGCCATTCCCGTTCCTGTACACTGCCAAGGCCTCAGGCATCAGGAGATGTAGGGGTCATCGCCACTTGTCGCCACAGCGGCATGCGTTTGCCTGAGCCGCTGTGCCAGGTGTCCTTTCTTCGTGCTGATTCCGATGACTTTGTGCTGAAGGCTCGGCGATCAGCGGAAGAACCTCCGATGTTTTTTCCGGCGCGCAGTGTAAGTCTCCAGGTCCCTCCAAGGCCGCAGCTGCCGGTGCTGCTGCCTGCAGACTTGTTCTACCCGTTTACCATTGGCCACGCGCTCAGAGCTCTCAGACTTCTCAGACCGGCCTTGGCCTTTAAAGCTGAGGCTCAGCTGCCAGACTGGGGTGGAGCACAGCGCTGGCACTGATCCTGCTGGCCCTAGCAGAATTCAAGACAGCGTGACGACGCAGTCACCAAATTCACTGCAGCAGCAAAAACCAGCACCCATTGTGCGGGCAGCGGATGCTTGCAGAGTATGACTATGTCCTCGTTCGCAGTAGGGCGTGTTGTTCGTGTGTATACATTATACACACACGCATCATACATACATACTTATTTGTTCTGTATGTGTGTGTAGGTACTGTTTGGTCGTTCTTGTGGAGGCAAAGGTGTTGCCGATCTTCGAAAATCGCTCGACTCGTTGGGTCAAGGGGTGTCTCTCCACTCGGGGGGCGCAAGCCCTGCCGCCCGACATCCCACTCTCTCGCAGCCGCCTCGGAATCCGAAATGGATCGTTCAATCCGGTGTGCGCCCGATGCTTTTTGCTTAGGCCCTCCTTCGACCGAAGGGGTGCTCCCCAAACAAGGCATGCCAGATGCTTGCGCAACCGGGCTCCAAATTTCATTGCCAGCAGGCAGTCCGAGCAGGCGTGCTCAACGCCATGCTTGGTTTGCTTTATGCTTAGTTTGCCGAATCTTGAGCGTGCCTGAGCAGACATCTCATGGCTCGGGGCTCAACCTCAACATGCAGACATCAGGTCAGATAATGCTGTCCACGTGTGGCCCAAGGGGGCCTTCCGCCCTGCCTGGCATGTTTAGTACAAAGCTTTGCAGCATGATTGCTGGCCCTGTTGCCCGTTTCTGAATGTTTGTGGTGCCGTGCACCCTTGAAAAGCAGCATGCAGGCAGCCTAGTCGTTGCGGTACTCATTGCGCTTGCTCCTCAAGGAAGCAATGCGACGTTAAAGGCCGTGTGCCACATGCGGCAGCTGCAGTTTAATAGGAAGGCTTACTCACATCTGCGGAGACGTGTTACAGGCCAAACTTTCTGCTGATGCTCATCTTGCTGTAGGTGCTGGGCAGGCCGGGATGGGTCACAGTTTCTGGCAGCCGTGAATGCCGATCACCCCCGAAGGAAGTCACGAGAGCGGGAACCTTGCAGGCCGGCCTTTTTTGTTTGCGGGTAGCAGGTCCTTCAAACAATCCTTCGCGCGTGCAGGTCGGAGAAGCGACCGTTGCAGAGAATGTAGAGTTCCTCTCCAAGACCCTTTCGAGGCCTGGCAAAAACTTCGCCGGAAGTTCCACCACTGCTTAAATGGGCGCTGAGCAAGGTTCAGAAGCTTTGCGCTCAATGCGCAGCAAAGTGTCGAAGAGCGCCATCAGAATGAGGAGCAGCGCCTTCAGGACTCCGCTTTGTTGCGCACAGGAGGATACAAGAGCCGTGTTGCGTTAGGGCCTATAAGGGTATTGAGGGTATTGAGGGTTGTAAGGTGTTGAGGGTTTCGGGTACTTAGGGCTTGGGTCTCGCCTCGGATTTGGGCTAGCTTTCGTTCTCCTCGGCGCTTGCCCCTCGAGTCAATTCTGTGTGCATCCAGGAGGCTGTTGCGCAAGCAAAAGATCCCAAGGTAAAGACAGCTTTGCAGCAAAGTGCCGGCGGCCCGCGATCGGAGTTGCACTAAACTCAGCTCGGGTTGTGTAGCTGCCGAGGTTGCCTCCAATAAGGAATCCTTAGATGAGACGAAGAGCATCTACAGCAACATTGCTGCGAGCACAGCATGCAGCATCCTGCAGCATTTTGGAGCATGTTGCCTTTTGCAAGTTCTCTGCATTGTTACATCATTTCCCAGGTAACTTTCTCTGATAGCATGCTCTCACTCCTCAAGAAGACCTCGTCGTCAGGCGATTGCAGTGCAGCTGCAGACATCGTGCTTGCCTCCTTGCCACGTTGTCACACAGGTTACAACTGCGATCAGCTCGCTTGTGGACTTCACGCGTCTTGTGCAGACACCCTCAATGGTGCCCCTCTCAGTATTGCTTATGTGGCGGGCTCTTCTGCATGCCGCTTGCAAATTGCGGAGAGGTGCCAGTTGTGTATGTGATGAAGGCTACATCGGTCAGGGAAAGGACAGTTTTGCAGCTTTAGTCTTGCTGTGATTCCCCTCTTCAGCATGGCAGACAGGACTGCCAAGCACCTCCCGCATTTGCGCCCCACCTCCTCCTGGGCGAAAATGCAGTCCACGCCAGCGATGTCCATGCAAGAAGCCTGGCCAGGTCATTTTCGGTGTCCGTGTCGCGGTGCATGCCAGGCAGAATGGCTATTTCAGTCTGAGGTCACCGCCTTCGATGGCAACAAAATCGCTGTGGTCTTCCGTGACGAAAACAAGGAAAGGGAAACGGTGCTCGAAACAATTTGCTTCATGCAATGCTTCAATTTGTCGGTTGTCATGCTAAGGACCCCAAGAAGGATCCCCCCCCCAATGTCGGAAACCTGGCGTGTCGCTTCTCCTTGAACAGGGCAACTCCGGAGCTCTGGTCGTCGGAACTGTGCAGGAGGCGACTGCGACTGCAAAGTCTGCTCTTCGTCATCCCGTGTGACCCTGAACATCGCAGGCTGGCTCGATAGAGCTTTCGCCTCTCGAGATCTTCACAGCAGCAGGTGCGCAAGCATGATTCTCAGCATTTCTCAGCATTTCTCAGCATTTCTCAGCTTCGTGGGGTGACATCTGTCTTCTCACTCCGCAAGCCCACTGACATCGCCTCTTGGCAGTGTTTGGTGTGTCCCCACTACCCACCCTGCGGGTTAGGCAAACAGGGTACACGACGAAACCTCCCTCTTCATTGCATGGCCCCCCCCCCCTGCGCTGAGAGCAGATGGGGTTGAGGAGACTGTCTGTGGAAGGCCACTACCTCGCTTGTCAGTTTTTCCTCGCGTGTCACCGTGGACAGTGGGCAAAGCAGTGTGGTCAAAGGAGTGTCCAATCCCAAGCCCTGCAAAACAAGGGCATGCGGATCTTGGAGGGGTGGGTCGTCATGTAAACCAAAAGGGGACAAGCTTGCTTGACTTTGATGTTCACTGCGAGTACAAATTTGAAAATGTGCCCTATTGGTCGCTCCTTCTCTCTAGGCTGGGCAGGAACTATGACAAGGTTCGATGTTGCGCTCCCAAGAAACGGGTTATGCTCGCATCCAACATGCCTCCAAAATGCCCCAGGTCCGGAGGGCTCCGGGAGTTTGCAGCACGTCTTTAGGGCAAAAAGGGCCGACAGCAAAAAGTTTTACTGGGGGGTCATTAGTACAGGCTTGGTGCACAATTTCCGCGCAAAACGGCTCACGGGTGTAAATCGAGATAAAGGTTTCCGAAGCCCGCCGCCACGGTCGGCGGATATACTCTGAGAGGCAAGTTCTAAACCCCAAAGATTCTCTCAGTCAGGTTCCTGCGCGATTCAGAAACTAGCCGCGATTCAGGAAACTGGTTCAGGAAACCAGGATTCAGGAAACCAGGCGATTCAGGAACCAAGTGATTCAGGAAACTGCCCGAATCGGGAAACTGCCTTGACGCGATTCAGGAAACGTCGATTCATGAAACCACACGATTTAAGAAACTGAAAACATGCGATTCTCTGAGTACACGCGATTCAGGAAACCACGCGATTCAGGAAACCATGCGGTGGAGGGGTTTAGGGGGGATGATAACGTTCATGTCAAGCCTGTCAGAGATTTTGCAGTTTCTCGAACCCCGGGTATCCGAAGCCACGGGTTCCAGTTTCCCGAATCAGCGATTCCCGAATTAGCGGTTTCCGAATCCGCGCGTTCCAGTTTCTCGAATCACGGGTTTCCGAATCCACGCGTTTCAGTTTCCCGAGTCAGCGGTTTCCGAATCCGGGCTTTCCAGGTTCCCGAATCAGCCGTGCCCGAATCCACGGGTTCAAGCACTTTCTGCAACGCGGTGCTGCTTATGTGCATGTGGTCCGAGACACGGCTTGAGCAATCTTGAGCAGATGTGCATGTTGAGTGCTTATTCTTTGCATTTGACGTCAACAGCCTTGCTGACTCAAGAAGCATCATTCGATCAAAAGTTCTAGAAGAGGTTGCTGAAGTGCAACGCACTTCCATAACCTTCACCTTGACAGCTTTTGAAATTCGAGCTGTGCTGACTCCAGCAGATGCATGTCTCGATATCCACTCCTGAATCAGCTGGTTTCCCGAATGCTGGTTTCCCGAATCCACAGCTTCAGTTTTCGAATCCGCGTTTTTGAGTTTCTTGAATCCCTGGCTTCCGAATCCGCGATTTCCAGTTTCCTGAATCAACGGGTTTCTCGAATCCTGGTTTCCCGAATCCGCGCTTTCAGCTGCACCCAGTCTGGCTTCAACTATAGACCTGAATCTAATGTGTGTGGTGTGGTTGAAGTCTATATATAGCATACAAAAATACGAGGGTTTGCCGTGGCATTTAACTTACGGAGCTCGTGGCAATTGGCAGCTGAAAAGCTCAGCGCCCCCAGGCCCCTCAGAGAGCTACACCGAGTGGATCTTCTTCGTTTTTCCAACGTTTTTCCACCGTCTCCGTGGAAGAGCCTTCAGTGGTATCTCAGGCATTCTCGCCAGTTGTAGCTGGAAGCGACAGCCGCAGCTTGGCCATCGCCTGGCGAGACAGCGCCAAATCGGGAGCATGCAGGTGGCTCTTGCTTGATCCCTTCTTTTGGCGTCAGCGTTCGACTGCAGAGTGTGCTGCAGCTGCAGCATTTTTCAGAGGCTTCGCGCTGCAAAGCTGGGTGCATCCGGCATTCGTGGAGCTGAAATGGCTTTCTCCCCAGCGTGTTTTTTTTGTAATCCTGTTTGGCCGTTTAGTAGCCAGTCAAGTGAGTGTGTTGCTACTCCCATGATGGAAGCTGTTCTGCGCGAGATGAAGCTGTTGGACAGGAGAGACGTAGACTTGTAGCAAGCATCTCCTGCGGCGAAGCCGATGGCGGCTCCGCTTCAGCGCATCGCTCCTATTGCTACGAGGAATCCTGCTGCCCAGGGCATTCGTGACACATGAACTCTGCTGGCAGTTTCTCACGGCTGTGAGACATCGTGGGCTTGTTTCTTGCCGCAGGTGCCTGGCATGCTGGCGAATACAATCGCCCACAGCGCCTTGCCCTGCATACACCCTTCTTGGGCCTTGCGCTGTTCTTGCGCGATGCGAGGATGAGCCCCGCGTGGTCAGGTGTTGCCCACAGTTCGAAGCCTTCAAAAAACGCAGCCCCTCTCAAGACCCTGTTGTGTTTCAGAGACGAGAGCCCAGACGCTTTGAGAGCGAAGGTGGCAAAGGTGTCCTCCATGTTTTTGGGGGAGGCGAAGATGCTGCCGCTGGTGCATACCCTCTCCCGGGAGCGGCAGCACCACCTTGCCCGGATCTAATTTGCACGACTTGTTGACACTTGTTATGGTATGATTTACATGTTGGGCAAGTCATTTTCTTGAGAGGTTTGTACAGTGATTGAGATGGAGAAGCTGAATGACGACTTCATTGCGCAGGAGCATGCCGATGCTTGGAAGAAGCAAGAAGTGAAGTGTGGACTGTGGGAAATGTTTGTCCCAGTCCTTGCGATTCAAGGATCAGACCATGGATTGCCAGGGAAAACGCAGAAAAGGCGGCTGGGGCCATAAGCGCGGCCGGGGTGGCACCAAAGGCAAGCGATGCTAAAGGCCACTGAGTCTGGGGAATGAGTCCCGAACAATCGTCTCACACAGACCTTGGCACATCGTGTGCGGGGGCAAAAAGTGCAACTGGGCCAGTTGCACATTCACGGATGCGGCCCTCGCAGTAGAAATTGGCACTTAATTTTGCCCCAAGCTGCTGAGGCATTGTCGTGGGGACCTGCGGTGGATTTCTGCAACGATCAGGCTGTTTCTATGAGATGACGCGCTTGAGACAGCGCTTGGTCGACCAGCAGCTCGCTAGCAGCTCGCTTCCAGACTGTTCTGGTGCCAGGCTCACAAGATGTCCATTCAAGCGTTCGACAAGAACCGCTTTGTTGTGCTGTATTCAGACAAGGCCGTTTCACCTGCAATGCACATGTTGATGCATCCGCGGCGAGAGAGGCCCGTGGGCCTGACCCTTCGCACATGGAGTCCTTTGGGAACTCCATTCTGGCTGATGTTGGAGAATTGGGTGGCTCGCTTAGAGTCTTGAGGGGTTCGGAGCCATTTGCAACCGAAGCGACTCGATCTTGAACTTCAGGCAATGTCTCCATGCTAGGCCTGAATCCGTGCCTCTCTTTTGATGGGCTGATCCATTGCTTGCTTGGCACTGATCAGTCTTTGGAAGGCAACTTCCGATTTACTGACAGCGCTGTTGCACGCTTAGAGGCACCTGCCCGACCAAGCTTCGAGTCCATTTCCCCTTGCGACACTTACAGGGTGCAACTCTTGCGATTGAAGTGTTGTGGTCGACTTCGACGGTGTTCGACTCTGTAGGCCACGAAGGTGAGCAAGAACGGCTTTGTCCTGGCTTCCGACTCAGTGTGCTGTGGATTAGTGAAGTGTCAATATGCCCAAGACTCTGCGCAAGACGCCCAAATGCGATTCGAACAACTTCTAGGCGGCCCGAGCCTCTCCTGCAGTGGACGAGATGAATCCACAAACAGTCAAGCAGGAGGCTCTTTTGCCAAAGGCTGCTCGAGAAAGGGACAAGTGCACGTTCAACACGCCAGGCAATGGCCATCTATGGAGAGCTGGTCGGTGAAGACCTAGTGTTTGACCCCAACCCGGCAGTGGCCTTGGTCAAGTCAAGGAGAAGTCGGCTAATCCAGTGGGGCTCCAGTGGGGCTCCAGTGGGGCTCCATGCCTTTCAAGGTGAATCTGGAGCCGAAAGAGGGTCAGATCTGGGCCAGAGGAGTTTCGCTCATTGCGCCCAACACCCTGGCCTATGCCTACCAAGATGGCAAGTCGCAGGCTCAGTAGTCTCTCCACGATCGCAGTAGTAGCTTGGCAGCGTGAGGAATTTCTCAAGCTTGAGTCAGCATTGGCTTGCCCATAACCTCGTCTCTGCATTCCCATGGTCTGCAGAAAGTTAGTGCAAGAAGGTTCCCCGTCCCACTGCCTACCAAGCATACTCATAGTAAAGCTGAGAAGCGCCATGTCGCGAAGCTTTGCACAGGGCTGCCACCCCCCCGCCCCCCCCACAAGCTAGTTCCGCGATCGCGAGAGCGTGAGAACTTGTTGGAAGCCGTTTGAACAGAAAGAGTTCAGACTCTTCTTTGCCAGCAGAAGTCTTACTGGTTTGTAAAGTCAACATGTCATAGTTTGTTGTTACGTGGCCACTACGACCGTTACATTTGTTTAAACACGATTGCTAAGTTCAGGGCGTTCAACTTAACACATTCACCTTTCAAATGAAAGTGCATTTCCTGGGATCGCAGAATTGAGGGCATTCTCGAAGCTGTCTGTTCGGAGTGGGGTGCTGCTTTCGTGCTCAATTTTCAGGAACTCGCAGCTCAAGATCGCTGTCTTGGACATCCATCCGCAGACTCATCGAATGCAGGCCCTCTGCAGCCACGCGCTGAACAGGTGCAGCAGCTTCAATGTCAGGTGGCGCATGCGCCTGAGGCTCTCGGGAAAGGGGTTTCGCCGGCAGCTGAGACTGGCCAACTTGCTCGGAGCATGTGCCTGCAGCCGCGGAGATAAGGCCCTACGTTTCCATGTTGTCGCTGCCGTATTCGGCGTACATGCCCCAGATGACGTGCTTCGGAGTGACTTGATAGCGCGCTTCGCATCAAAGGTCAGATCCATATGCGATGACCTACTTCCAAGGCATCAAGTCTTGACACTTGTGATGCCCCCCTCTACCAAACGAGTGAACGGCGATCTGATCTGATGCACTGACAGAATGTCGCTGCATGTGTTAGCAGCATAGCAGCATAGCAGCCGCATCTGTAGAAGCAGAGCCTCGGAGGTGATGAGGGCGAGAGCCTGCTGAGCATCTGTGGTCTGAGCGCCGAGCGCAGGCTGCAAAACTGCGAGGAGCCGTGGCTTATCGTGTTTTCTTGGTGTGTTGGTGTGGACTCATAAAATACGTGGCAAAGATACAGCGAAGGAAGGAGGAAGAAGCTTGAGCACACTTCGGTACGCACCCCCTTGCGGGGGTTAATCAAGAGAGGGTGCTACGTGCGCAGGGAGTGCACAGTGTGATTGGTTCCTGCAGTTCGAAGCATGATCTTTCCGAAGACACACGCGCTTAGAGTTGGATACTGTGTGTGTGGAATGTGCAGGACTTCCCGTGGCTAACGCAGAAAGTGTCCAGCGTTTCTGGCGCCTCTCTTGGAGATGGTGCCATGCTTATCTGAAATGTCTGAAGAGTTTCTCTATGATGCCTCGGTTCCTGCTCTGCTGAACAGGCCGAGTCGTCATGGCCTTCGCAACGCCATCTGGGGTTCCGTGAGCATTGCCACGTCTTGAAAGAGACTTCCGCCTGAGAGCAGACGCACTGCGTCCATTCCCCCCTGCAATTACGGCAATTGCGCAGGTACTACAGCCTGTTCGGCTTGTCGAAGAAATGAGAAAGACTGCTACAGTAGCGTGGCTGCTGCAGCAGCGTGGCTGGCCGAAGCTCCGACAGTTCTGTGTCGCCAAACTGCGACGAGTTCAGCTGTGAAGACCATAGAGGCCATGCCACCCAAAGCGCCGAAGGTGAGCGCCAGACAAAAGCTGATGGGTTTGCATGGGCTTTTCATTGGTTTGCATGGGTCCCCATCCCTCTAGGCCTTTGCATTCGGAAGGCATGTGGAGGCATCCAGCTTGTACAGCATTCAGGTTACATTGCTCGTACATTGCAAGTCTGTAAAAGGTACGAAAAACCTGAGTATCTGAGAGAAGCCTCTTAGCAAGACAGAAAATGGCGTGACATGAGACAGATCTTTGCACATGACAGAAAATGGCACATGCCAAATTCTTTTGGACAGCATGACAGAAAACGTTGTGGGCAAATATGCCTATGAATTACTTGCCATTTCGCGTCAGTCGTGTGACGGAAGTACTACAGCGCTGTTAGGCTATGAATTTTGTTACTATTGCTACTACTATTACTACTATTGTTGTAATTATTGCGGCACCTGCTTTACCATCTTTTACTCGCATCATGCCTCATGTCGGATTCGTTGCTATCCTGTTCACGTCTCTCTTCACATGTTGGTAATCTTCCGTTGTCATCGTTGATTGCTTTCAATCATTGCCATATTATTGATCATTGTGCATTTTTGTTTAGAAGCAAGGTCATTAAGTTACAGTGAAAACGCTCTTCTGTGCTTCAATGTCCTTGCTTGATGTCGAATGTGTCCCAGGAATGAGGTAGGCATGGAGGTCCACTCCAGGCTCCGATCACCAACTTCGGCACATCTTTTTGCGTCGTTCCAAGTTGATACTCTTGCAGAGGTCGGAGACAAGGCTTCAGCCCTTGCCTGGGGTACTTTCACCTGAGCATCCTACATCGAAATTGGCTTCGACCGAGACCCCAGAACTTTCTTTCGTTACAGGAAAGCTGTTGCCCGTGGAAGTGCGAAACCGAATTCGAAGTGGGGCTACAGTGCCCCGTACGGTCCACGGCGGCAAGGACAATATGATGTCGGATGTGCAATGCGTGCAAGAGCGTGTAGTTGTAGACGGGCAGACTGAGAGCTTCTTGGTGATTTCTTCGTTGAGAACGCGTATGGGGGACATGAATCAGTACAATCGCGTGATGGCTTCCTCGATGTTTGCCGCTTCCAACACTGCCCCATGTCTCAGCTGACTGGTCAACCTTGCGCGCTTCATTCGACTGGTGACTGCTGAGAAGCCTTGCCGACTCATGCTGACTGTTGGCTCAGAGCTAGACTCTGAGATAGCAAGAGGTCATGTCATTGAAGCTGCTCAATTTCAGCAGAGGTTGCCAGACGAGTGGCATTGGCTTGAATGTAGAGCCCCTTGATTCTGATTGAACTTAATTCCCTCAATCACAGGCCCAAAGGCAGAGGCACATAACCTGACGCAAAGCTTCACCATCGTGGACAAGTTGCTTTGCCTTCCATGGAAAGTGGGTAAAGGCAGCTTTGTGGAGAGAAAGAGAGTGGACTTGAGAGAGAGAGAGAGAGAGAGAGAGAGTGTGTATAGCTATGTGTGTGTGTGTGTGTGTATGTGTGTGAACGTGTTTTCTGGGACTCTAACCAACCACCGATACATTCATGCAGCCGTCCTTCCAAGCATGCTTCTTCTAGTTGAGTCGCACAGAGAGCAAATCCCGTGCGCATGTGGGGCGCGTGCACATGCGCCCGGGAGTAGGGGGGCACGCCCCTGCTCTCATGCCGAGCAGCAGAAGAAGAGAAGCAGAAGAAGACAGTGCATGCTGGATGTTCCTGACCAGGTGATGGAGAGGACTGCAATAGAGATTACAGGCGGCACGACGGAATGGACAAGCAGGCGCTTGCCGGTCTTGCTTTCATTGAGCCTCGTTGAGTTTATGTCGGAGACTCTGCACCAGGCTCAGCCTGAAGAAAGCGATGGAGAGGTATGGCGAGGCTGCACGTCTTAAAGTGTACATGTCTGCTTCCGAACGATGTTGTGTTTCAAGGGTGATTGATAGACAAGTGCTCTACTCGTGCTTTCTGCTGGTAGACAAGTGCTCGTTTTGACAGGTTATTGGTTGCCATATTGGACAGCGTGGTGTGGACAAGCCAGTGGTGCGGTATGTTACGGGCGAAGTGGCCCAGGCCGCCCATGAAGCACTCAGGACCCCTCACCATTCACCATTCACCATTCGTGAGGTTGCAAGACATCGATCTGATGTAGACTCCGTGTAGACACTCCACAGGAAGGGCGAGATCGTGCTGGATGGCATGGTGCTGCAGGGTGACTGGAAGCCTGACCGGCCCAGGCCCACCGCCACCACGCTGCGGTTTGATTCTGTTCGACTCTCTGCGCTACAACTGTCGCATGTCAAGCCCCACGTGTTGGACTGCCTTAGAGACGTCGAGGCCACCGCCTGAGCCTGCGAAGCCACGGGAGAGCGTCATGGAGATGAGCCCTGGCAACACTAGATAACGCGAGCTCTCATTGCTGAGCGTCTGCAGTTCGTTATCAGATGTGCACTGCTTTGTGAGGACGAGCCGTGATTTTCTGACAGGCACCGAAAGTTTCTCGTGGCGTTGAGTGTATGTGTGTGTGTGTGTGTGTGCCGCTGACATGTTTCCCCTTGTCTGCTCATTGCTGCCTGGATTCAGGCATGCGAGCGCGTGGTGATCGCAGCCGTAGCCGGGACCGCCGGCGTCGAAGTGCGGAGCTTAGCGGAGCTTAGCGGAGCAGAGCACGAAACTTCAGTTGCAAGCTTGTGCTCTGTGGAAATCCAGGCAGAAGCCGCGATCGCCGCCGACGGTAAGTAGAGAGATGGAGCCCAGCGGAGGTGATCAAGGATGGCTGCAGTCGCTGTATGCTTGGCCTGTCAGGCAGATATGGACGAGAGCGAAGGAAAAAGTCATTCGCCGCATCAGCATTGTGGTATTAGTGTTTCCGACAGGTCGTGCTCGCATACTGGGTAGATTCGCTTTGCCTCTTGCAGCATTGGGCTCGATGCACCGTTCGACAATATCCGATCTCGTTTCCAACAAACCACCACGGCCAAGATTGCTTTGTTGTCTTTGGGCCCAGTAAGTTGATGGCCACGTGTGAATAAGAGGTGCCCGTTTGCTCCTTGCAGACGGTGCTTATCTTGCTTCGTGTGAGCGACCATCTGCCATGAACCCAATACAGTTTCAGAACTTCCAGGCAGATTCATGCGGAGTCAGCGTTGTCGTTCAAGCTTTCTGCCGTTTCGACAGAGGTGCAGGTGCATCCGCCGTGCACCGTCAAGAACACGAGTCTTTCTTGCATTGCTGGGCTATCTTCTGACGGCCTTTCCTAGTAGTGCAGGGACATTCTGCTCGCGCCACCCAGGTTCTTGAATGTTGAGGAGAATGCCTCGAGCGATGACGAGCTGTACACCCCTTTTGAGAGGTGCAACATGTCGGCGCCGCCCGTGATGCAGGAAAGTAGCTGGGAGCTAAATCTTGAAGCCGTAGACCAATCAAGCTGTTCAACCGAGTGAGACAACACATCAATGCGGAGGACCCAGCTTATGTGCAGCCTGAAAGCGCTGAGCCTTGCCTGACCTTCCATGGAGTTTCTTTGCTGTGCGTTGCAAGACGCATCATGCTCCGAGGCTTGTAACTACTACATGCGTCTGCCTGGCCCATGTCCATCGATCTTGCAGCTTTCCTTTCCAGAAAGCTTCAATGACTCTCGGTTCTGCCAGGGGCGGTATCTTCCGGGCATGGGATCATCTCATGAGTTTTTGTCCCCTCGCCTTCGTGCTTGTTCACGGCCGAGGAAGGCGAGCAGCATCTCAGGACTATCGGCTTTTTTGGAGGGTGTGCATCATGGAGGTGTGCAGTAGGTGTGCAATGGGTTTACCCCAGCTAAATTCCCAAGCCCGCTGCCACGGGAGATAGTGGGATGCAGCAGGCTCAGCAACATGGCCTGTCGTCTTGTAAAAAGGAGGTTAAGTGGTATGCGCAGTGGGGACGTCAATCAAGAGACAGGAGGCATAGAATGGCATAGAGAATAAGATCGGAAGGCCTTTTCGGATGCTTTCGAAGGTTGGCTTGTTGTATTGAAGCCATTCTGCAATTCTTGATTTGTGAGTCACGAGCGTCTCTATCTGTCTCACTCTCTCTCACTCTCTCTCTCTCTCTCTGTCTGTCTGTCTGTCTCTCTCTCTCTCTTTCTCTCTTTCTCTCTTTCTCTCTTTCTCTTTCCTTCCGATGCAGGATTCCAGAGCAGGGCAGCAAGGGGCTGCAGCAGGAGAAGAAACAGCCCAAGACAATCTCGCGGCTTTCTCTGCATCAAATGTACTTGTCGTCGGACGTCTTTCCTCAGCACCGCCGTTTGACTCTTATGTTGGCTTGTCGAGGTCTTCATCTTCGCAGGATGAGCCGGAACCGCAACCCGGAGTTCAGCCAATGAAGAGTGCTGGTAGTGTAGGGCACCCTGACACTTGCAAGGACCCCCGAGAGTTCAAACGAGAGACTGTGCGTTTTCTCTAGCAAGAAGGAAGCTGTTTGGGAGCTGCTCATGTCATGTGAGCCTGCCAGGAGTGCACCTTCTTTTTCTTCAGTGCTGCGGGTTGCCGTAATGGAGCTGGTTGCAGCTTCTGTCACGAGTTCCATCCCAGGACCGACCATGGGATACCATGGCCTGACCAACCATGGCTTGATCCGAGTTTGCGTGACGGCTCTGTTTTGTCAAGTCGTTTCTGTATGTTTTGTAGTGTCCCATGCAAGGAAGAACAACAAGAAGAATCGACGCATTATGCGCACATTGCAGACCCGTCCGCTGCTCAAAGCCAATCGTGCTAGACATTCTTGCCCTTGAGTGCATTCCCTGCATGTCGTGCAGTTGACTCTGAGACTTTTCTGAGTTGCTTGGCCTTCGGTCCAAGTGTGTACGCAGGGGATGAAAAAGAGTCCGCAGAGGCGGTATTTCAGTGTGAGCTGCGCCGTTTATTTTATTTCGACTGCTGCGGCTGCTGGCACTAGCTTTCCAGAGTGCTTTGTCAATGGGCAGGAGAAGCCAGCAAGCACAGAAAGCCCAGACAGCCGCCAAAGCACTTCAATTGGTGAATTTCTAAACTCCCCGAGCGCGGAGAAGGTCCACGAGAAAAGTATTCAGGAGATTACCAAAGCAGGCCACAACTCGAGTGTGAAGAGGTGAAGTCATGTTAAGTCGAGTGCGCGTGCAGACTTGAAGGCTTCCAACCACTTTGGACTTTGATTCCCTGGGCCTGTGTGCCCTGTGTCACAGGTGAACCAGCTTTCGCGGGTTTGGGCGGTGACGGCATGCTCCGACTGAACTACGACTACGAGGTGGCGTGCGTGTGCTTGCGTGCTGCGGCATGTATGGCCGGGCCTGTGTGCTACTTCACACTTGTTACGTGTTCTGTAGCGTCCCTGCTTATTGTCTGAGGAAGGTGCGTCCGGGACATCCGACAACAGCGCCCCATCCAAGATCTGCAACGCAACGCTTGCTGTCCGATTGCATCAGCATCGCTCATCTGAGGCAGCCCCGTTGCCTTGACGCTAATTGCCGGTGTCCGCACTCATATACGTGCTTCGGCAATATCTCGCAGATGTCTGCGCACAACCATGTCCGCACATCTCCGGTTGTTGATCACCGACTGAGCACAGACTGGTGGATTCCTCGGGCCCACGAATCAAAAGCAGAGGCCCGCGGCTGTTCTACGGGAGCAATGAGGGGCAGCGCTGCTTGGAGCCGACGCTGATCTTCGTCGTGCAGCCCCCTCTCCCTGCAGGCCAATGTCACTTGTATGGACTGTATATAGAATATATAAAGGATCAGGTGTATCCTCAATGATACTCAGTGCATTCCAGGGCTGAGGTCAGGTATCTTCTCCCCATGGTGGTCATCGGGTTCTGTTTATTGCCATCGCGAGTAGTAACAAAACTCACGCAGACTTGGGCCAGGCTTGAGCCTGGATGCAAAGAACGGCACTATCACTGGCATTCCCGAGGCAGCTTCCGTGAAGGCCAGGGCTGACGTAGTTTCGTTGTAAGGCAAAGTTGCTCCTCGTTGCAGCTGCCAGGCAGCTGTGCATGTTATCACAGTCAAGGTTCCTGATCCTTGGCAGCAGTACACACGCATACACCTACCTGACAAGGCCAAGGAAAGGATGCAATAAACATGGCAGGTGAGGCAGCCACTACGTGGTGGAGCTATACATTGAGGTAGCCATTACAAGTAGCTGGTGCATATATACAGATATATAAGTACATATGGTTACCCTCCCCCAATGATCCACCGTTTTTGCTTGGTTTGCTCTTGTGCATTGTCTCGATCAGGCACGGAGATTATGTTTTGGTCAGGCACAGGCTCTCCCGATTCATCCAGAGTTCAAGATGCAAAAACATCTTTGAGTGTTTGGGGAGCGAAAGTTAAAGATTGAACCCGCACAGCAAGCTCGAGTTTGCTCTTTTCTGGAGAGACTCCAATTTTTCCACAAATTGAAGATCGCAGAAACACTTTCCTGTTTGATCTTTAAATCTTCCAAAGAGATTTTTGACATTGCCTTTTTAATTACATGCTTTGATGAGTGCCAGGAATTCTGGGGGATCTCCCAGAGCTGAGGCAAGGCATTCTCCCAAAACGATGGAAGCCACCGAAAGCAAACGCTTTGATTGGTGTTGCTGCCGGAGAGCGCTTCCGAAAACATTGGTTTTGTGAGCAGCCGCGTTAAGTCTGTTTGCAATTTGGGGCTTAGGGTGTTCCGTTGTGGTATTTGAACGGAATGTTCGATTCATTTGGATGTTTGGAACCGGGAAACAAGTTGCCTTATGCAAATCCTATGCTCCTTTTGTACGTGAACAGGAAAATGTCCTTCACAATCGAGGCCCGAGTGAGCTTCGGTGCTCGAGACGAAAGCCCCTCGAAACGCAGCGACTGACTTCCCGCTTTAACCCACTAAGCAATTGAAAGGCCATTGGTTTCTGTATTTGATTTGTTAATTTGTGTCGTTTCACATTAAGTGGCCGGTTCATGGTATGAACTTTTTGCTTAGACACTGCATCTTTAACTGACCTCCAATTGAATCAATTTCGTGAAGTGGCTTTCAAAACAAAAGGGGAACCAAGGTAGTCAAACGTATTTTTCTATAAGTACTACACACTTCATGAATAGACTGTTTGAGTTCGGGATCATTTGACATCATCTTGGCATGAGCCTCCAGGGCAGGCGAGCGAGTGTCCGAGCAGTGTCCGAGGAGTGTCCCAGGCATCAGTTCAAATATGTTCAAATTTTCCAGTTCAAAAACATCCTACAGCTTGTTGGCCATTGTGTTTCTCCAATGAGGTGTTGGCGGCTTTCTTGTTTCGTTGGTTTGGGCACTTCAGATTGTTCCATGTCGTACATTGTACTTGGCACACCAAGCTCTTGCTAAGTGTGCCGTGGCATTTGGCAGTGTGGGTATTTTATCATCCGTAGATGCCTCTTATTATGGTGTGTGAAAGCATGAAAACCGCCAAGCTTAAAGCTAAAAAAAGAAGCCGAAAGAATCAGTTCCATTTGTGCTGATGTTTCGCTCAACGAAGTGGGCCCCAAAATGCCTAGGTGTAACGCAGCCTGCCTTTTCCATTCACGAAAAGTAGATTGCAGCCTTCTGCGCTTATGAGACTCCCAATTCTGTTCAATGGGTCAACGTGTCGGTATTGAACAATTCGAGCTAAGTGCCATGACAGTTTGGGTGTGATTTAGACTGGGTGGTGTCCAAAAATGGCTTTGCCGACATCAGCCCAGCTTGGCCATCCTCTTGTAATCGGTTGCGTGAAGAATTCGGGACTGCCATTCGTTCCGGGCAAGCGATCCGATGGTGACATCTTCAGTGAGTTTTGCACATGCGCGAAGTTATTGCTGCTTCCCCAAATCCACTTCGGTAAAACTCTCCTCCTTCTTGCGGCGACTTCGGGAGTTCAGCTGTTCACTGAAAGGTGACTACACCATCGAGTTGACATTTCGTGTAAAGTGCCCCATGTATGGCAACCAAGACTCGCACTAGTTTGTTTTGCATCACCAGTCTTCTTCGTATGAACCCTGAGGGCGGCCTTGGGTGGAAGGAGTTCGACATGTTTCGTCCACCCAACCTCTTGTACGAAACCATGGTCAATGGTAAGATATTGCACTTTGATCTGGCATATGCGTTTGATTCAGCTTCACCAGGTCATGATTTAGGGTGAAGCTCGTAGACAATCAGCACTTGGCTTGTCCTCAGCACCCAAGACTGTTCAGCTTAAACTTCTGCAATCTCGCAAGAGAATCCTTTGAATCATGCAGCGCTCGATGCTTGGCGCAGACACCTAAACCCTAAACCCTAAGCCCTAAACCTTAAGCCCGAAGCCCGAAGCCCTAAAACCCTAGGCCCTAGAAGCCCTAGAAGCCCTAAGCCCTAAGCCGCATTTGGACCAACTCGAGGCGCAGGGCTATGGCGGCATTGCCCTGGGAGAGGTTCCTTTGAACAGCTGCAAGCTGATCCTAACCGCCCCTTACCTGCACATGCAGATCCAAACTCAGCACTTGGCGTTGTTTCATTTTTTGTTTGGCGGAGACTGTCTTGCAAGGTTCGACCATTGCAAAACTTCATGATTACCAGGGCAGATACTGCCGAGATTGTGCTCACCGTATCCGATCCCTAGACCAGAGAGGCGTGAGAACCGTGTGTGCGATTCCGAGACATGCTTTTGTAGTTAGATTCATGGCTGTGTGCTTTTCAGGGCAATATTCTTGGAAGGTGTTTCGATACGTTTCGATGAGATCATTGCACAGAACGCAGACTGAGCCGCTCCCACGCTCAGTCTGATTTGTTGCTGCTCTGCTGAGTTCCTTTAATCCCGAGCTGCGCTTAGGGCCAAGTTTGTTGGCATCTTTTCGCGCTCCTCTACGCTGTTGTCCTGCGCATCCGACAGGGGGCACTAGAGCGACGGTTGCTTGAGACTGTTCACTTGAGAAAGACTTAAGTTTCGCCCCAGAACTTGCGGACTTCAGCGGTTCCATGCATCGCAGTCATTGGCTTGAGTTGAGCAACCAAGCCAGATGCTGTGCTTGTTTCGCGTCATGGCCTTTAGCCGGGCTGCATCTTTGGAGAATTCTACAGCCAGCTCGGCCAAATCCCTCCTACCAGGCTTTCTCTAATCAGATGGCAATCGGGGGCACCGCGGCACAGATTTCGGTGGGCTCCTTGCCAGCTGCGGCCGAGGTTCAAGTTTCATGAATCGTTCAAGCCATCCCACTCTGTGTCGCTTTGTGGGAAGCTCATTGAGCGGCTTGAATTGGATCCTTGTTACGCATCGTGTGTGGTCTTGATTTGCGCGGGGCATCGCGACTTGTCGTTCATGGCCTTCTTGCGTTCAGCTGTCATTTTGGCAGGCAGGATCAGGCCACCATGGTGCAAGTTAGTTCCCTCCCCTTGGTTGTCGGATTTACCCGCACTGTTTTGATGAGCTCGAGCTCGCGGTTCCGAGGAACGCAGGACTCAGGACACTGAGGCTCAAAAGCAGCGAGAGGGGTGAGCTTCGAGTCACTGGAGACACGGGCAATAAGCAGCCATGCCGGCGTGATGCTGTCACCACCTTGTGCCGACCTGCTCAAGGTATTCTGGGGCTAAGGGGGCCGGTCATGCAAGTACGCGAGGCCATTTCGGTAGCAACTCGGTTTGCAAGAACGATGCTGATGAGCGAATCCAAGCGAGATGCTTGCTTGCAGCCCTTGCAGGATTCCTGCTTGCGGCAGCCATGAGCACTGTGCCCATGGAGCAGGGTTCCAAGTCAACAATGGATAAAGAGAAGCAGAGAGAGAGGGACCATGAGGACGTAAGAACATCCCTGCCTGCTGCAAGCAAGCAAGCAAGCAAGCAAGCAAGCAAGCAAGCAAGCAAGCAAGCAAGCAACGAAGATGGAAGAACGCCAGAGAAAGAGCGAGGTATGCCGGTCAGGGTAGCTGCCGCCAATTTTTTGCCTTGCAGAGCTCTCAGTCAGGATTCACACCGACATCATTGGCGACAAGCTGTGCGCCTGCCAGCTCGCATCACATCACATCACATCACATCACATCACATCACATCACCTTGCTAATGCTGAGATGACTTTGTGGGCAGATGTTGTGGGGCATGTTGTGGCAAAATGGTGTGATGTCCGTGAAGGCATGCTTCACGCAATCACAACCAGCTGCGTACCCTGGCGTGAAAGATAGCTAAGTACACTTGAGGCTGGATGGTATCCATGGTCTGCACCACATAGTGACATACACAGCCCCCTAAACCATTCAACTGAGCGGCTGAGGCCATGTGTATCAGGGCGCTGCTTCCAATCGATCACAAATTGTCGCGGCCTGAGGTCTTCGTGGCCTTTCGTCCTTTCGCTTATGTGCCGTTATGCTGTGCTCAGGACTGGAACCTCACTCTTCGGCAAGTACGCAGACCGAAGCAGGCTGGGAGTCACGCGGGTATTCGATGGTCCTTGCCCCTGCGGCCGGCTTTGCGTGTGGCACTCTGCAAGATGAAGTCTTCTGCGTCCGCTCCGAACCTGCATACCTCTGAGCTTCTGGAGAGCCGGCAGCTGAGTGACATCCAAATCCCTGAATCGCAACAGCCTCAAACGGGCTAGGTTGAGATGTCGGGAGATTGTCTACAGATGTCTGTCTACAGGTTCTAGAGGACGCCGAAACGCAATGTGATCCCAGGCCGAACTCGTCGAGAGCCCCTGGCTCCAGAGCATCCGGACGGGCCGCAGCGAACTCTGCAAGTAGACTCGCTGACTCGTTCAGCCCCATGCAAGTATTTCTGAGGTATCATGGCGAAAGCCAAGCACGGGGCAAGTACCAGAACTTCGCCAACTCTGCACATATGTGCGCGCGCGAGCGTTGCGTGTCGCTGCTGGAACCCAGCTATTCTGGTGCTTCCGCTTCCTTTCCCTCACAGGTGCAATGGCTTGGTGCGGCATTCTTCGGGACCAGCTCCCAGTATCGAATGGCAGCTCAATCTACGTGGGGGGTACCAGCCTAAGCCGCCAAGAAGCCGCCTAAGCCTACAAAGCACTTGTCAAGGTCGATCTGTGTGCGAGAGATCCTTTGAAGGATACATCAGAACGAGTTCAACACAAAGTGGCGCAGACACCATGCTCGACCACACCAGCCTTTTGCTAAGCGGTTTTCGATGAGGTTGGTAGATCGAGCAGCGTGAACATTTGGGGCTTGTGTACTTGGAGGTCATTTGACTACATGGCTGCTTCGAGCTCAAATGGCGGCAAGTCATGAGCATTTGAGTGAACCCTTGATTTGAAGTTCGTCGAGAAAAGGACAACTGCAGCAAGAACAATGACGCCTACCAGAGCTCTCAAGTCACGCCTGAGGTTGAGCGTGAGATGAGGCCCAACCAGAGTTTCAAGCAGGGAGAGACGCCGGCAGGATCGTCGCTATGATCGTCGCTATGGAGCTCTGTCGATCGAAACCATCCGCGATGCCTGCCTCTCACATTGAGTTGTGGGTTTGCTATGCACGGGATTCTAGTATCCTTTGCCAGTGCAGCTGGTGCAGGATCCCGTGAGCTTCCGAAGGTGGCCTGGATGCGAAGGCACACAGGCGGGGTGCATCCAGATCCGGACCTTCTTTCAGAATCCGTGCTGCATGTGCTGCAGAAATACCGCCAGTTGTCATCAGACTACTTTATGTGCATGGAATTGGTTCAACACGAGCACTGGGATGGGCAGCCGTGGCCCCTAGAGGGGAGGCCGGGTGCAAGTGTCCAGCACGGTGGGCCAGTGTTACGTGACTGCACATGACTGCACATGACTGCACCGTAGCATACCGCAGCCTTCGTGATATGAAGCGGCGCGTCCGAGAGGCCGTGCAGTCATGGCGCAGACTGCCGCAGAGGCTCCCTCAGCTGCTTCAAAAGGCTCAAGTGGCCTCGCACTTAAAGCAGCCTTTGTCTACTCAGTCTACGCGCCATGAAGCAGCTCAAGAGTCAGAAGAAGCACCAAGGAATGGCCCGTCCCATCAGCGCGAAGCAGAGACTAAGCTGGATCTGGCTAAGCTTCCCACGTGTTTGGAAGCTTTGTGCTTTTGCCCTCATCAAACATACGTATGAGCTGACCCCGAGGAAGGAGGCACTGCATCAAATCACAGCCCTGGTTGACCCTCAGGGCAGGCCCCTGCTTTTCGGATGCTGCGCTTTCACGCAGAGATCGAGAGAGGGCGAGACTTCTGCGGAAGAAAACCTGGCAGACCTGATGCCGCTTGCATGTGCGGGCGCGTGGATGCGTAGAGTTGTGACCCCCCAACCCTCTTAACAGGGAAACAGGCGACTGTCAGTGAGCCAACTCACCAAAGATGAGGGTAGGCGAACGAGAGGGTAGGGCAAACGTACCCCAGGAGACAGAATGGCACATTTCCAGGGATTGACGAACACATACAAGCCGGTGCAGGGCTAATGCAGCACTAATCAAACCTGTGTCCTGTTTCGATGACCGTCGCACAAGCGCAGCGGGCCGCATAGGGCCCCTTCCTCTGTCGGGGAGAGAGAGAGAGCGGGGCGCGCTTCGTATACAGGCACGCAGGCGTGTGGGGGGAGATCGGCTTCGGCCCTTATCCGCTTCGCCCGCTGAGACTAAGAGGATGAGGGATGCATTCGCTTTACACACTTTGGAAAGTGGGAGTAGTAACTGGGTAGTTCAATTCCCAGTCAGACAGACCATTAAGACTAAATGAGACTCGCGCCCTTTCACACTCCATACGATCAACTCGTGCAGGGCTGACCCCCCAGAAACACGAGGAGACCAACCCCGCAGCCAGAGTGTATGGGGTATTTCGGATCTTTATTGCCGGCATCTCCAAGAGATCCCCAAGCACACCCAGCATGTACACTCACTCACATCTATAAGGAGCCCAATATACATTCATCAAAACTACAATGAATCGGAGGTCAGGATGTGAGTTAAATGGTAATTTCGTGGCTGGGACAGGAAAATCCCACACTTCATACAAATGAAAGGCTGGCCGGGCTGCCCACCACGCTTTCCCTACCTCCATAGTTTACCTGTGCCCTGTTAAGCTTGTCAATTTGTCTCTTTGAGTCTTTCAACGTCTCGCTTTTCTTGCCTAACTGGAGGGGCACGGGGTCGGCTTGCAGGGCTTGTTTTCGGGACTTCGCAGAAGATGATGTCGTCCAGACCAAAAACCGGGCGTGCGCAGATCGCACAGGGGGGAAGGTTATTGTGTTATCTTCTCCAGATATCCAGAGAGTTCCCGGGCCTGGACTGAAGAAACGCCTTTCCACTGGCTCACTGCCGGGTCCTTCCCCTCTGTTTTTTTTTTTGTTCTCTCTCTCTCTCTCTCGCTCTCCCTCTCCGTCTCTCTCTCTCTCTCTCTCCCTCCCTCTCTCTCTCTCCACTTGGCTCCTACCTAAGTCGCATTCCGGTACCCATTCCTGATTTGGCTTGGCTGCTAATGACACTCCGGTGGGTTGCTCGCCTGAAACTTGGCCTGCTTGTTGATTCAAGGCGAATTCTGCTGCTGCCATCAGTTGCCCACCTACCTGGGCTGCTGTCCTGACATGTCCTGACTGCCATTCCGGTGCTGCTGTCCCGTTGTCTCGGCCGCGTCGGGCCCACTCGTTGGGTTCAAAAAACGCAAGTCGAGAAAGAAAGAAAGCATGGACACAGTAAAGGAACATGAAGAAAGACAGAAAAAAGAACGAGGAGCGAGCGAGACGAGCAAGCGAGTTGCAATGCTGCAAAGCTTATATAAGCTATAACAGCGAGGCATGGTGCTCGAAGAGTCCTTGCAGCCATGATCTGGTTGGGGCTGGACCCGGAGGCTGGCAATAAAGGATTCGAAGAAAAGGCTGTGTTTGAGGACTGCAAGTGGAGACAAAAATGATCGTTGCAAACATATGAAAGGACCTCGACGGGTCCAAGGACCAGAAGATTGAGGAGCGCCCAGGACATGTTGTAGCAATGCTTTGGAATGCCTGTTCCCTGGACAGGTTTCCTCCAAAGTTCCAGATGCCGAAAAGGTCGGCGTCCGTCAATGTGAGCTTGCAGCAATGTTTCCTTAACGGAGAGGCCAGAAGAATAAAGGAGGAGCGTGTCGAAGTTTGGGAGGCCTGTGTTCGCAATACACGCATGCTGAGGGTCGTCATCATCATCATGATCCTCATCTTCATGTGATGTCCTCATCATGATCATCCTCACGCTCGTCCTCCCCTCCTCATCCTCATCCCAGTCGTCTTTATCTTCCACAGCATCACCACCATCACCACCATCATCACGTGCAACTTCTCAGGGCCTGAAGAAGGCTCGACTTATCGAGTTGGAGAGGAGGCTGCAATGCGCGTGGCTCAGGGGCCTTCTGTCGCTGGTAGAGCAGCGCAAGAGATGCCTCCGCATCTTTGTGAGCCTGTGAGTGTGCTGGCATGCGGCATCCAAGTTATGTCCGAGCAAGATGTGCGACGGTGCTTGCGGGTGAAGCTTGGTAACTTTGCGGCAGCGTGCTTTTCAGCGCTCTTTGGTTTTGCTTCGTATTCAATCTTTTGCATGAGTCTTGTTGTGGAAACATCAAAGGCGAGGGCATTCGCATGGCCCCTTGGATCCAACATGTGGTGAAGGAGCTGCGGTTGCCTTGAGAAGACAACTGAGAAAGAAGTGTTGTGTTTTGAGGTTACCGATGATGACCTGCCTCCCGCGGCCTGTCGCAAAACACTTCTGTGCAATGAAGTCTGCCATATCCCCTCTGCTCCCTGCCGAAGGTAACGGCCCTGGAAGGAATGGGGGATTTTGAGGAGTTGCAGGCAAGAGCGCCTCCCGGCAAATTGTTTACACTTCGCATCTCTGAATTCGAAGAGGTCCATTTGTCGAGCCATGACTGTCTGAGCCAAGGTTTCAGAAGATCAAGGATGCAGCTGCGTGCATGTTGTTTAGACTTGTTTAGTGTCAGATAGGGTTTGTTTGTTTTTTAGGTGCCTTTAGGTCCAGGGTTTTAGGGTGAGTAGCACCGGGGAGGATTGCGCGATATTGTGCGATTGTCCATTTGGTTCACAGAAGTCTTTCTCTTGATGGGCGCACCATGGTGTCTTTCTCGGTAAGAAAATCTAAGAGCAGCTCTTCGGTTTGAGTGTGATTTCTCAGGCTGCTGAGCTGGTTGATAGTCTGGCAAGCCATTGTCAAGCAGCTGTTGCCTGATCATTCAGAGTTCCCAGTCATGTCGGGGCACGTGTGGCGCAGGATGAGCAGCAGAGGAAAGCTGCGTTGCTAGCGTCAGGCTTTCTCATGGAGCCTCGGCTGGCTTTAGACTTGCCTCACAGCATCTGCGATGTCTTTTACATCGAGATTTTGCGGACACGAGGAGAAGAAGAGGTTAGATGAGGCGGATGCAAAGGCCCTCAAGCCTTTGCACAGCTACTCAGAACACAACACCGGATCGCATGTTGCTTCCAGATAGCAGCCCTGGAGCAGCGCCTCAAGGACTACAAAAAAGCTCAGGCGGGCTGATCTAAACCCCTTGTAAGCTTTGCTTGTCTGATTAGGGATGTGTTGGGTCCAGTCTTTCTGTGCCTCTCTCAGAACCTGCTAGAGGCCTCCCTACCACATGCCTCCAGCAATAAAGTCAGGTGTTGGGTGGCTTGAGGGTGATGTGTGCCCGAATCGCTCAACTTTGAAACCTAGCGCTTCGCCCCTTTGGCACTAACATCAGGGTTCACGCACACTGCGCGATGTGGACGCAGATGTTCAGAGAGCGGCTCTGGGAGCGGAAATAGGGGGCCTGGGGGGAACCAAATAAGAGTTGCGTCCTAACAACGATTTGGAGCTGTTCTTAGTCGCCAGTGTCGGCTTTTTGAAACCTCGAATCTCAGAAAGATCGGGGGCTCTTTGCAGAGAAGTTGCTGCAGGAAGATGCCATTGTGGCACGCAAGAAGGAGTCCGTCAAAGCTCAGGAGCGTCGTTGCGTCGCCGTGGTTTCGCCCTCCTGCGATCTTGTTGAATGTGTTGCCTCTTACAGGAGAAGCGACAGCAAGGAATCCAGAAAGCTGCAAGGGACCGTGCGAAATGGGAAGACGAGACTTACAACAACCTGATGAATCGCATCACCCAGGCGTGTCGCAACATAAAGAATCCCTCAGATCAAGTTCGGGAAGCACGGACCTTAGATCAAAACCCTTCAGGCTAGGGCCACTCGAGCCAAGAGCTACTCCAAGGTGAGCGCCCAAGGGAGCTGCAGTCGAGCTGAGACTTTGAATAAACCATGGACTCTCTCCGATGTGGAGGAGGGGATGAGCAACGCCCTAGAGCTTGGACAGCAGCGGCGGCAGAAATGCTTCGATCAGGCGCTTGCGTTTGTCGTGCAAGAAATCCCTCAGAATCCCCTGTAGCCATAAGCCGTGACCCTGCAGCGGGCACAGGCCCTGGAGCGAGAAAATGCGCTCCTGGAGAGTATAGAAGCTGCCAGCCGAACAGCAGAAGAACGCCTGCAGGTGTCGTGCTCTCGCTTTGATCTGCTAGTTTATATAATATCAACAGTCAAGACAGTTTATACTTGTACATACATGCATAATTTTAACGCTACGCGACCCGCCTCGGCCCGGCCCAGCGCATCCGCGTGAGCATGGTGATTCCGCAGCGCCCAAGTCGCTGGACCCCAAGCAATAAGGGTTGGGTTTAGGGTTTAGGGTTTAGGGTTTAGGGTTCCGGGTTTATGGTTTATGGTTTAGTTTAGGATTGAGGGCTTAGGGCTCAAGGTTCACGCTTTGGGGTTTAGGGTTTTTTTTGGAGTAGGGTTCAAGACGGTTCGGCTTGGATTGATCGTAGGGTTGAGCCAGGCCCCTCAGGGGGGTAGGGGGAGTGGGGGGGGAAGGGAGGCAGGGGAAGGGGGGGGGGGGGGCGGTTGAGTGCTTCGGGCTTTGGTTTAAGATGTAAGGGTTTTTGCTCAGATTCAAAAACCCGCTCACCAACTGCAGTGGGTGGAGGGGGGGGGGGGCGGGGGGGATGGGGGGGGGGGGGGTGGGGGGGGGGGGTGGTGGGGTGGGGGGGGGGGTGGGGTGGTGGGGGGGGGGGTGGGGGGGTGGGGGGCAACTGCCTCTGGTCCTGGCGACCCGTCCGCTTGCGGACCCCGGTTTCCTAGGGGGGGTACCCATTTGAGGCAAAAAAAGGGGTCCGAGGATTTGGAGGGGGGTGCCTGTTCTGACAACCTATACACCTCCGGCCCGAGGCCTCGGCGGATATGTATATACATATATGTATATATAGATATATACATGCAATAGCTGTTATAGTACATGAATTATATGTCATGTTATACGATATGATAGAACCTTGAATGTATATATATATATATATATATATATATATATATATACATACACATGTATATATGCACACATATCTTAATATGAATTTCAATGTTACTGTATATGCAAATTATCTTGTGCCTTTGTGATGGTGGCTTCTCTGGTGCCGCTGCCTCTGTGCCAGATCCGCCGGCAAGAGATTGAGGACGACTGCAGGCGAAAGGCAGAAGAGTCCCAGGCGCGAGCAATCGTGGAGCCTGAGTGTCCTTTTCGCTTTGAGTTTCGAGCCGCCTGGCTCGCTGGCAGCAGGAGCTGCGAGAACGCAGTTCCGAAGCACCCTTCGGGGCCTGAAACCAGCCTTTCATGCTCCCAACTCCTTTCGAGGCTTCTTCTCGACTCCAAAATGAATCTCATCTTTGCGCAGTCAACTGCCGAGGGCTCCCGGCGCATGGCTGCAATGATACTCATACCAGCCAACCCCTCCAGTGAGGGCTTCCACCCTTCCCTCCCCCCGTTCCCCCAGTGCTCAAAACGCTTCTCCGCAAAAGCTGCTCAACACTGCGGCCGGCTCAAACTTCCTCTTCCACCTGCGTGCATTGTTATTTGTTGCATCGTCACGCTTGCAGATGCTTGCGGAAGACCCAATGCCGTTGGTGCGGGATTCGACTGGATAGCTATATCGAGCTGTTGGGGATGACTTACTAGCGACCTGAGCCCTAGGTCCCGACAACCTGGCCCGCACCAACCCCAAAGCTGCCGACCGCCTTTGAATGAAGCAGTTCCATTGACTCCACGGGCAAGCAAAGTCACAATCTCACATGAAATCTGTGCTGAAAAGAGCGTTGCCTATGAATCACGGGCTCAGCTTCCTTGCAGAAGTTGTCGCAGGCTCGATTCCAAGAGCGGCAGGTCAAAATCTACGCGCAGACACAGGACCCTTAACAGAAACCTTAGCTGGGACTGGATGGAAGTAAGTGCCCTCATGACCATGATATTGCCAAGTGAGGGAAGAATCTAGACTCAAGTGAGGACTGGGTGGAGAAGAAGCTTGACGATCACGCAAAATTCAAGGCTTAGTGACGGGTGGCATGCAAACTCGACCTTCGGATTGGTAAATCAGCTCTAGACCTTCAGATCAGTGCAGGCGCATTACAAGAGTCGTATTCAAGCGATGACCTCAGACACAAGCGCCGTGCAGTTGCAAACAGCCATGCGCGTGCTAGCCTTACCAGCTCAGCCTGAGCTACAAGGCAGGCAAAGACTTCATGAAGACCCGCTCCAAATCAGCTGGTGAGATCACCAAGAAGGCTTGCAACCTGTGTCGTGGTAAGCAGGGCATCTTCTAGAGCACTATCTCACACAGGAAAGCAAAAATCGTTGCAGGCACATGAAAAGTGGCGGTCCAACTACAACAAAGTGCTTGCTGCTCAGACTCAGGCCAGGAGGGATCTAACACAGTTCCTGCTTGGTAATCAGAGGTTCTTTTGTACCGAGCCTGAGCCTTACAGAAATTCATGCCGAAGCGGCTGGCAGAACAACTCGAATCTCCTGGCGCGACAAGAAGCTGCTCGAGTGAGAGCAGAGGCACGGCGCATCACGGGTCCGCATGGGAGGCTCATTTGATGCCATGTGGGGACTGGAGTCTTACGACTTACGACCAATGCACGGATGCACTTAAGCCCCCTGCAAGATCGCCCACAACACAGCGCACACGACTCACGGCATTCACATGCGCATTCCGTCAGAAAGCAGGAGACCATGGCATTGAAGCTGAAGTGTGCCAACGACGTCCACTCCTTCAAGGAGGCGCTGCAAAGTGTCAAAGTATTCAAAGAGCCAAGAAAGCCACAGGGTGTTGGCCAAAAAGTGCTCTGTCACAAGCAGGAGACAATTTGTCATTCGGCTCTCGTCATTCGTCTCTCTCTCTCTCTCTCTCTCTCTCTCTCGTTCCTCACACGTCTTGTTCCGCTGATCTCTCGATGCTGAAGTATGCACTGAACTTCGCTGAGCTATATTTCTCGCAGCGGAGGTGAAGTACAAGACTTGGGGAGAGCTGCAAAGGCAGAAGCGGCGGAATTTCAGCTGTGAAGAACTTAAGAACCAGAGATGCATATGATTCGACAGTTTAGACCATTTATGCGCTCGTTTTATTGGAGGCGGAGGATGGAGGAAATTCAGAAAGCCAGGGAGGTGCGGGCGATGGATGAGCTCCCGAATTCCCTCGAATGGACAATGCCAAGTCACGACTTGTCCCGCGGAGGCCCAGACACAAGCTTTGGTCATCAAGATTGCGGAGGGCCAAGCCAAGGCTGACTGTTGCCTCCGTCATCTGTAAATACTCTGTCTTGCAGTGGTGTCCTTGGGGTACGTGTTGCCCACTCAACTTCGAACCGAGTCCCGGCAACCCCGATGCTAGCAGTGCTCGTACATCCTTGTAGGCTTAGCAGCTGCACTTGTGATATTTACTAAAGCCGTCGTGGGGGCTCTTGCAACAAGAACTGGTTCGCTGCAGGCCCGTGCCAGAGACGAAGGCGCAATGGAGGTGAAGAATCGCAGGCAAAGAATAGGAGCAGACACTCTCGTCAGGCGCTCAGCTCAGAGTTCGCTGAGCCTTGCCTGCGTTGCATGCAGCTGAGGCCCTGAACGATCGAGCCAAGGAAGGCTTTATCAAGATCAAGAGCGAACCTGATGAAAGGCATCTTGGGATGTCGCCGTCGTTGTTGCTGCATCTCTTGTTTTGGAGACCTGTGCCATGCTCTCCAGGAGAATTGTCAAGGTGATGAGCGACCTTGGGTTTGTCATGCCCAAGTTGCCCGACGAGGACCGCTTCTCCTTTGGACGCCCCTTAAGAAGCATCTCGCCGCGAGTTGTTGGCCGCAGTGCACAACTCAGGGTGAGGACGAGGAGGAGAAAAAGGCATTCTGACTGCTGAAAGCAAATCCTGTGGCTTGGCCCGGCTTGGCATGCGCGAGCTTCGCTTTCGACATGCGCTCTCAATCATGGGAGCAATAGTAGGGGCATGAAGCAGAAGTTGGCTCCGAGGTTGCTCAAAGCACAGGGGGACAAGCCGAACTCCAAGTGTACGTTTCACCGGGTCATGGCCGAAGTTGCATGATCATCCGGGAAGAGAGAGGCTATGGGAGTGAAACAAAAAAGCTTCTTGGTATGAGCGTTCAGGCCCCCGCGTGCCACATGGCTTGAAGGAAAGCGTGATCGTTTGCTGTATGCCACGGTCACCATCTTGTGGCAAACGAATGCCCAAAGAACTGCCTCACTGCGAATGCTCGTCTGTAGCTACTCGTAGACGCAGGAATCAGTGCGTCGAGTGCAGTGTGGCCTCGTGTGGCATACAAAACCTTGCCCATGCAAATCTGGAGCCAGGCTAGCTACTGGCGACACCTGATCGAGGACACCTCTCGCGGAAAGAAGGCCTGCCTGCCTGTGACAGGCAAGCATAGAAGGACTGCGACAAGCGCCCGATGATAAAGCAACGACAAGGGTATATGCCGCACCAAGACTCTGCCGCGTTTCCACCCATTGGGCACAATTCAGCACTGCCGCTTGGATTGATGATCGGAAGGTCCGACGGGCCATCCGATACGAAGTCACATTGCGGGAGGATGCGGAGGCCGGCATGTCTTGCAACAATTGTAGCAGGAGGTCTATTTGTTCAGGATTTTTGGGTCTACTTGGGACTTTTTTGTTTGGGTTTCTTACCGAGACTAGATGTTGTATGCTCATGATGATTGTGTTGCAATTGGGGGGGGCTGGGGGGCTGCCCCCGCCCCAACCCCCCCCACTTTTTTAGATCCGTGCAAGCTTGCTTCAAAGCACATGCATCTTTTTGAAACCCATCATGCGAACATTGAGTTTGCCAATGAAGGGGGGGGTGCGCCGCCCCCACGAACCCAACCCACCCACTTTTTTATTGCCGTGCAAGGTTGCTTCAGGTTGTCGAGTTATTCGTCGTATTCGTCGTCGTCGTCGTCGTCGTCGTCGTCGTCGTCGTCGTCCTCGTCGTCGTCGTCGTCGTAGTTGTACATGTATGTGCACCTGTAGTCGAACCCAGGAAAAACAAAAAAGCACCCTTCTGACCGCACCAAACCTTCAGCTCTTCGGCTTCTGAGCCATGCCAGGATCCAAATGGAGCTCGTATCCATGACACACGCAACGATGGCTGCCTGGTCGAGATGCTCGGAAAGAAGAAGTGTTTTGGATGCATGAAGGTGCTTCGCTGTGGCCTGTCAAGGGGGCAAAGAACAATTGTGGGATGTCGTGTGGCAGCTAGTCTAGTGCAATCACTCGTTTCCTCTCCGTCGGATCTCCCCCATATTTCGGAAATCCCAGCCCTCTCTTGAGTTCGCTGCGGTTCGCCTCCTTCATTCGACCGTTTCGTGTCTTGTCTCGTCTGGCTCCTGCCTCGATATCTTTCTTGCTCGCATTTCCTGAATTCGTGATCGGCTGCCAGGCGCAAGGTCACTCGGGCCATTGTGCGAAACAGTGCTCGATTTGCAAAGTCTAGCCTGCACATCTGATCTCATGCAAGTTTCTGAAGCCTGCAGTAGTTGACAGCATATGCTTTTATAGCACCTCTGAAGACAAACGCTCGTACAGCATTCGGCGGACGATGCAAGAGAACCACAAAAGGTATGGTGCGATGTACTCCGTAAGAGTGATGCATATGTGAACGCTAAAGGCGCGGAACGTATGGGGTCCCGTGGGCATGTCACCGAAAAACCTTGGGACACCAGAAATACACCAGCTGCTTCAGACTACATGCCAGCATCAGTCAGACGATGTTACGTTTGTCATTGCGGGCTGCACCGGGCAGATGCCCTGTTTGACTCAGGTGGGTGGGCCACCAGCATTACGACCCTTTGGTTGCGCGCTGGCCTCATGGTGATGCAAGGCTGTACCACCTGAGTCGGCACAGGCGCGATCGAGCGATTGCGATGCCCTGCGATGACTTGCAAGCCTCATTGCTTGATGCCGTTGTTTGACTTAGTCGGCATTCATCCCCTCGTTGAGCAGGATAACTGCGGAACCAGATGAAGACAATCGCGAGATGCGCAAGAGCATGCCTTAATCTGCACAAAACTTGCAGGGATCTGCACGGGTAAGCTCCATGACATCCATGATCGATGTGGGAGTTTGCGTGCGAGCCAGGAAGAAGCAGCCCAGAACGGATACGAACATTTCTGAGAGTCGGGAGCCGCTCCGCTTGCGGCGGGACGATTAAGCAAGTGCCCCATGAAACTTGCCTTGAGCAACCAAGCGCCGTACACACTCAGAACGTGAGTTGAGATGTTTCTGTGTGCAACAGCAGCTTCTAAGTCGTTCTTCAAGATCGCGCGCCCGCGCCAAAAACCCTAAAGCAATCCTAAGAACTCAACACGCTTTGGTCTCACGGGCTGTGTCCTCAAGGGACCGGACAGTCCACAAGGGAGTGCAGCCAAAGGGGCAGCCGGGCAGCCTTGGAAGTGAGGGTGTGCACACCTGAGGCAAAAGGATTCGCTTTTGCCAAACAGCTGGTGCTGTTCTGTGCCTATACTACCTATGCATGCCTACACGCTTGACGCTTGGCCATCTCCCACGTGCTTGCACGCAGTCTGCCCGCAGTTTGCACTTGCACGCAGTTTGCACGCCGATGTGGACCAGATCAGGGAACTGTTTACTGCAAGTTGCGTCGATGCTTCAGTTCAGAAGAGCCAACACAGGCGCAAGACTTTGCCAGACGATACAAGACTGCAAGCCTGAAGACCCAGCGCTCGACAACATGTTTTCCCTTGCTCGGGCACGCTTCCCTCAAACGGCAGCCGCAAAGGCCTCAGTACATGATCCATGTGTTGCAACGCAACGTCTGCTGCAGATGGGTGCACGAAGCTGCGCGGGAGCATGGCTTTGCCCAAGTTCGCTGCTGCATGCCATCACGCCACAAAGACGCTTTCGTCGCTTGAAGCTGTTGCCCCAAACCGTGACTCAGGCTGCTCATGCTTGGGACTGCTCGATGCTCTGCCGAGCATTCGGGACAAAGCGCGTCAGGCCAGGGAACCTCTGCGTGAAGCTTAAGCGTGACTTCTGTGTCAGGCCATTCCGCACCGAATGTAGGAATGTCACGTTCAGGGATTCCCCGCCATGTTGACGCCTGCAAAACACCTGCAACGGGGAGGGGGCTGCTTTTGGGGCCTGGGGGGAGGGGTGCTTTTGGGGTGCGGGGCTGGCCCGCGCTCCCTGGCTCTGCACAAGCCATAATTGGATTATCCACACCGTTTTAATTCCTGATTGTACCCTTAAGGCCCTATACCGTTAAGGCCCCATGGCCTTGGACTTTTTCTGACCCAAGAAGAGAAACATGGCATATCAGAACCATCGTCAGCTCCCGAGCTAGCTTTCGCGACTACTGTGCACTGCCCTTCCAGACTCTTTCCTCTGCCAGCTCTCCGTGCATTTCTTATGGACATGCTTGTTGGAGTATATCCTGGTCGCTACGGAGCCAAGAAACCACAACCTGGGAGGCAGAGGCGTCGTTCGCGTGGGCGCATCATTCAGCTGAAGGAGACCCACTACGAGCCCAAGCCCGAGGCAAGGCCTGTCATGAGTCAACCATGAGAATACCATGAGACATCATGGTTCCTTTGGTTCCTTTACCCCAGTACCGTCATTACCTTGAGTCTTTCGGCTCGACGTTCTCTTGGCTTCAGAGTCAGTCCACTTGAAGAGGCCAAGAAGACCCTTTAGAGGCCCCTCTGTCTGGAGCGGAGGCAGTCATTTGCAGTCGAGGTCCCCGTGCTCACAATGCCTCACTCATCCTGGCTTTCTTCTGGCTGGCTCTCAGGACTTTAACTTTTTGGTTTTGTTTGAAGCCCAAGCCTGTCACTCTGTCTTTCGTTCTGGCTGGGACCAGCTGTGACTGTCGATAGCGTGTGCTGCTTGTAAAGATTCCAAGTCTAGGTTTCTCAGAATATTTAGGACCTTGTACAGGGCACCCAAGTTTACTTGTTTCAGATGCAAGCTTTTATGGAAAAAGGGAACTACACCTCGTCCATGTCAGTGCTCAGAGCGTCGCTGGTCAGGGCTACCAGTCTTTGCCTATGTCGCTCCTGGCTTCGGGACCGATACGGCGTGTTCTTGGCACCAGGTCCGCTGAGGCGGCATGTTCAACAGTTATGGAACCTATGCAACATATGCTGACATATGTGCCGGCTACAGACCTGCGTGCTAGGCAAGACGGCTTGCCGGAGCCATCGACTGGGAACGATACAAGTGCGATGTCAAGGACGGCACAGGAAGTAGTTGGAAATAGGGTCAGCGTTTGCTCTGCCACTTCAGGGCGTTCGTTGGCATGCTTGCGGCCCGGAGCTCAAAATTTATGAGGCCAGTGCAACATGATGCAACCTGCAACGCGAAACATGGTCATAAAGGTCATTGCAGTTCTAGAATCCACATACGAGCATCACATGTTCTTCCATACCCATCTGAGGTGCTTGGCGAGTGCTCTTCAACAAGAAGGACTACGAACACAACTTCTTCGTGAAGTGCCCAAGACAGACTGTCTAGAAGACATCGACACACATAGACATTCTCCTTGGCGTGCTCAGATCTCTCGCGACAGGTGCAGCTGCTACTTCAGAGTGCCGATCTACGGGTGCCGGCTCAGGATCTGGACGACAGAAGCACCGCATTCCTCAAGCTGAGTGTTTCTCAGGTTCGACCGAGCCAAAGAGCTGGCAATCGCATACAGACGGTGCTGTGCTCAGAGATGGGTGCTACACATGATTCACATGATTCAATCTACAATCAGACATCCACCTGGGCGTTCGACCCATGCAAGGCGACTAGACGCAGAGTGGGATGAGCAGTTGAGAATCTGGGCTCGTGTCCCGGAGCTGCTCGCTCATGCAGCCAGCTTGCAGCGTATGCTCGCAGCACTCCTCTGTTGCGTTTAGGCGGATTTAGACGCGAAGCGGGAGCAGGAGCGAGCGGCGAGGTCTCCACCTCGAACAGTCAGACGCTGCACTGTGGGTGTTCGAGTCCGCACGATGTTGGGCTTGAGGCACTTGTGATTTATGTATGTGTAATATATATATATATATATATATATATAATTATCTTACATACATATGTTGTTTTTTTTTTGGCGGGCGGGGGTGGGATGGGGTCGGTGTGGGGGTCGGGGAACCTGGAGCACCGAATCACAAGTTCAGAACTGAAAGTTTCCGCCGTCATGCTTTAGGTCGCATGAAGCTTATCATCCATAGTTCGTCGAGTCGACTCTGCCAGTCGCGAGGCAGGCCCGTACAAAGTCGTAAAGGCACTTCACGGTCGGAGCAATCATCTGCAGGATGTGTCGCTTATATAAGCCTAAGCAGGCCGTCTCCAAGGCTACTCTATGTTTCCGATTTTCTGCGGTTGATGCGTTTGCAACTGTTCATAAGACGCTTGAATGCAGCCACGGTATACAAGAGCGAAGGGCATGCGTGACCGGCTTGACCTGTTGCAGCGGCTTAAGAGAACAGATCTGCGTAGTGCAGAAGTGCTTCGAAGTCTACGCCGACGCACCGGCCGCAAAACTTATGAATACAGGCAGGCCGCTGCATGAACTAGCTCGAGCTGTCGGATGCTGCGGAGTGCCGGTGAACTTTTCACCACCTCACATTGGGCTTAGTAGCTTCTGGGCTTTGCAGGGTCCATGAGATGCTGCAACGATTGTCCGTCCCTCCGGCCGTCCCTTAGAAGTTTCACATGTTCATTCCTGAAGGTTGCGTGACAGCGCTTCAAGCGCCGGCTTTCCAGCGTCTTCCTCCATCCCACGTGGCCCAGGGCAGAGCAGAGGGCAGGGCAGAGCGCAAGGCAAGCTGGATTTCGCCGATTGCACTGACTCTTCAAGAAAGCGTTCGTTTGTTTGGGTTGTGCAAGGGCCAGCAATCCAGAACTTGTCACCTTTCTGAGCTGCAGCGGCAAGTTGCGGCAAGTTGCAAGCAGTCAGTGGCAGATGCTGGAGAAACACGAGCTGCATGAACAACCAGTCAGTTGTGCAATATGAGCAAGAAAGCCGGCAGGTTCTGCAATGGCGCGCGCCCACGATAACTCTTCTGGCTTCGTTGACCCACACAGTTTCTGGACTGAGCCGGGGGGTTTCTTCAGAAGTATACGCCTGAAAGATGTATGCCATCAGCTGCGATGTGTCATGGCAGTGTTTAGAGCTTGTGATGAAAAAGCTGTGATGCCCACATTGTACTCATGAAGCACGACACAATTGCAGCGCTGTGCCTAAATCGCCTAGCAACCTGCGCTGCTTTGGTCTCAAGCTGTTGCAAGAGTTGTGCTCGCGGTGGACAAAGGTGTGGCGCAAAGGAATTCGCCGGGGGTCAGCTGGCATTGCGCGCCGGTCTGAACTGCGAGATTTCCTGCAGCTCGGCTTTGACACAACTTGTAACCTGACCGGTAAACCTCTTCAAGCTCCACCAGAAGCTACATCCAAGTACTCAATTCCCAAACCTCAATGCGCAGCCTCTCGGCAGATTGCCATCATGTTCGTTGAGATTCCACAAAGAATGTCAGTTCTAGTGCAGCCATTGTGGGCCCTCGTTATGACACTTGGCGATTTTGGTCAACATGTGCCTGCACATGTCCTGCTCAGGTTGGGTAAGACGCCCGCGCCACCTAGCAAGCCAGCTGACGAGGACGGACCCAAGACAACTTCTTGGCGTTGTCGACTGCAGCTGCAAAAGAGCTTACCAAACTCAAGTAGTGGTCAGCGGCCTGAGGCGGCTGCCAAGCCAGCTGACAAGGACGGCTCCCAAACAGTTTGCTGCGCATGTACGACGAAATTGTGTTGCGGGAATTTGTCCACAGCTTCAAATCTATACCATTGTGCACGCGAGTTCAAGACTGCCAACTTTTCAACTTCTCCGAACCAAAACCGCTAACAGCTAACATGGCCTGAGGCGGGTGGAAAGCCGGCTGCCAAGCCAGCGGCCAAGCCGGCGGCCAAACCGGCAGCCAAGCCGGCAGCCAAGCCGGCGGCCAAGCCAGCCGCCAAGCCAGCGGCCAAGCCGGCGGCCAAGCCGGCGGCAAAGCCCAAGCCTGCTGCCAAGCCCGCTGCCAAGCCGCCAGCTGCCGAAAAGGACGAATCCAAGGCAGCTCCTGCCTCGGGTAAGTCCGTGCTTCGTTCAAGTAGATCAGCCTCCGTGGCCATCCGAGCTTTATCCAGCTGCACTTGGGCTGTCAAGGCCAAGCAGCACCTCAAATCGGCCCTGTTTCTGAGCAGCAATGCAGAGCTCGGAACGACTCAGCTCAAAAGCTTGTGGGAACTGTTGTGAAGAACACGCTGCGTGCGACCGTGTGAGGCTTCAGTCAGCTGGTGGTGAAGATGAAGTCAGCGGCTTGTGGGGCAGGATGCTGCAACGATAGAATTGCAACAATCGTGTGACTCATGAGTTGACAGCGTTCGTGAGGGTCCTACCAGTCCAGGATAGTCCAGGGAAAGGTTGATACAGCTTGACACAGCTATGCAGCTAAACTTCTATCTCAGTCAAGGAAGGCCCTCGCTGGGCAAAGCTGCTGGAGGCTTTCGGCAATGCAGACCAGCAGCTTTGCACAAGCCTTTCAAGGCACTTGAGCACTGAGTACTCACATGAATCTTGTATGGGAGGGACACTTCCAATCCACTTTGTACATACGATCGCATTGAAGTGGCACAGCGTGACACCTATCCAGCACCTGCAGCATGGCCGCGCTCCACTGTGAGAGAAGACGGCTATCTCCTTGTCACAAGTGTCCTAGGAATGGTGATGGCCACATCAGCAAGGACAACGGCGTCGCAACCATAACTACAGCGCCGCCTGACTGTCGACCAGTTTTATCCAGCTTTCTCGTGGATCTGCCAGGAAGAGCTGCTCGAGGCAGTCCAAGGCAAGGGCGTTACCATGGACGAGGTTTCACAGGCTCGCTTGAAGCACGTTTTTCAATCATCACAGCCGCGCGTTGCTCACGGCAAGGCGCTGGATGGCATTGACTGTGATCATGATGGTGAGATCAATTACGCCGAGTTTGTGAAAATGTTGCGATGATTTTATAAGGGTTGAGGCAGCAGTCGCTACGGGCCCAAGCTCCTGCTGAGGAGCAAGTACGCTGGCAAGTTGTGTTCAGTTGTGCTGCGCATTGCTGTGCTATTATTTCCAGCGCACCCCGCTTGCACCCATCTTGCACCCATCATAGTTAGTTAATCGTGAGCTGCTGACCTCCCCAGTTCCATAGCATTTTTTAAAGGCAGCAGTCAGCACAGAGTGGGAAAAGCCTTGGCATTCATGAAGCTTTTGCTTCGGTGCTTCTGCAGGGTGACTGTTGTGGCAGTGGAGCTCAGTCTCTTGCCTGTGATTCATTAGCGCCTGCTTTTGCAAGGTCTTCTGTGGACATGGGCCCCGGACGTGAAGCAGTTGATGTTCTAGAAACGCAGTAGTGCGTAGAGTGGACCTGGCTGGCAAGTAGCCTGGTCGCAAAAACACAGCGCGGCATTATGCGGCATTGCAAGGTTTCTTTTTCTCAGACTTGCGGATCCAGGACAGCGCTGTGAGATGACGCATCTTTGAAGACTGAGCTTGTTGGTTTCGGACTCTTGTCCAGTGAGTTCTGTCGGATCCAGTCAAGTTGGCTGATGCTGTTCACGTGGCAGACTTGAAGGGCTTGCATTACCCCCGCCCCCCCTCCCCCCTTGAGACCAGATTCCTGAGGTGCTGTTCACGACGGACGTTGCTGCCCTCCAAACCGTCCCAAATCCCACATGTAATTGATAAGCTCGCTCTCGAGCATTAGGTGGCCCAAGCTGGAAGCCAGATGTCAGCTACAAGTTGTTTCTGGCTCCTGCTCACTTGCCATTTCGAGCTTGAATTGCCGAAGTTCTATTTTGGCTGCAAGAAGACCTGGTACCCAGAGAGCATCTAGAAGTTGCACGTCGAGCTGGAGAGTCTGACGCTTGCTGCTTCTGACATACTTTATGCTGTTGTATCGGATAAAGCTTACGAATATCTGGAGCTGACATGGAGTCGCTCGAGGCCAGTGCTAGGAGCTTTGCTTTGTTAGACCACTCAGAAAGTGCTTTGTTAGAGCGCGCAGAGAGCTTGGACAGGTTCCGATACTTCGCTGGGGACTTGGTTTACCACATCTCACATCTGTCGGTGCTCCAGGACAGTGCGGTGAATCTGACAGGTGCTTTGAAGGACCATGCTCAGGCTGGGCAGCCTTTGGCTGTACTGGAGCACACCAAGGCCGACGCTGTGAGCCTGCGCACACTGGGCTATCATCCGGCAAGTCGTGCTTGTTTTTCGTGCTTTTCTGGCAGCTTGTCCGACATAGTCGTGGCATTGAAGCCAGGCAGAATCAATTCAGCTATCCTACGCGGAACTCAGAAGCCGGGGTCTTAGCTTGCCAAAGATCACACACTTTTTTGGCAGGATGTCAGAAATTCTTGTTTTTAGTTTTTCAACCAGCCGCCAACAATGCCCGACTTACATTTTTGCAAGCAGTAGATCAGTCATCAGGCTGCTTGTGGCTGCTCTCGGAAGGTAATGTGCACGCCATCTCTGGAAGCATTCGAACTGTCCTGAGCAAGAAGTCGGCGTCGCTACCAAGGCAAGGGTTGTGCTGTCAGCATCAAATAAGGCCGCGTAGCACCGCGTGGCACCGCGTAGCGCTGCGTAGCACTGCATAGCGCAAGTTTCTGCAGTCGATGCTACCCTGATGTTGCTCGCCAGGCATGTGGCTTTCTTTGTACATCCTTCAGCCGCGCGCAAAGCTTAGAAGTCTCATGTTTGCATGCTTCGAATGTTCGAGTGCTTGCATGAAAGGTATGTCGTCACCGAGCTTTCCATCTGGGCAGCCGACGGTGTTTGCGTGCGCACGTCCTGGTCACAGCTTGCACACGTTGTACGTAACACGAGGCTGAGCGTGTCTTACATTGCACGGGCCCGCGACAGACACAGGCAACGGCTCATAGATTGCAGAAACTAGGCTTCATCGACGGAGAACTTTATCATTTTTGGGAAGTTTGGGAAGGGGAGAGCCTTAAAACTTTTGGGGAAACAGTTGAAACAGTTCTAAGCATGGCCCGCAACGATGGCCATGGCGCCGCAAATCATGGCCAAGCGGAAGGCTTCCCGAAGAGAGTCCAACCGCTATCGAGGTTTCATATGCTTCTGCAACTCAGAAGGGAGAGGGGTCATTTTCTGAACTCGGAAGGAGGCAACGCGCATGTTTGTTTGTGTCGTCGTTCTATGACGTGCCCTACGGAAGTGACGTGCCCTACGGAAGTTTCCGAAAAGTGGGAACAAACAGCGGCAGCCATTGCCTCCAAGCGTTCCTGCCCTGTGACCGCTTGCATGGCTGCTAGGTTTGGGCAGCACCGCCACGATGGCATCTACCACTTCCGGAGGTGACGATGTGGGGGTTTGGGGAGTTGGGGGTACCTTATTGGGGTCCCCATTATAAGGGGATCCTACTATTTGGGGGGCTATGTCGGGTAAACTATTTTCGTAAACCCCCATGTGAGTGAAACTTGCGCAGTTCATCTGGATAGGGCTTGCCGGAAGGACCAGGGAGCTCTCTATCAAACTGGCGCGGAAGTTGGAGGCTCATCAACAACCTGAGTTGTGAGTTTTGCAGAGCATGGTTCCATCGCATATTGCCCTCGTTCTCTTCCATCGGCAACCGTTGGCAGCACATGCATGGACTCACGAGACCGATTCCGACAGTGCGAGGACCCAAGGGTTTGCAGAACGGCCTGATATCCGAGAGAGCTCTCGGTCGGTGGCTGCCTGAATTCCCTGCATGTTGAACTGAAAGCAGACCCGATGGCAGAAGAAGGAAGGGCTGTCCTCTTGGACATGCAGTCAGTCACCATCAGGGTATAACCTCCACGATGACTAATCTTTGAATCATGACGAAGTAAAATGCGCATGCTCGAAGAACGTTGCCTTTTGCAATGTGGATGGAAATTTGATGAAGTGTGATGCTTTGCCCTTTCGAGCCCAGGTGCCAGGGATGATTGCTGCAAATTGCCTTTTCACAGAGGGAAGCAGCTCATTGCGAAAGACGATGCTTCAGACCAGCATTTACGACCGCCGGCACCCCAGCACAGTGCTCTCAAAAATCATAGGTTGCAAGAGCACATCGCTGACATTTGCTGACTGTACTTATCCGAGTTTGTAGACGAAGTGCAGGGTCAAGTCTTTCCGAACCAGGTGATCCTTATGCCTTGCAGCATCGACGCGCAAAGGACACATGCCCAGAGGCAAGGGTGCACTTGCCGCTTGACAGTGTGTGGGCGAATTTTGAAGCAGCCCGGCAACTGAGGTGGTTCCTGCTGGCTCTGGCAGGATGAGCCGCTTGGAATGATGGCAGTCCGTGTGGCATTCTTATGTTCCGCAATTTGGTACGAGAAGCTTCTTTTCAGGTCAGAAGATGTGGTGTGTGAGGAGGGGTGTGATTTGATGAATGCAACGATGCCAACCTGCAGCGAATGTGTAGCGGTGGTTGTCGGTGGTTGTTGCAACTCCCGCCCCGGCAGACACTCCTAAGTGTGGCACCATTTTGACCATATCTCCTTTTCTCTGCACTCCGCACGCCGCCAGCAGATCAGGCTTCGCAGAGGATGAAAAGAGAGCACGACCGATGGAAATGATTGTGGTTGAATCATTGAAGGATGTTGCATGTTGCATGTCGTGCTCTTTTGGATTCCTGGAATTGCAGAAGCCAGGTAAAAGTTCAGCCCTACAACAGGGAGCAAATAGGCACTGCCTCGAGTCTTGAGAGGCGGAGCACCTGCTCAGTCCCTCGATTGCTCGCCGGGAGTGCGAAGCTCTCCACGGCAGAGCCTCTAGTGACCTAGCAGTTTAGCGCAAGCTTGGCATGCCAAGCGATACTGCATGTTTAAATTCCGCGGCCTGTAAGTGAGAGTGGCAGCACAGTACCTAGTACCCACAAGAGCCGCATTGCGCCAGTGGAGGGGCCAGAGGATGCTATCTTCACCGCTTCACCCAACCTATCTCAAGGCAACGAGGTGAGGCTCAGGCGGCAACCGTGTCACCTGACAGCACCTTCGACCCATGTGTGCTTGCTGCTCATTTCGGGGATGCCTAGCCTTCTTGCGGTCTGCATGCGAGCTTGAGAGGTTCTTTAGCACAGTAGGGAGCACGGCATATGAGACAATCCCTGCCATGACATGGTATGAACTGAAGAGGGCATGCGATGTCATACGACAAGAGCGCTAAATCACTTACAGGCCGGCTAACTCCAGACACTGCCCGCAGTTTGGCCGGGCTCTTGTTTCAAGTTCCTTCACGGGCACTCCAGACAGGTCCTTCAAGAAACGATTGCTGAACGCTTGTGACAGCATGCATCTTACATATGCTCGTTTTCTGGCCAATACCATGATCTTGCTCTTCATGCAAGAAGACAGTGCGAAGAGGAGGCATCTTCAGATCTTCAGCAAGCCCTTGGTTCAGTGATTCGAGGTTTCTGAAATCGGAGTGACTTTGTTGCTTGATGGCATGGATGCCTTCAAACCTGCGCCATCTTCAAAACCCGGTATGGCCCAAGGGCCCGAAGGAGTGCATCGACTTAGCCCATAGTTGCTTCCAGGCTTCTGGCTGGGGTCAGTTTGACACAGCCAGGCAGGTATGGGAGACTTTCCTTGACGCGGCAACGCGCGAGGATTAGAAACGCTACGGAAGAGTGCAGCTGCTGATGCCAACCCAGTTTCTCAGCTACCAAGTAGTACCTTCACCGCCTCACCTCGGCACTTGCCACTTTCATGGATGGCTGGATAGCCCGAAGGATATCGGTGATCGGCCTGATCCGGCCTGCACAGGTACCACTGTCAGTTCACTCACCTGTACCAGAGCTAGAATACTTCGTGAAGGACCATTTCCGCGGTTTTAATGCCGGGTTCGGTTGGCGCCTTGCAAGCCCCAAGAGGCATCGGGAGGATGCCCGACGTGAGTGTCTGCGAGCTTGCCCGCATGTGCCCGCATGTGCCCGCAGGACAGCGAGAGCTGCCTTTGCTTGTCAGATGCTTCGGGCGCGCCGAAGATGAAGCCTGAAGCCTAAAACGTCTGTGAAGGATTGGTGCCCGAGGAGTGGCCGTTAGTGACAGTGAAAGGGGCTGGCGCCATACTTAAAGCAGCTGGGCTAAAGCGAGCTGTTCAGCTGTGCCTGGCCAGCAATGTGAGAAGTACTAAAGCACGCACATACACATGCAACAGCAGAATGACGCGTGCTGGACAGTCAGCCTTTCCCGCTCTTGCCATCTAGGTTGTATCACATTCCCCGTGTGAGTCGTAGATTCGTAGATTGACCAAATTTTGACTAAGGGAAGTTGCTGGAAAGTTGTCAAGGCCATTTGCCGAAATAACGAAGGCGCCATCGATCTGCGTCCGTGTCTTGAGTCAAGTTGCATGAGATCGAGTCATGCGTTGTGTGGCGAACTGGAGGAGTGTTAGGAATGCCTGCTTTTTCTCCGGAGGCGCCTGAGTCTTCCAAAGTCTATCGACTGTTGGTCGATGGAGGCATAGCCGCGTTCCCTTGTGTAGCCGGCCGTTGTGTGCAGTAACTCCTGCAGGGTTGGGCCTGACGCTAGGTCCTGTGGCTCCTTCTGCGCTCCGCCTCAGATCAAGTCTTTTTTTGCGTGCGTCGGTTCCTGCTCTGGCTAGGCTGAGGTCTTCTCTAGCGTACTGGTATCTTGGGCCAGGCCAATGATAACAATGACAGAAAGGTGGGAACATTTGGTACTTGTCTTGTGGCCTAGGCTTGCACGTGAAAGCTTTGAAGGGGCTTGGATTCAGAGCGGTTCGCAACGAGCGGCCCTTCCGCTTCCACGCTTCCCCTTTCACACACACACACACAGAGCACAGTGCAACACAGCGCAACACAGCGCAACACAGCGCAACACAGCGCAACACAGCGCAACACAACACAACACAACGCAACGCAACGCAACGCAACGCAACGCAACACAACACAACACAACGCAGGCTGGAGAGCAGGTGCATGTTGCTCCCAAGGTGCAGCCCAGCTGCTTCGCTTGCTTCTGCGGCCTGTTCTCGTCACGAAGTGATGCCAGATTCCCAGTTCCCCGTGCCTGCTGCATGAGCGGAGCAGTCGACGACGTGCGACCTTGTTAGGCCAAATTTCACCTACAATCGCGGTTTCTGTCTTTGGTGACAAGTTGCATTGCATGCACTGTATGATGTTGTATGTGACTTGTCAGGTCCTGTCGCAGAATGCCCTGATTCTGTACACTTCAGGAACGACTGGACAGCCAAAAGGCAGTTGCGTTGTCATCCATCTTCATGCGCAGAGCACTTCTGGACACTGTGCAGGCGTGGTTCATACATTCAATAGCAGGCGGCTTAGTCTGCAGAAGATCGACAAGACCAAGGTTGCGGAAGTTGCCACGCTCAGGCCTCACAGCGCAAATGCGATCTCTTAGTGAAGCATGGAAGCCTCTTGGACTGCAAGATAGCCGAGAGCCGCTGTGCATCTACAACACGAGCAGAAGTACGTTGGTGGTTGCAAGGTGGTCATCCAAAGACCGAACGCTGCACGTGCTGCCTCTTCACCACATTCATGGTGTGTTGATCCAAGCTTGGGCTGAAGGTGCTTATGTAAGCAGATGTGCAAGCGAAGGGCAGCCGCATCAAAGGTTCAGAACATCCTGAACACGGCACTCTTCAACGGAGCTGGCGTTGAGTTGACAGCCTTCGATGCTGCCTTCTGCCTGAAGCCAGCCCCTCATTCTTCTCTTGGGTTTTCAGTCCTGTCTCTTTCCCCACAAACAGCTAAGCTCGGTTCCGCAGGCGCCTGACCTCGGGAGACATTACCTGCTTCCATGCGGTGCCAACCGTTTACGCTAGACCTGGCCTGATTCTGAAGCAAGCCGATGAGTGAGACATGCGACCTTCAGATGGGACACAGCTGTGACATGACACGCCAGGTTAAGTTTACACAGCACTTGGATACACTCCCTGCCGACGCGAGACAAGCGATCTGCCAGATCCTTGTAAACCCTTGTGGTTCAGCCATGTTCAGCCTTTCAGCTGGAGCTTCAAAACTGGAATCAGGTAACGGGCTGCGCAACCCGTCCCTAAGGTGCCCGCACCGTCAAGCTTTTGGGCAGCACTGCCTTTCGAACATCTGATTTGCCATGATTTGCCCCAGGTATATGGTCTCCGGCTCAGCAGCTTTGCCCGCAGGGTGCTCAGAATGTGCTCAATGGATCAAGGCAGAGCGCCGCAGTGCGTCAGGGTTGACGCGGCGACTGTGCAGGTGCCTACCATGAAGTCGTGGGCAGAGATCTCTGGCCACGTACTGCTCGAGCGGTGAGATGCCGAGTTGCTTTTCACCCTGAGCCCGCTTTTGCCACAAGACTGCCCTGGCTTAGCTGCCCTTGCTGTTGATGTAGGTAGGGCTTAGGTACGGCATGACGGAGATTGGCATGGCCCTGAGCAATCGGATAAATGGCACCCGGTATCCAGGGCCGGCGCCTCGGCCTGTCACCAGTCGCACAATGTCACACAGCCGCTTTCCCATGATACAATAGGCCCCAGACTGCAGGTGTGTGGGATGGCCATTGCCAGGGGTGGAGGTCAAGCAGGATCAGGCTCGCCCCCCACTTTATCCCCTGGCTACATTCAACTGTGTATAGCACCAGAACGTTGGTGCAGTGTGAGACGGTGTGATGCATCAACTTGTACCTGAATTGCATCATTTAAAGCTCTGATGCAGGTGGTCATCGTAGCAGATATATCAGATATACGCCACATGCAGAACTGATGTGTCTTCTGTTGCAGGAAGGTGGCATCCTCGTGAAAGGCACCAGCACCTTTAGAGTTCGAGACCCAAACTTCAAGCCATTGCTCTACTGCTAGGTGCGGCAGTTTTCAAGGAGTACTACAAGAGAGAGGAGGGATTCCAAGTCAACTTCACTGTGTGAGCTTGAGTCAACAGACAGTAGTGCCGCTCCGCATCGCCCTGGCAGCACATGGCTGCGGACGTTAAGTTCGTGCGAGTTTTGTTGGATGCCCTGAGGAGGCAACCGCTAAGGAGTTCACTGAGGATGGATTCTTCAGGACGTTGCCCGTTTAGGTCCTGAGACCGTTGATCTGCCAGTGCTGCACTTGCTACACAAGGACCGGGGACAATGCCCGGCACTGAAGACAGCTGTGCTGGCTGTCGTGGTCTGCTGGTGGGGCTTTTAACGTACCCTTTGTTGCTTAGGGCTCTTGTGCTATAGATGTGCAGTGTGCCGTGCTTGCTGTGATCCCACAAAGGCACAGAAGGGAGGAAGTGGGGAGGAACTTCAGGCCCTGCAGGCGAGCTGGATCAGCCCTCCCTACCTAGAGCCACCCCAAGAGGGCAGTGAGGTAAGCGGGCCCCTCGTACTTCACTGCTCGCAGGATGATGCGCGGGCGGTCGAATCATCGACTGGCAGGCCGCGCCCGGACACCGCTGCGGCCAGCTTCCTGGGCACCTGCGATGCTGAAAAGTCCAGCCCAAAACTCCTCCAGCATTTGGTTTCGGATGTAGTGTCAGGCTCCGGACCCTGCCTTGGCGGCGATTTACAGGATTTTAGGCTTGGCTCTCTTAAGTCTTGGTGATGCACGACCACGGTGGAAGCCGACCAGGCCGCACATCGGTGGACATCATCAAGAGCGGTGGCTACAAGATCTCCGGGCTGGAAATTGAGAGCGTGCCTTGTCTGCAGCATCTCCCGAGTCTGTTGCGATGATAAAGCTTGCGCTATTCTGTGCCTAGACGTGCCTAAAGATCGATGCCGGAGTCGCGAAGTTTCGAGAAAGAATTTGGGTGAGCCGGGGTGCCAGATGTGCCAGAGGTACTGCTCCAGCATGAGAAGATTCGAGAATGCGCTGTCGTAGGAAAGCCCGACGAGACGTGGGGGGAGAAGGCGCGCCTTGCTCCCATCTGCCCCCCCCCCCCCCTTCCCACGATCTCTCCATCTGGTGCAGAGGTGACGGCGGTCTGCGTGCTGCAGAGCGGTGTGGCCTTGACCATCAAGGAGCCAAGCTCAAAAGTTGAAGATGACATTCCTTTATTTATTTTACATTTTTTTGGGACCGGGGGGGGGGGGGAAGGCACTGTGAGTGTGTGGGGGTAGTGTCGGGTAGACCTTCCAGAGCCGAGCTTGCGCCCTCTTCGCTCCAAAGCTCTCGCGAGGAGTTGAGGGACTGGGGCAAGGAGAGGATGGCATCCTACAAGGCCAAAGAGAGATCCGAATATGGAGTAGTATGGAAAATATGGTTTGGGAATGTTCCCCCTTAAACTTGCAGGTCCTTAAGAGGGATTAGAACAGGGGGTACTACATTCCCGATTAAGGGCTGTTAGTATAAGGGTGAACTTCCCAAAAAATTGTTACGAAATCTTCAAGATGCTCCTTGTTTGCTACCACGTCGGCTTGGACTCAAAGGTGCCGCAAGAGCTGGACATTGTCACGGAGTTGTGTGGATCTCAGAAGTTCGCTCAAAAGTAGCTTGATCAAAGGAGCTTTGTATGGCTCTTCAAGGATCTTCTGGACAAGAATCTGCCTTGATCAGGCCACGAAATCAAATGGGCAAGCTGGAGAAGAAGAAAATTCTCCAGAGGCTCCTGCTGCAATTCTGATGGTGGAATTCCAGGGAACCCCAGTGCCTGTCCGTGATTTCATGATCATCCCAGGTACTCCAAGTGAGATTGTCTCATGGTCTGGCATGCGCTTGCCAAGGGCAGGCTGTTTTCCAATGAAGCGCAGTGTAAATAATTTGCTGTCTCCTTCTGTTCACACTCAACTGCTGTCTCCTCGTTCTTGTGCCCACTTTCCTGCACAGTATGCTTTTGGTAGGCCCCATGAACGGGTCAAGATCGCTGGAGACGAAGCATTGTGTGGCCCACACGTGGCATCGGTTATTATTATGCCTTGAGGCGACTCTCTGACATCTTTTGCTCAGGAAGCAGGTCTGACCCAGCCTGCTACGACAGCAACCGCGCGCCGGATGAAAGTATGCGATATGCCACTACTACACTGGGAACTAGTACTACACTAGTAGTCCAGTTAAGCTGTGGACTCCACTGAACCATCAGAACAGCTGCTTGTCGCTTGTCAAATCGGCTCAGAGCCTCCGCACCTCCACCCTAAGGGTTTCGGTGTGTAGGGCCCAAAGCTGGACGGCTGCAGGCAGGGGTTCAAGGGCTTCAAGGGGTTCAGGGTTGCAGGCCCTGCAAATACATGAAGTTGCAGTGCTTCGCAAAGTTGTGCAAGGCGGTTCGGCTGCATGCTGTGGCTGCTGTGTCGTTTCGTGCATCGGAACACTGTTGCGCTTCAGGTCGCCTGCAGAGGATTCAACTCATCGTGCGGTACTGGTTGGACCTCCGTGCCAGCAGCGACCTGCCAATGCATAGACGGGATGCCTCAGGTCAACAAGATGACGATGTCCATGCCCAACATCTCTTGGAAGGACCCGGTGAGCAGTTCGAAGGCACGGCACGATTGGGGCGCAGTCTTCGGATTGTGTCTAGCAGCTGTGCAGTAGAGGAATCATCGCCAACAGGCAGAAATTAGGCCACATTGCATTGCCCACTGTACAACCATGTAAGAATGCACACGTTGCCATTGGCCGGTCCACAACAACCGCTGCATCTGCGCATTTGGCCAAGTCCAGGCATTTAGCGCCTCTGCAGCTGGGCTGCAAGTCAGTTTTCAAGAGTCAAGACTTCAAGAGGTCAAAGTCTGAGTCCGGATTTCTGCGCCCTCCTGGCAAAGGTTTCAGTGGACCACTTGCATGGAGAGTTCATCAAGGTGGGCGGTGTACGTCAGATTGCGTCAGTCTTCCATGGTCGATATGCACCTCGGTCTTTGATTCTGAAGCAGAGACGAAGCAGCTGGCTAAGTTTGCTCGGAAGCGATGCCAGGTTCTGGACACGGTGGAGGAGATCAAGATGGAAAAGGTTGAGGCAGCTGAGCAGGTCGGATGTATTGACTGCCAAATGCGTCACCTCTGTGACTCCTGCACTGAGCCTGCGAGGCAAAGCGCTATGCACGGGAACGTCGCCTTCGCGAAGAGGAACTCCTGAGACAGGCTACACGTCTGCGAGCCGCTGTTGGGTCCACTGTGCGGTTTCTTTCAGCCACCTTTGCCTGAGGAGTATGATGCACGAGAGGTGCCGGATAAGGCCTTCTTGGCGACATTCAAAGTGTGAGAAGCAGGGAAAGTGCAACGTACCAATGCATGTGCCAATCGAAGCCTGGAAGGCGCTGCTGGGACTGGGGCCGCCCGAGGCTGCTCTCTGACTCTGTGAACACAAACTGGGGGGTTTTCGAAAATATGGGACCCCTAAGAGAGTCCCCCAAAAGCTAGGATTCCCATATAACTAGTAAGGACCCCAACAAGGTACCCCTATATCGTAAGCATGTCAGTCATGGTTGTCAGAGGCTCCTGCCGATGGAGCTGCCAAGGCCAAGCGTCCAAGGATTGATTGGCAAGTGTAAGCAGAAGTGCAAGGCTTGAATGACTTGGATCGGAGTCTAGAGTGGTGTTGGGGATGTCCGACAGTTTCCCGAGTTGCAAGGTTCGGCCACGCAAGAAGAAGGGACAGAAGGATGGGGAACCTGCGGAAAGTGCAGACCGCATCAGTTCGCAGTGCGTCAAGCGGGAAGCGTTTGTCGACGTCAGCAGGAGGACGTCTTCCGCGACTTTGGGAAGGTGCGGGCCTGAACTCGCCTCATCAGCCCCGCCACATGATGTCTCTAAGTTGAAGCCACGTTTACCCTTCAGTGCTGTGTCAAGGAGCACGACGATGCCCCGATCCAGGAAACAAAGAAGAACGGAATGGTCGGGTGCCTTCGTGGTATGTTGATGTGGAGAGATGTCAACCAAGACTCTGTGCTTCGGTCGGCATGCAGCTGTCAATTTTTCCAATGGGGGGGGAGGGGATCTGTGGACATCAAGCTGCAGGTCTTCTACAAGTTAAACTACAAGCGCTACTGGCAGCGGCCTCCCCAGCTTCTGCGCTTTCGGTATTCGGTGCAGCACTTTCAGACCAGAGATGGCAACATTTGCACAAGATTCCGGTGCGCACTCGCAGAGGTCGGATCGAGACTTGCAGAGATGGGCTGAGGCGCCTTAAACGAAATGAATTGAGCGTGCTTGTTGGAGCAGGATGTGTAAGAAAACCAAGTGTGTGTGAGTACTTTGTTTGTTGAGTTGCGGCGGGTATGATCTGACCAGTCACTGGGGCACAACATCCGCCATGAGAAGCTGCTGTTCGAGGCCCCGCGCTGCCTCAATCCCCCGTACAAACACAGATGCAACATGGTTCTACTGAATGGTCCGGTAACTACTACTCTCTTCATGCACTTGAACCAATGCTTTGTCCAGGCAACGTGAATCCTAGCTCGAAATCTTCATTTCCAACAGTTACTATTGTCGGCTCCACTTGCTCAACTTGAAGATAAGCGTCGCTTACATCGATACTTCCAAGACTGTATCCTTCTGTCGATACGAACTGTGTTTTTCCTGCTTTTTCCCTTAAGACTGAGATCGCCAGGTGCGGAACCGCTGGGCTGAAGATCTTCTTGGCGATCGAATGGAGCTGAAGATCCGACACAACCCTCTTGTCAGGCGGGCCAGCGAGGGAAGACGAAAACTCCACACAACGATCTTATCCCCTTGCCAGGGCGCGGACGCAGGAGAAGGTCAGACCCACGACGGGCGTGTCTGTGGCTTTGCAGCTGAAGGATTCCACGGGTCCCATGTCAAAGCATTCTTACATTGACTCATCGCTGACACGCAAGCTCATGCAGCTGCATCATGCGTTGACTCTTGCAGAACAGCGCTGCTGGACTGGCTCAGACTGGCCGTTGGCAAAATGCCAGTACTGCTGCAGACAGCTGCGTTAGTCCCAAAGATCCTGCATGGCGTGGTTTCCGATGCGTTAGGCCAGGTGTGAGCGCACACAAAGACATGGGCACAAGGACGCAATGACTGACACACACGCACACACACACACACACAAAGTTGGTTCCGCATCTGACATCTTTTAAGGGGCATGAAGGGAAAGTTGAGAGAGGCACGCAGAAGCAAGGAAACATGTGCAGATCGGGAGCCGAAGCATTGCCAAACGTGGTTCTGAACGTACGAGTCTGGAAACGACTCTAAGTGTAGTCCTTTCGGGTGGCGGCTGATTGGATTGGCAAGATGTGCCATTGCAGCTTACATTCTCTGAGTGCATGGGGTTCGCCACCAACACACAACCGGTCTGCCTTCTTTCTTGTTGCCACACAGAAAGAAGGGTGTGGTGCATGCGCAGGCCTTGCGATACGACCGCTGGTGCCGCTTTCTTTGATCCTGCCAGGCACACTTCTTGCAGAGATCATGTGAGTGAAATTGAGAAGATAACATGTCGGATGTTTGTTCTGCTCATGCTGTCGAAGATTAATCTGCCAGGCGAGTGGCCTACAGTGCATGCTCTGACCTCTGGGGGCATATTCTCTGGACTTCTGGGTACAGTTTCCATGCTGCTGACAGGACAGTGGCTTGCTGCGTTGAACCTTTGAACATGACTGCATCAGCAAGCACTGGTAAGGTTCATGTTCCGACGGATTAGATGTTTTTCTTCAAACATGTGAGGCTCTTCTCAGCAATCTCGGCTGAAAGAGGGCTCCAAAACAATCCAATCCGAAATTAGCTTCAACTGGTTGGGTCAGACTCACGGCTGAGCTTGTTTCGTTCTGGTTTTGGGGGACTCTGACAGGCCTTTGCAAGCTTTGCGTGCGCAGGTGAGGAGTGGGTGTGAGAGAAGAAGAAGATTCATGACACTTGGGGTAGAGCTGCTGCTCAGCAGGTCTGGGGCTTGAATTCACGTGGGGTTCGGAGGTGTATCAGCGCCAAAGTTGTCTCATAGGGACCCGGCTAAGCCCCTAGCTCGGCACCATGTGCCTGGAGACGTCGGGCACCCGAGGCATTCATGTTCCGGAGGGGAAGGGGGAGGGCGTGGGGGGGGGGGGGGGGGGGGGTGCTTCTTCCAAACCGCTGATAGTACGAAGAACTCTGAAGAACATTCATGACATGTGGGTTTGTTCCTTTCTAGGCGTCGGATCCCAGCGAATGACTCAGTGAATGATTGCATGTGGTAACGATGTTCAAAGAGGAGCAGCGTTGCCCAAAAGCCATCTCCACTTTCGAATTCCACAACGAACTCTGCGCCCAAAACCCTTTTACCCAAAGTCATCCCAAAACCCTAAGCTATTTATCCCATGAGCAGGAAGCCACGGTGTAATCAGAGTGTAGGGTGTGGTCAGGAGCCAGCATTGGAGCACTGTTCGGAGAAGTAGCAGGGCATTTCTTGGTGAAGATGACAGCTGCGTTCTTCACGACGGCTGCTTGCTTTGAGAAGGGCGCGCTTAGGGTACGATACAGTCATCGAGTACACGGCAAAACAGAGTGCATGGAGTCCCATTCTAAGGATGCTCTTCTGCAGCTTGCCAAGATTCTCTTGCCTTCTTACGTGGCATACCCTGTCAGTTCGACAGGCAACAGCACCAGAGCTAAAACCCGACGGCCATGCTCAGGGGACTGCGCGCGGACTAAATTTCCTTTACTTCAACGCCAGACCTTGGCACCACAGGTCACAGTGATTGTAGTTGCCACGGTCGGATGTACGCCTCTGATTGACTGCTGCTGCTTGAGCAGGTGTCTTCACACTGTTCGTGCAATTGCCTTACGCAACTTACTTGCTGTCACAAAGCGCGGTCAAGGAGCTCATGAGTTGGAGAGCTGAGAGATACTGAGAGCAGTGCTTCAAGATGCCACAAGAAGGGACAGATATAGGAAGCTGTGACTGTGACCAGCAAGAGCGAGGAAGTTGAGCAGCTTTTCGGCGGGCCCCGCTTGACCATGCTGGCAGGGGCAGCATGCCTTCGACACATGTCGACACAGGTTGCTTTTTTGCAGTGTTCTTCCCTCCGCGCGGCAACGCCGCAACGCACAGTGCGCAACGTGCAACGCATGCGCTCGCCTGTCTCTGCATCCGCTCTGCGATATATTCGTGCTTCTCGTGCTGATAGTTCGTGTGTTCACGCGAGGTTGTTAGTGATCCCTCGTCGGGGCCTGCCTTGGGTTTGAGAGTTCTGGCATGCCTGGTTCTTGCCTTTGCCAGGCACCGAGTGTCTCTCTTGTGTTGTGAAGTGTTGCAGTGGCAATCCGCAGCATGTAATGGGCAATACGAGTACTCATTTACTCATTTGCTACGCCATTCTCGGTGTTGAGGGCCTGACCCCACGCAGCTTCTGGAAGATGATGGCAAAGGTGTTGCGGGAGGCAGCCAAGGTCGGACTGACGTCAGGGTGCGCATGCGTGCAGTCATTCATGTAGCATTCCGTTGTGAACATTTTGACCCGAGTTGGCATCTGCTGTGGCCTCCTCAGTCTATGCAGTGGTCACCTGGGTCTGGCCCAGAATCTTGCTTGCCTTGCTGCTTGGCTTCAATTATCTTCAATTGGCAGAGGGGAGGACGGGGAGTTCTTTTCGTGTGCTGCAGCTACGAGGCTTGCGTCTTACGTACCTTGATGTTCCAGACACGAATCCTAGGCAGAGAATCCTGCAGCTGCCTCCTCTGGTGTGGCTGTACGAGGTGCGAGTTCGCGGCTTCAGCCAGCACCTGCAGCTGCACCGGCTGCCTGTTCTCTGAGCCATGCGCCTTGAAGGCCATCGTTTATCCTTCGTGGCAGATCCTCAGCCCTCTGTTCCTGCCTCTCGCGACGGCCGGCATTGCCTTTGCCAGAATCTGGGACGCAGGAGCTGTTCGATAGCTGCAAGGTGAACCGCGAACCCACGTGAGCTGCAAACATTTCCCATTCCTTCGTCACAAGGCCTGCATGGCACCAGCCAAGGCTTCCGCAGTTTGGCAGCTCTGACTCCAGAGCCTGCAGCCGCGGATGTGCCTCGGTTCACTTTTGGTTCCTTGCACCGTCACGGAGAATCAAATGAAAATTCGCCCTTTCCAAAAAATCAGAGATGCAGAGCAGAGCCAAGATCATCCGGATGCTGGGGCAAGCCTTCTGTGGCTGCTCAGCGGCGCTCTCCAGCCTCTGCCTTCTTGTGAACTTTACATGCAGACTGTGGCCAAGGCAGGGAGACGCAGAAAGAAACACAAAACTACAAAAAGCCTCTTTTGTGCCTTGAGCTCCGCCTTGAGCTCCACCTTTCCCTGCGCCACCGAGGCATGAGCAGCCAGATCCGCTTCGTCGGTCTTGGTTTCTCAAAGCGTGCCCTGCCTTTATGGCAACGTTTTGGTTAGAAGTACCAGACCAACATTCGCTTACGGAGACGCCAAGCCCAGCCTCCAGCCAATCGGCCAATCGAGAATTAGTCATCATCCTTAATTAAGGTTCATGTATCCAGCCAGCCTTGTCGCTGTTCCTGTTCGAGCAGTTCGTCTCGTATGGCATCTGCTCATGTACAGAGTCTTGCAGCCAATCTTGGTGACCGAGCAGCAACTAAAGACCTTTCTGCTCTTTGACCATGTTTGATCCAGTTGTGTTGTGGAATGGTTTGTGCCTCTTGCAAAGTTTCGTGCATCAATACAGTTGTAGCAGGCTGCTGTGCTCTTTGGCGATTTACATTGTTGTTGCGCTTTACCAAATGTCGAAGCGTGGAAGACCCAGGCTACTTTCGCGAACTGTGTTGGCCACCTCTTGAAGTTTGCAGTCAAGTGCCCGATTCTTTCGATACCGGCTGTGATTGGGTTCAACGTGGTCCTCATCAGCAGCTGCAGTTGCATTTTGAGGCGGTTGCCGGGGGATAGGTTGGAGGGAAGGTCAGCAAAGCCTTTGTTCGATACCAACATGTTGCGTGCCATCATCTGTCTGTATTTCGGCACTTAAAAGTGCGAGTTGTGCAGGATGTATAGGGCGCATAGCGCGTAGTCTTGACCACTTACTTTGCAACTGGAAAACCTCAAATACAAAAATCTGACCGCACAACTGTGCGTCGGGTTTAAGGGGGCTTTGGGTTTTGTATGTTCCGGGCTGCGCTGAGCTTTTGGTTAATCTAAGGGTCAACCTCGACATCTGGGGCAATTCTGCATGCCCCGGCCTCATCTTGAGCCGCTCCTGTTGCGGCCGCTGTGGCCAGAAATGACCCTAAACCCTAAACCCTAAACCCCTAAACCCCTAAACTGCCCTAAACCCTCTTTGAGGTGCTGGCTCAAAGCTCCCCGGTGGCCTCCGGCCTCTTGCACAGCTTCCAGACGCTGCAGGCCGCGGTGGTGGAAGGACAGAAAAAAGAGAGTGATAAGAGACATCTCCAACGTGTTCGACGTGTCCTTTTTTTGTTTTGGAGTTTTTTTGGTGGTCATTTTGCCCGAACTTGGGGCCAGAGGAGCCACCGACTCCACCCTTGCCCTCGTGCTGATTGGCCTTGTGCAGGCCAGGATTCTGAGAGCATCTGCAGGAAAGTGACGAATATCATTGCTACCGTGCTCTGAAACGTGCGGCTTCCCTGGCAGGCGGCGTCCTTTGCTATCATTGATGGCGTTCTCTCAGTGCTGCGAGTGGTGCGCAGCGGCTTCGCTGCAGTCTCTGTCGCAAGTGATTGCCGCACTGTGGCACTCTGTAGTAGGGGCGAGGACGGGGGAGCTGACTGGGGGAGCTGAAGCCAAGGCGATTTCAGCCTGAAACCTTTTCGGACCCTAAGTCCTGCAACTTTAACTGGTTGAAACTTAAACAAGTTTAGAGTGTGGTGGGAGACCCGAACTTTGGAAATTGAACAAGCCCGGAGAACTTTGGTACAGGAACAAAACCCAGCGTCACATTAGTGACGCTACTCCCAGGTCCAAGAACTGGTGTCGTACTCAGCTTGGAGGACGCCGGCTGCGCAGAATAGGTACTCTACATTTGGGCTTACATGCCATATCACGCCATCATGAGCGACTTACACAATAACTGTGCACTCGTGGAGGCAGTTGCTCCTTGGCAAACTAGTGTATCATAGTGATGGTGTGCTGGAGGAGCTTAACGAAGTTGCAGCAGCAATGGACGATCCTCGACAGTGTGGCCGATGTGGCTTTGGCCCCGTGGACCATCGAGGCTTTCCGAGAGTGCACTGGAAGTTGACATGATGCCGCGCTGCACCTTCGTGTGCCAGATCCTGCAGGCTGTTCAAATTTGTCGGCCCATCATGGAGAAGTATCCATACCTGGAGGGGCAGCAATCTCCAACCAATGCCCACGCGCCACAAGCTGCAGTTGGTCAGCTAGATATGGGTGAGCCAAACTTGTGCAAAAGTGAAGTTGCTCTCATTTCCACAGCCTGACCAAACTCCACAGCGCTTTTAAGGGTGTGGCTGGTTCGTTAGCACGCTCTCTGCCTGGCCAGAGTGGGACGGCGAGCTGCAGAAGCCTGGCTTACATTCACCTCATTGTTTTTTGTGCATGCGCAGGCTGGGATGCTTGTGTGAAATGCTGCAGCTCAGAACCGAGCATGGCCGAGCTTTGTACCGCCAGAGGGCATGGTGTGAGATCGTGGTTTGCGTGCGGGCCACATCGAAAGCCTTGGTTGTGCCCTATGCAGTTCTGCTGCTTGGAAACTGGATGGGTTCCGCAACTTTTGCGGCTTTGATGGTTCTGTCTTACCTTGTCCCCTGGGCGTATGAGAATGCGCCTCCCGGCTGCCATGCTCAGAATGCCGTACTCGTGGGGACACCCGGGGAGCTTTCGCCACGTGGTACACTTCATTCATGGATCATGAATGGAACTTCTGCGGTCCCAAGGAGCCTTTGCGAGTCATTGACGGCGCCACAAGTCTATGCCCGGCAAGCCGGGCGCCGGCGCGCCCAGAGGCAAGACCACAGCCCTGGCACTGCTGAATGTGGAGCTGCGAGATACACTCCACAGCTGCCAGACATCACTGAAGAAGAGGTCCCGTTCCGAACCAGCTTCTGGGTGTTGGCCCGCGCAGAATTGATTCAGGGGCGATAGCGGCTACAGGGTATCCGTGTATTGGAGTGTGGTGTGATCCGCCGATTGCCTAAGCGTCAACAGGCAGCACGGCGTGTCCCATGCAGGCGCTTCGCAACATTCTTTCGGCAATCCCGGTGAACATCTTTCTGAAGCAGGTGCCCATATTCCATGCACTAGTGGCATCCGAACATCATAGAACCCTGCCGTGGTCACTGCCAGGGAGAAGTGTGCAGCGTTTGCCTGGAAACCTTCCCTGCGGACGCCGCGGACGCTGTGGCGAACAGCGACGCGACCGAGGCCAACGCCCATGGCAGGGACAACATCTTACAGGGCTGTCGCCCAGAGCCGGCCAAGCCCCAGATCCAGCCACATAGCAGGTGCAGTGAAGGATAGTGCGGGTACGCTGTGTGCGCGCGCGCGCGGTGTTCAGCTCCGCTTCACCCCGTCTGCGCAGGGAAGGCGGGAAGCCCAAGAAGGGCTGAGCAGGTATTGAGTACTGGGACCTGTTTACATTGCACAGTCCCAGGGCGGAGCATTCGGGAACCTATGAAATTTTTCAACGCTGGAGCCATCCCATCGACAAACAGGCAGGGGCCGGGAGGACGGCATCAAGGCATGCAAAGAGGTGCGTCAGTGTGCAGGGCGGAGGAGGCGAGAAGGGCAGAAAGACCCTTTCAAACATTCCGAAGTCCCTCAGTGCTTGGGCCAGACGAGGCGAGTAAGGCAAGGGTTCACCGGCAACATTGAAGAACGGGATAGAATCATGATGTACATTGTGCATGTCGCTTCCTTCAGCACGCAGCTGTGGAATGAGCACAACATAGTGCAGCATTCAGACCTTGTCAACCTTGCAGGCAGCGTGCAGAGCCTTGCGAGCCTTGCAGCCGCCAATTCTGGCTCTACGCTGCGGGCATCCACTGCACGTGGATTGCGTGCCTTGATGTATCTTGCTTTTGCTTTCGTCCGCATGTTCAGGCGCAACTCAGTACATCTCATCCCAATCCATCCCACCTGGTGCACTCCTCTAGACTCCAAACCATCCATCGCATCCCTCTCTCTTCTCTCTCATCCTCTGTCTGTAGTTCGGAGATCAGGTTCTAGTAAGGCTATGAGAATCGGACGTTGTGTGCATGTGCTTATGGCCACCACGATCCCTCGAGGCCACAGCCGCCGTCGCGGCTTCTGCAGCGCGCCACGTGCGTTGCCCGCTCTGCCGGGAGCCAGTCACCCTGGCAGGGGAAGCCTCGGCAGCCTTCTTCAGCTGAGGTGGGAGGGGGGGAGCGGATGCTGCATTGCATTCCATTCTTTCATACAGAAGCTGGCAGATTCATATAATTTCAGGCTGCATGGCGCCGCCCTCCCCATCGCTGTGTGTCTTCACAGTGGATGGCGCTCAAATGTTCCAGCGATATGGAACATTCCGAACCATCCCCTTTCCCCTACATGTGTACAGTTGGGCAGCAAAGAGGGGCACAAAACAAAGATGGACGTGCGTCACATGCCTGTGCCTGCAAGCCTTCTACTACCATACTGCAAGACAGATGAAGCTTTAATGCTTCGAACTGCAGAAAGCAGGACCTGCAAAAGCAATTGGCTCCGAAGGACCTGGGGACGTGCATGGAGCATCAGACTTGTACTGCACCTTTGTGTGCTTCGAGTACATATTCAGGATCAGAAGAAGAAACGGGTCATGGCGGCACTGGCCCACAAGTAGCCCCTGGCTCGCTTGAACATCGAGGTTAAATGAAGCCCGCAAGAGTTAGATGGATCTCTGCTCTGCTTTGAACTCTCTTTTCCGGAGGAGCGGCGGTCTGGGGATGTTTGGTGGATTCTTCAATGGGCACTGGACTCACCGGACTCGGCTGTGCCCGTTGAGCAGTCTTCAGAGCCCATGTTCTGCGAGCTTCGGCTTCTCCAAGGGACGAGTCGCAGGCCATAGATGACGTCGGGGAGCCACTTGGATCCCGAGGTGATGGCCAGGCAGGAATAGCTGTCCGCGTTGTTGAGGCTGACTGGCCTGCACCAGAACCTTCTACCAGTGCTTGTTTCCACTTTTTGCATGTGGCTCCAGGGCTTGGATGATAACGGCTCGCCATCAGCTGCAAGGACCTGGCAGCAAGTGGGAAGTGTGCAAACTGCCTGTCAACACCTTGAAGGAGTGAAGCAGGAGACATGCCAGACAGGCCTGTGCTTAGGCGTTGTGCTGATTTGTACTCGTTTCCCGGAAGCTGCTGGCTGTCAGGCAAAGTATTTCTGCTTGCAGCAGCAGAATGGGCATGACATCTGGCAAACGGCCGTCGCACAATTCGCAGTCACTCGAGCTGCAGGAGCGCCAGTTCAGCAAGTTGGGATTTGTCAACATGTGGGATGTGACCATGCCTGCTTCCAAGCAACATCGCTGGAATTTAGGAGCTTGCAGATTGCGATCTTCCAGAAAGTGACGGTCCAGTTCTCAGAGCTGTGTGCCCACAAGGCTCTGGGCTCTTATTGATCCAGACAGGTATCGCATAACATGATTCATGAAAAACAACGCATATGCAGATACATAAGTAGCTAGATGGATATACTGTGGCGCACTTTCGGGCGGGGGTGTTCAAGCAGACGCCCATTCCCCTTTGCAGGGCTCTCCTACTCCCGAGGGCTGCGACTGCGATGTAAGCAGTGGCAGTGGCCCACTTAATTCGTCACCGCTCTGGGATTCTTGATGGGACGCCTGCGCCTGCTCGGCGAGGCTGGTTCAGGTGTCTCATGCTGCGTCCAACGGGGATGTGCATGACATTGCCTCCGAGTGCACCGTGCGTGAACTGGATCGCTGCGATGCCTTGGTCCACAACTGCTTCCCCAACCAGATGCACTTTCCTGATGCGTCTTCAGTGTTGTGGCCCTGCCTTCGCCCATACTCCGTGAGGGTTTGGTGACGTGTATTGGTATCCCCATGCCAAGACAACTCCCCTCTCAACATGAAAGGGGCAAGGTATGGCAGACTTTCGGGCAAAGGCCGACAACCCCTGTTCGCCTGTTCCCGGCATTCTCGAGCATGTGCAAGCAGATCTCCGCGACTTCCATGACATGACATGGCGGCAGCTCGTCCTTATGGGACCACTTTGCACTTATGCATCTGGCTTGGGTCACGTGGCTCGGCCACGTTCCTGGTGGGGTTGGTGGTTGGTCGCCTATGAGGATGTCCGTGGGCGCGGCGCTGTGTCCCCCCCGTCCCCCCCCCCCGGCCCCCATCTGCTTATAGAAGCTGGTGCTTCACTCGATCCTTTCTGCACGCTGCGGACCGGTCTTGTCGTGAAGATGAGGACACGATCGAGCAGGTTTCAGCTGGACAGGCGTATGTTTCCACCGCATGCAATCGTGCGTATTTGCGCCTGTTGATCGTTCTGCTCCCGCCTCTCAGCCACTATGGCGATACCATGGCATGTCCCCAGACTTCGCGCAGAAAGGCCGTTTGCTTCTTCCCGCCTTTGTTTCCGGAAGGGAGATAGAAATTGATAGAAGTCTCCGATATCTTCCGACCTCTCCACCACGTCGATCCACAGGCGTCTTGCAGCCTTCCCATGATACTCGACTCCAAGTGTATGTATGTCTGTACGTATATGTTGCTTTCTTTTTCGGTTTTGAGTGTGTCCACAACAGCCGATCGAGCGAAAGCACGTGATCCACCCTAAGCATCAATTCCGCCAGTATCTGCCTGTCAGTGGAGCCACGATGTGCCCGTCAAATCAGCTTCAATCTGGCGTGAGCAAATGAGCAGTTTCCGCAAGCTTCATGCTAAGGTGACCTAATGAAGCGAAAAGAGATTGGCCGTAGCAGAAGCCTTACTTCAGAATATTGCTTGTCCGTCGGAGGCATGTGTTGGAATCCAAAACCTTGCAGCCTTACACTGCCTCATACCTCACATTAAGGTCGCATGCCGCAGGCAGGGCAATAGCGAGTGAGTGCTCGAAGCAGACCCCTCATGCAGGTGCATTCTGAAGTCACCCTCAAGTTCCCTGAATTTCGCACTCTTTGGCTCCTCAGATGCCATCGACCATGGCGCTACTCCTCTTCCGGAATGCCGACCGATTGCACACGGGCGAGGCCAGGGCTGAGGGGTATAATATGGACTGCGTGCTTTTTCAGTGGATTTCCGGTTCTTCGGCATCTTGTGGCAGATCGTGCGCTGCATTGTGTGGTATTCTGCACTGCCAGTTTGGCCAGCCTAGCTCCATGACAACTGTGGGAGAATTTGCATCCCGATTCCAAGACTCTCTTCGTGAAGCGCTGGCCTCCTGCTGGTGGCCTCAAGGAGACAAGAGTGCACACACACACACACACACAGGAGCACGGCCCTCATGATTGGTTCGACTGGTGAAGGGCTCGACGTAGAGTGGAAGGGTCAGAGTTGGAAGTCTAAACATCTCGCAGCACAGAGTTGCCAGAGCGGAGCTCCCCCTTGTTAAACGCGTCAGTAAGAAGCAGGAGCTTCTGCAGCTGGCCGGCGAGGCCACGAAGCCTGCCTGGGGCTCATCTCAGACTCCTCTTGAAAGGCTTGTACTCTCAAAATGCAGCAAGGGGCCATTCTCCAGGTGGTTGCTCCAGCGCGGGCATTGTACGATGTCATGCTGAAGCCGGTGATGTCGCTGGATGAGGTGCGGCGTTGTGTGACTCGCCTGAGCATGTGTTGACCATGACATGGTAATGTGTCAGACGTGAAGTGAAGAGGTGCAACCTGGTGGTACTTACCTGGTGAAGGGCTTGGAGGCTGGGGCGAGCTCGGAAGCTCGGAGCTCGGAAGGAGCTCGGAGTGAGAAAGTTACGCCAGGGCTTCGACCCGCCAAAGCTCTTCTTCAACCACCAAGCAGCTCAGGCAAATTCATCGTAGATACCATGCGCAGCCTTGCATCCCTGCGCCTTGCCAAGCGCTCTGATGTGGGTTGTAAAGTTGCTTGCAGGGGCCATCGCTTCGAACCTTGGCACGGGCTCTGCCCTTGAATTGTGCTCGGACTCTTTGTTCGGTATTGCGCGATGCGTTCCAGCCGCCATTGATCTTTGTGCGTCCGGTATCGACAGTTGAATTCTTGAGTCTTGCCGTAGCGTCTGCAAGGCGAAAGAAGCAGTGGCCGGGGACCGTGATGTAGTGGAGCAATTCTCGCAGGCTGGGCTCACGAAGTCCAAGCCTTTCGAAATCTGTCAAGTCGGTTTGTCAGTGAAGGTGCCGTCCTTGGCCTCGCAGAAGACCCGGGTCAAACCCCTAGATTTCTTCTTCTTCTTCTTATTGTTATTATTAGCACTATTGTTATTACTATTCTTATTACTATTATTATTATTATTATTATTATTATTATCATTCTTTAGCACGACAAGAGGTTGTCGCTGTGCTCCGATGTGCTCCGCTGGGCTCCGTAAGGCCTCACTTGACAGGGAGCCCCTGCCGACGGTGCAATCTCCGCCCTGGCTGCTCCGGCCTCGGCATTCTGTTCAGGGTTTAGGGTTTAGGGTTTAGGGTTTAGGGTTTAGGGTTTAGGGTTTAGGGTTTAGGGTTTAGGGCTGCTGCAGCGCAGCCTTTGTTGAAGGTCGCAGGAAGGAATGCCAGAAGCAGAGCCGCGGATGAGACAATGGCAGGCCAACTGTCGCTTTGCTTGGTGACACTTTGAGACATGACACCTTGTCTCATTTGCTTTATCATCTCCATGACTAGTACCTCAACATGCTGGTGCGTGCTGCATGCCTGATGCGCTAGTGCCGGAAGTGCCAAGAATGGACATGCACGAAGCGCATCAAGATCATGGACTATGGATGAGGTTTGAGCTGAGGCAGCTCAGGTCAATGAACACGCTTCGGTGCAAGATGACTTGCCACTAAGATCCAAGAGTAAGCCCACCCATCCTGAATCGCTCCAGTGCTTGTCAAGTGTAGTTCCCTTCGCCCTCGGCTTTCTTGCCATTTGGCTTGCCGCGATGGATTGGGTGTGTGTGTGTGTTGGATAGATTTGCTGGAAGTGCCGCAGGCAGTCATGCGGTCAAGGGTGTCCAAGGATCACTGCGCACATCGCAGGTGGATGATTTCATCCAACACAAGTTGAGCTGGAGCTGTCAAGGCATGGCAGCTTGCTGCTACCCTGGCCGCTGCATCCCCTTACCTTGTGGTCAGGTCCCCTTCACCGTCACTACTTCTGGGACGAGTGGACACCTGCTCGCGACTCAGGCGTGACAGGTCTCCGAGATCTGCGCGAAGAGCAGAGCTGTTTCACTGCTGCGTCGTCAGACTCATCGTGGCTAGCACTGGACCTGTAATGCTTCATTGAAAGAATAAGAGCATGTCCCAAGTCACGGAAAGCTGTTTCGGGGCCTGCGCGGTGTTTTGAACTCCGTTGATGCTGACTCCCTTCGAAGGTATGTGACAAGCGTCACGACCATCAAACATGCCGTGCCCATGCACTGAAGCCAATAAGCGCGTTCGCACATCTTGTTGTATGACTCATGACAGCCTTAGTGTTCACGCATTCATGCTTGGTTGTGGGGCATGAATGACTGGGCCACTAGAAAGCTCTTCTTACTTTCCATCTGGAAGAAGCACTTGAAGCTAAGGTTCTGAAATCATCGTACAACAGACACCAGAAGCGGATCGACCGCTTTGCAAGCACTTCATCCGGCTGATCAGCCCAGCTTGTAGCTTTGCGATTCGACTGCTTGGCGGCCTAAAGCAAAGGAAGTTTAAAGTTTAATGCTTTCCAGAGGAGTGTTTCACTCGGGGCTAAACAGCACCCACGTCAGATTATCAAGGAAAATTTTGAACGACATCAATGTGAGATGGTGGCAAGTCATTGAGCATGGCTGCTGCCTGCATCTCTACCTGATTCACCTATGCCATCCGCAAGTCAGTGGGGGCTGTGGGGAGTTCCGCAGCCTCAGCCCGTGGGAGCTATGGTGCTTGGCTTGGCAGAGTGGGCACGTGTGCACAGTACATGTTTGGGGCTCTGCGCGACAGTTCACTCAACGCAGGCTCCGACGGCTGAGAAGCTGGAGCCCGTGGCTCAGAATCACCACGAAATCCAGCGGAACCCAGCGCTGGCAGTCAAGCTTTGGCTTTCTAGACTGGACTTCGGCGAGCAAGGACATGGGAAGATACCGATGGAAAGGATCGCCCGAGGGACAAGCACTCAGCCAATTCCGCTCCAAGCAATCTTCGCCGGCACCACGGGTCCTTGCTGGCAGGCTCTGCTGGGCCAAAGCCTCCTTCCGGGCAGGCGCCAAGGGCACCGTATGACCTGCTGGACTTGCGTGACTTATCAAAACGAATTTCTGAGATGGAGTTTTCTTGTCGGCACAGGTACAATAAGGTTAGCACCATGGGGCCCGGACAAGCACTGATGATGAGTGTCGCCACGAAGCCCCTCAATACCGTCATGTACGGCTACGTCCTGAGCTGTTGTCTCAAGTGCTGTCCCCACTGCCAGTTGCACAATGTTACACGGCTGCCTTTTGAGGTTGGCCCAGCTTTGATTCTTGGGCCATATTGGGTTCTGACATGTTCTAACTGAGGTCCTGATTGTCCGGAGGACTCCCGCCACAGGGTGCTGGTCACGAAGACTGCACCTCCCATCCTGCTGCTGGAGCCGTGAGTGGAGGGTAGAGAGGTAGAGAGGGGGCTGAAGCAGGCAGGCTTGAAGTGTTGGCTACTGCACCTTCTCGGCTAGGAGCTCAATGCCGTGGCCACCTTCAACATGTGACGCCTCCATGTTGCCTCAAGTGTCTCCAGTGTATGATGGGTTCAGGGGTTCGCTGGGATCGCCATCTGGGATGAAGTTGGGATCAGCTCAATTGTGGCCGGGGACATCCGGAGCGTGGGATCATTGGGATCCTGGTTGCCAGTCGTACCAGCGTGCTAGCTTACTTCTGCACCCCATGCTCTTAGCCTCTTAGCCAGTTCGGAGCAGAAACAAGAAGCGAAGTTCAGAAGACATCTCACTTTCATCACGTTTGCCTCAGCCTGTGCTGCTACGGAAACCTTGCTTGCACTCCCAAGAGGAGTCCTCTTGAGCTGTAGCTGCCGAGGATGCATCATGTTGCAGCTTTGTGTTGCAAGATTCTTGACAGGATGGACCCCGACACCTCTCAGGACATCCTCTTCGGCATGGATGCCGTTTGCTGCCAAGTGCTTGCTGTGACGTTACGGCCGATGCTTTGTTAGGTGTTGCAATCTCATCACAGCTCATCCGTGCCCGGCCCCAAACTTGTCCAAATCAGAGATGTTGACCCATTAATCCCCAGGTCAATCAGTTGCTGAAGAGCCCGAAGCATCACTCTCAGTCAATGCAGTCAATGAGATGCTGCCCCGAAAGTAGCTGCAGCTTGTCCATGCTTGCCCATGATCCCAGGGCTCTGAATGGACGGCCTCTGGCCTACGTGATCCAGGGCTCCGGTCCGCACTTCTGCCCAGGCGCTGCTCCTTAAAGAAAGATATCGCAGTTCAGAGTTCAGAGAACCGTGGAGATCCCGAAATCCCCGTAAATCCTCCACAGTCTGTCTTGAATGCGCTCCGCAGATCATCTCGGAAGAGCAAGTAAAGCTTTTGATCAGGCGGAAACCCGAACCCAAAGCTCTACCCTGGACACATTCCGCTGACGGTCAATCAGCCGCCTGGCCAAGCTGCGTTGTTTTTTGTGGTGTCGGTGTAGGCCACCTGCTGTACTGGCGAGATAGCTCATGACAGTTCCGACAACAAGTGGCCATCATAGCTCGTTGTACTTGGAATCTCCGCGTCGGGGGTGCTCAGGTATGCAGGCTATTTGCCTTTCATCAGGTGCCGAGAGTGGGCGACCCAGATACTTGTACCATTTCTCAAGCGGTCGCGACGTTCTGTGGCAAATTTGGCAGGATGGCTCTTCCAGGCATTTGTGCATTGCATGGCCGCCCACCTACGAAACACATTGAATGCTTGCAGACTTGCAATGATTGCAATGACTTGCAATGACTTGCACAATCGGCACCCGCAAAAATACCAAAGTGCACGTGGAGACCCGCAGTCGGCCGAGGCTCATTGGTTGGCGGTGGTGTTGCCTACTCTCTGAACAATCCAGTGCGGTTCGCAGATAGCAAGGCCCCGTTCTGCCTCATACACCGTCATGATTCCGCAGTAGGGACGTGAAGCAAAGAGCCTGAGTACGCTAGGCTTCGGCATGCTTTGGAAACTTGAGCCTGACGCTGAGAGCAAGTATTTTACAGTTTTGGAGGGTCCACAGCCCACACTCATCACTGACTCATCGCTCAGCAACGTTTGGCAAGGTCGTGGGGCTGTTCCTGGTATGGTGCTGTCGTCCAACATCCCACAGGCACTTAAGGCACATTTCCGAGCTTGGACCAGGGGCTCGTGATCGGAAGGCACTTGGGCTACATGGTGCTTTAGACATCTACCTCACGGACAACACCTACAGCACCTATGCATGCGTCAAAGCCGGATATCTGCACGGTGTCCAGGCTGGGCAGCGTGTTGCACAGCGTCGGGGATTCATGTTTGCAACGCAGGAGTAATCAGTCAATCAGTACCAACAAAGCCAGCATGACCCAATTCCACGACCGACTCAAGGGCAGCATTGCTGCGGTCAAGCAGGAGGCGCTTAAGCAGGCGTGAGGGAGGAACGGGGGATTGAAGCGCATGCCATCATCCGCAGCGCAGCTGCACGGAGAAGGGCATCCACTCTTCAGATGCTGTGAGGCCAGGCGACTTGGACAATCTCCCTTCGGCATGCGTATCGTAGGCCCGTCTTGTCTGAGCTTCAGCATCTCTAGCAAGCAGCAAGCACACGAGGGCATGGGGGGGGGGGCATTGGGATTGCGACCGGCAGGCATCAAGCCCGAGCTGGATGTGGAACGCTTCGGTTTGGAGGCCATAGTGAAAACTTATGTTGCCATGAGCTATCCGGGAATCCCCCCCACTGTGACAGGCATGGGCCATTGATCTAGGAGCTCGAACAGAAGGAGTCTTCCGGCACAGCTCTCAGAGGAAGCAAGTCGTTTCAGACCCTGTTGCGGTGTCGACATCCCTGCACAACTCAGGAACGTGGGCGGAAAGAGCCCCAAGGAGCTGGAAGCTGAGGCAAAAGCCAAGGACATGCACTTTGATGCAGTAGGAAAAACAGGATAAGGAATGCGAGAAGGGCCGGCCACGTTCCCTGGCACATGGCTGCGATCTTGCCCAAAAGAAGCAGGAGCAGGAAGAAAAGGCGAAAGCCGAACCGAAGCAGGAGGACTTGCACTGCGCGCTCTGGCGTTCGGCACGTCTTTGAATCACATGTCGTTGGCAGCTTGCTTTCAGCAGGACTGGAACGAATGGCGTAGGAGGCCCGCGTTGAGAAGGGCTGCTGACCCATTCCATTCATTCAAGCTGTCGCGTTTCTGTAGTTGTCGTTGGTGACTTACAACATTCCGTCTTACTCAGCTTTACTCTCCACACAATCCTGGCAGCGACCTTTCTCACTGCTTTCATGGCGTTGGTGAAGTGGCTTGTGATGTATAGCTCTTGAACCTCGTGGTCCCAGAGTTTAGCGTCGATGGTGGACCCTATCCATTTTCGTGTAAGGTCGTGTCACGGCTTTGTTTTTTGTGGGAAGTTCACTCAGCGAGAGAACAGTGAAGTTTGACATAGTTTGACTCCAGCATTGTTATGTGAAGCAAAAGAAGTCATTCCTGCCCTGCTGCCACTAGGCAGATCCAGCCAAAGAAGCGCCCGAAGCGACGCGCCCGCCGCCCTGCAGCAGCAGGCGCATTGCTGAGACAAGGTAGAGGAGTCACCCGTGCGTTGATGGCGGCTCTCATTGTAGGCATTGCGCCCTTCATTTACACATGCAAGAAATGCTGTCAGGCTGAGTGGACGCTGAGACGCCTGAGGTTGCATGGCACGTGCATCTCCAACGCCTTTTGGCGTTCTGCACGTCTGTCTGTAGTTAGCCTCAGAACCTGCTTCCATGTCTTTTCAGCATGTAAGCTAAACGCGATTAAACGCTCCCTTGTTTTGCACCCCACGCCTCCCCAAGCCTAAGCCTCCAAGGCCTCTTCCGATCAGCGCTTGTTGCCTTAGTTGCCTTCTGTGTTCCGGAGTTACTGGTGTGACCGCGCAAGGGGACGAAAATAATCTGCATCACTCTTCGGAAATCTGAACATGATAACCTTCTGTGCCCTCCTTTCACGCCGCAAGAACAGAATGCAACGCTACGCCAGTGTTGAGCGCACATGCTGCCCTCAAAGCATTCTCTTGGAGTTTCGTTGAGCCAGAGATGAGCCGATACATGTTTTGGCAGTAGTCACTCAGTAGCTATCATCATTGCATGCCTTTTTTGCAAAGGCAACTGGACTACGGCATGTCACACGTCAGCGCTGCAGCAATCACTGAGCTAGTCAGCTAGTCACGAAGCACACGCCGCTGAATGCCCTGGGCTGGCATGTGATACCTGATACTAAGTGGGCCCAGAGATGGAGGAAAAGGCCAGTATGTCGAAATGTGACTCGTGCAGATTTGAGAGGAGAGATCGAAGCATATTTGGCAGGTTGAGCCTACCCCACATTTCAACTGCGACTTCGAGGACTGTCTGTGGAGAGCCCTCTTCCGTCCTCCCACTCTCCCCCGCTTACCTCCTTACCCCCTTCCCCCCTTCTTCCCACTATTCCCTTCGTGTGGACTAGTGTCGTGGCTGCGGCAAACCCAAGACCACTCAAGTTAGGCTGCTGCCACTCATGCGGCAGTCCTGTGAATGTGGTTATCGGCACTGACTACCGCAAAGACACGAAGTAGGAGCCGGAAACCCGTCATTGCTGGCAGGAGTTGCCCGACGGAAACTTCATTTGGCATGCCTCGCTTGTGCTGCTGCACTATTTGCAGGCGCGGCAATGTTCGCCCTTGAAGTATTCGCGAAGTGGCTCTTGAAGTTATCGAGCTTGTCAGGCGCCAGAGCGGGCGAGGCAGCTGCGTGGCAGGCTGGTCTTCTGGGTGTTGCCATGGACAAGTTGAGTCATTGAGAATCAGTTCGACGCTTTTGAGATCGAGCACAGCTGCGCGTTGACAGCGTTTAAAACCTGGGAGCCGACATATGGCCTCGCCAATTGTAAGCGCCGTCCAACATGAAGCCATCAAGGGATGGCCAAGCAGCGTTGTTGAAGGCCTGAGTAAATCCAGCAGATGCGGCAGGTTCCTTCCTCCAATGTTCCTGCAGTTCCGGTCACCTCTTGTGTGTGTGTGTGTCGTAACATTTATCTAGAGTGAACTCATGTGGGGTTCATGCAGGCTCTGCCTTGAAGTCTTCACCTCTGAAACATCAAGTGACCAGAGGGAGGATTGCATGAGTGTGTGCGTGTGCGTGTGTGTGCGTGTGTCGCCACCAGACCAATGCCCAGGCCAGCTTGTACTGGCGTGCCTCCTGTGTTTAACCCAGCCGCACGTACCAGCAACCGGATGGCTTGTTCCTCCACCTGCTTGGTGAAATCAGCAACCTCGCGTCCCGCCAGCTCCTTCAGAAGCTGCGGAGAAGTGGCTCATAGTGGCTCCTCCAAAGGCTACAACTTTCAAATCTCCCACAGGGTTCGTCCGCAGTGCAACTCCTCCAATCCTGCCATCCTGCTCACAGCGAAGTCTGCTGAGTCTGGTGAAGTCTACTGAAGAGAAGTTGGTGGGGCTCTGGCTTCCTAGCGCTGCCAGTTACCCGAGTTCGCTCAGCACTCTTCAGCACTTCAGGATTTGTCGTTGTTTATGTAGTGTAGGGGCTCTGTCATCACGTCTTATTTTTTGTGTCAAATAGACGTGCTGGCAAAACAGACCTTCGAGTCTCGGAGATCGCCTTCAAGCATCTTGAAGAGCCTTGCAGAGGCGAGTTCTGGAACTCGGAAGCGGCCTCGGACACCTGGGGCACGGCCTGGCCAGGCCTTTTTTCACCTTTTTTTTGGCTTTGCAGAGAATTATGAGCCGTTTTGGGAGCTTCGGAATTTTGAGAGTTGAGGGGCGGAGGGGTAGCGCACTTCTGGGAGGATCTTGTCCTACAGGCTCATCTATCATCATCTAGCCCCATATCTGATCCCGTACGTGTAGTTTTTCAAGCGCCCTTGCCTCGCGGAGCCTGTGAAGGGACGCTTGAAGAGGTTTACCGTGTGAGGTCGATCTATAGAGGAATCGCATGCCGCACCGCAGCCGTTCTCAGCTGCGACACCTCTGGCTGCCTTTCTCGGATCCCTCCGATCCTGAACATGGCCAGGGCTTCCCCTCCCAGGCCATGCCCTGAGACTCCGACGCGCTTTGAAGCTACTCAGGGTCTCTTCCCTCACACTGTCTCACTATTCATGGGGATGCAGATTGGTGCACCATGCCATATGGTGGGACCTTTCGATGATACTTGATGCAATGGTGACCGCTGCAGGAAGCGTCAAACATTGTTGAACATGCCCTGTTCTCACCTGAGTCCGGAAGCCGTGCTGCGTGAGCGCAAGGATGCACCTGAGGACCAGCAATGCCTTGAGTAGTCTAAGTGCCTTCGAGCCACTGCTTCAAAACATGCGCATGTTCACACGGTTCAGTGCAGGATGCTTCAAAGATTGAAACGCCGGATGTGACACAGTCCGTGCTTGTTGCTCGGGGCTCAGCCGGAGTAGTATGTCGCTCATGATCGCTTCGACAGATGCATGACAGATGCTGTGGCACTTAAGGCTCCATCACCAGCTCGATGCCGCAAGCTTGAACCGTCCTTGCAGGCCTGATCGTTGAAGGGAAGGCTCTGGTTCCTGCTGTTCCTGTGCAGTGTTTTGGGCTTCAGGCTTGGGCTGCCTCCAAGGGTGCCGCTGCCCAGATCCCGAATGTGGCCGCATCCGAGGCAAGCTGTCACTTCGGGCGTGGTACTCGGAAGGATTCCAGAGCGAACCATTGCAGAACGTCCATCGGTTGACATACTAGTATAGGTGGTCTGAAATCCAGCTCTTGGGCAGACTGGTGTGCGTGTGCGTGCGTGTGCGTGCGTGATCGTGCGTGTGCGTGTGCGTGCGTGTGCGTGCGCGCATGTGTGCGTGCGTGCATGTGTGCGTGTGGTGCAATTTGGCGTTGTTGTGTCGTTTGGCAGGAGCGGGGTCGCACTGGCCTTAAGAGATGTCACTGTGGCCGTTCAACCGTTTTAGATTCTGAGTTCTTGGATGCTCTTGGCAGCTACTCAGTAGACTGGTTGACTCCCGGCACCCTGAAATCAAGGCGAACGCTACTCACGCCATGACTGGATGGGATCGCTGCGGCAGGAGACGCAAGGATCGTCAAGGGCCCAGCTTGCCTCCAACCAGCTGCAGCAGCGCATGTTGCCCACACTCTGTGGACATTGCGCTGTGCAACTGAATTCTGCTCTGCTGAGGCAAATTTGGGGAAAGCAGTTTCAGCCCACAGCTTGGCCCTTGGATCGTCATAACTCTCTGCATTTTAATTCTTTTGGTTGCGAGAGAGGGAGTGACATAGCAAAAGCACAGCCAAGCTCATCACAGTTCAAATGACTGAAGCTTCGGACACATGCACGGTCGTATGCTATGCCAGATGCCTTGTCCAGCCTTGCTCATCTTTGAGCACATGCGTGAAGGGCGATATCGCATGACACTTATGCCCTCAAAACCAGCATTTTTGTGGCCCCGATAGCGATTCGGCTTCTGCCCAGTCGCCACCTGGCAGCTTGTGATGGCTCTTGGGTATCTTCCAGCTCGTGGTTTTTGTAGGTCTACAGTACATGTCCAGATCAGGGAGATGTCCATTTGTTGTGGAGCTGAGGTTCTGGTCATGTCCCTTTTTAGCCAACTGACGGATGCCCTGACTATGTGCACCCGGCCGGACGTTCGGCCTGTCCGCACGGCTGCAGACCCTTCGCTGGAGCCCGAGGAAGCCCTCCGCCTTCTTCAGGCCGGGGGCTTAAAAAAAATTGACCTGTTGGACAATTATTTACTTCGATCACCCCCACCCTACAGCTACCTGATGTGGGAGCCATCTTGCCGTTTTCAATCAGGGACTTTACGGCTACTAGGCCTCAGGCCTCCGTCGCATGACGCTGCTCTGAGGGCGGGCGCTCCAGGGATACTCGGCGTCGCTCTGCGGGCCTGGCACTCCAAGCATACTCGGAGGACTCTCTGCGTCTCTGGGGGCGGGCACTCAAGCGACACTCAGCGAAACTCTTTGCCGGGTTCTCTGGTGGCACTCCAGGGATACTCGGCGGGACCCCTGGAGGCAATCCAGGAACACTCGGCAGGACTCTATACGGGCTTCTCTGGGAGGTGGGCACTCGATTTTTTGCGGGCTTCTCCCCCAAAAACTCGGCGGACTCCTGCGGGCTTCTGGAACCATTCAAGGCATACTCGACGGGATTCTCTGCGAGCTTCTGAAGGTGGGCGACAGGGCGGGAGGACTAAAAGTGGGGTGGGGAGCTAGGTTGTCCATCGGAGCGACGAGCTCGCCTGTCTGCAAACAAAGGTTACTCGTAGCAGATTCAAGAACCAACAGCATAGCCGTTTTCGGTCATTCCGGATTGTGCGTCGCTTCCTATTTTGCACGGCGAATGCATCGTTGATTGGGGCCTAAGTGCTGTCAGAAGCTGTAATATAGCAGCCATAGATATTGTTGCTATCAGGACGGCAACCGACGTTTCGTGGACGGACGGCCGCTAGCCAACCGCACGAACAACGTGGTGCGCAAAGAGCTGGTGGAGCTTGGCCAGGCACCCCATACAGCCATCATCGGCTGTGCCGATGCAAGGGCACCCCTGGAGACTATCTTCGACACGATGCCAGGCCCACAAGCAACTAGCAGCTGCACTCACCGTCGAGCACCCACACATTCGGACACATACCATCACATACGAATCCTCCGATTCCCATTTCGTAGTGATCAGCATCTTCACGAGTGCTGAGTAGGCCGAACCAGTTCTCGCTTTGTGGCAGGTGACATCTTCGTGCTGCGCAACGCCGGCAACACCTGCACCCATGCGGAGGGAAGCATGGTAGGCAGCCTGGAGTTCTGCACAGGGAGCTTGGGAAGCCGCTTGATACTTGTTTTGGGTCACACAAAGTGTGGCGCCATATATGGGGCCACGCAGGCCTTCCTTGCCCAAACAACGTCAGCACCCAAGAAAGCGGGCTCGGCGCTCCAGGGGCTTCTACAGGACCTGCGCGCAGTTGCCCAGCAGGCACAGGAGGAAGTGGGTCCCGCCGCCGATGCGGATACTGTCGCGGCACATGCCGTCAGGGTCAATGTGTTCCACACTGTGAACTTTCTGCTCAAGTTCAGTCAGTCGATTCGTGAAGGCGTACGCAGTGGAAAGATCCAGATACATGGAGGGATCTATAACCTGGAAACGGGCAGCGTGGAGTTCTTGGGCGAGAGTCCTCAGCAGGCCGCGCTGCTTGAGTCTAGCTCGCCCGTCCCACCTTCAATTGCTGCAGGCCAGGAGGCCGACCGTGGCGTGCACGGTGTCCGCACTGGGGCCGACGTCGATATCAAGTCCGATGCCGCGTTGAGGTTGCTCAAAGAGGGCAATGAGCGCTTCGCCGTCGGAGCACCCACAGCGGTGACCACCTCCAAGGACATGCGTCGGGCCCTGGTGAAGTGTGGACAGGCCCCCCATAGCGCCATCGTGGGCTGCGCCGACTCGCGAGTTCCAGTCGGTACTATTTTCGACGCAATGCCTGGAGACCTGTTCGTGCTGCGCAATGCAGGCAACACCTGCACGCATGCCGAGGGCAGCATCGTCGGCAGCCTGGAGTTCTGCACCGGCAAGCTGGGCACCAAACTGGTGCTCGTGTTGGGGCACACCCAGTGCGGCGCAGTGGCCGGGGCGACACGGACATACCGTTCCGGTGCAAAGGACAAGGCGCCGGGCAGCGCCCTCGAGAGTTTGCTGCAGGGTCTGGCCAGCGTCGCTCAGCAGGCCAATGAGGACTTAGGTCCGAGTGCCGAGGAGGCTGCAGTTGCGGCCCACGCCGTGAAGGTCAACGTCTTCCACTCCATGAACTTCCTCCTCAAGTTTTCCGAGCCACTGCGTGAGCTGGTGCGCGAGGGCAACTTGGACATCCAGGGAGGCATCTACCACCTGGAGACGGGCCGAGTAGAGTTCCTGGGCCGTTCGCCTCGACAAGCGGAGCTGCTGTCCTCCAAGCGCTGCGTACCACCCTCCATCACTGCCGGCGTGGTCCGCACCGCCAAAAGTGGCCCAGTGCTGCCATCGGATGCCCTAGCCATGCTGCGGGATGGCAACGAGCGCTTCGCTGTGGGCGCCCCCGTCGCCGGCAAGGTGTACCAGAGCATGCGCGAGGCCCTGGCCACCGCTGGCCAGGCCCCGCACACAGCGGTGGTCGGCTGTTCCGATTCGCGCGTGCCGCTTGAAACCGTCTTCGATGCGCTGCCTGGCGACCTCTTTGTGCTGCGCAATGCTGGAAACACCTGCACACACGCGGAGGGGAGTGTGCTCGGCAGTTTAGAGTTCTGCACCGGAGCACTGAACACCCGATTGATCTTCGTGCTGGGCCACACGAACTGCGGTGCAATCAAGGGAGCCACAAAGGTCTTCTTCGAGTCAAAAAAATCCCGTGGTGCGAAGGACTCTTCAACTCGTTTCACCCCTCCGTGCGTCGTGACGCATAACTTTGAGAGTTGGGGCAGCATGGTGCAATTGCGAGAGCGTGATGCTGCATGTTCCCCTGCAGGATGGCCATGCTTTGGAGTCGCTACTCCAGGGCCTCAGCTCCGTGGCTGAGAGTGCTGCTGCCGAGCTGGGACGCAAGGCACTCTTAGTATGGGGGCCATGGCTGACAGGCTGTCCAAGTAGCAGCAAGAGGAGAGTGCAGGGCAGGGAGCGGGTGTTGCATGGGATGCGTGCGCCACTGTGAGCCTCAAATCGTTGTCCGGCTTTGCAGGCCACAGAAGAAGACATTGCCAACCACGCGGTGAAGCTGAACGTCTTCCGCACCATGAACTTCATGATTCAGCAACTTGGTCAGATCGCTCGAATTTCCCTCGCCATGTGTCGAACTTGACATTGAGCTCACAAGCACGGCTAGATTCTCTAGGCAGCATGCGCCTGCAAGGCACAGCGAGCCCATTCGCCAGAAGGCAGGGGTGGTAACGCTTCGGGGCCCTAAGCCCTGAGCCCTAAGCACTAGTGATGGACTGCAAAGGTAAAGAGTGGCGATTTGGAGATCCATGGTGGCATCTACGACTTGGGCAGTGGCCGTGTGCAGCATCTCGGACACGAGTGCCAGCTTGAGGCTAAATAATGGTGAGCGAGCGTAGATTCGTAGATAGGCCCAGTGCAGTGTTAGCCCGTGGGCGAGCATCTCCACGCCAACGTCAAGGCTTGTGCTCTGAGGTTTCTGGGCCAAACTGCAGAGCACACCAAGATGATCTCCCCGAAGCAGAGGCTCCTGGGCGCCTAAGCGCCTCAGACGCCTAACGCTGACGAGAAAAGTTTTCCCAAGCTCCCACCTGTGGAGCTTTGCAGGCCCACGCTTGCACGATTTAAGACAACTGTTTGCTGCATCTTTTGCTTTGTTCAAAGAAACTGTTTACATTGACATGTTTACTGTTTACTAATTTTTACATGCTGCACAGCTTTTTTCTGTGTGGCTCCAGGCGCCGGAGCGAAGCTCGGCACTGCACAAGGTTGCATGCTGGCGTCACAATTCGAAGGTTTTTTGCATTTTTCGTGGTAATTAATATGCACATGCAGGAGACATGTGTGCACATGTGCCCCGTCAGTAGTCTCCTGCAAGCAGCTGCGGCCACGCGGCAGATTGAACAGATGGAGCATGCGAGAAGTTTCCGAGATTCTGATTTGCCTACGAAGAAAGAGAAGCATCGACGAAGCGAACGCGGCAGCAGTACGACAGCACAACGCTAATTTACTGTGACCGCCGCTACATGATGCATGCCAGACTTAGCATGTCTCGGGAGCACCAGGTACCTCGAGGACCACACCTGCGAACGGAAGATCGTTCCAGGCATCGCTCAGATAGAGGACAGTCCATGATGCCTCTCCACCAATTTCTCCGAAAACACCCTTTGCCACTGTAATGTTCGACGTGTTCGAACTGTTGCCACTGCTTGCAGTCACATGACTGATCTTGAGTACCGGCCGCCTGAAGCGACACATTTCAAAAGGTCTCGCTCCCGCAGCTGCTCTTCCTCACGGGAGTGGACGCCGCAGAACACCCCCACCAGGCCAGAGACTGAGGTCACTTTTTGCAAGACAGCACTTCGACAAAGCAGAGGCGTTCGCTCTCACGTTCCATGACTCCTGGACGCGGTATGCCACCCAAAGAGCAGGCACAGGTCCCAGAGTGGCTTGATGCTGTGAGCAGACTCCACGCCGCCCACCCCTGCCAAAGGAAGCTGTCGATCAGTACTTGAATCGAATGGCGTCAGGACCTCGCAACCCGCCACTGACAACTGTCATCAGATGTCAACTGCTTCGTGCCCTTTTTCTGTCTACTTGAGGTTGGCTCGACTGGATTCGCCCCTGCGCAAGATCGCTTTTGGATCGGGCACGCCTCGAGTGGCCAGAACCCCGGTGCACTCCATATTAGGGTTTTGCGTTGTTTGGTGAGTGTGGAAACGGTTCCTTATCAGGTAATGACGGCGTATTTTTGAACTTCGGGTGTCCTTTTGGTGCATTAGCAATCAAAATTTTAGGCTGCTACTTCATATGTCGAATCGCTGAAAGATTGTTCCTGTGAGCGGCAGAACGATGCGTTCGTATCTGCAATTTCCGCGCGACAGTACAGTTGACAGCCAGGCTGCTTCTCCGGCAAGATCCGCATCTGGCAGTTCCCATACCGGCTCAGAGTACAGCCGTGAGTCCAGGCGAGTCCGTGAATGCGCGCAGAGATCTGCTGACCATGGAGAGAGCACATCCCGTGATCGGCCAGGCTGTCGCATCTCTCCCGGCCTCGCAGTCTTTCCAAGGACCAGCTCAGCACCGAGGACACAGGTTTTGTAGATTGCTGTGTCCCTGAAGGCGGAGCCTTGCGTTCACATCGTTGCTCCTTGCGCTCTCTTGCACTCTCTTGCGTTCCTTGCGTCAGGACATGGAGTGCATGAGGGCAGCGGAGGAGAGGCGTGCTCTGAGGACCGCTGTGGCGAGAGCTGCGAGAACCTCTTCATTGTCTTGTGCTGGCCTGGCCCTTTAAAAACATCTTTCAAGCAGAGGAAGCAGCTGCGCCGCAATCGCCGCAAGTACAAGGAGGCAGCTGGAGTGTTGGAATGCCATGCATGCCTTGACCGTCCAAGCTGGTCTGACACAGCAAAGGACGGGCTCACGATGTTTACGGTACGATGGCTATATTGATGTCTCGAGGCCCTGCTGGGCGGTAACATCGCGGAGCGTTGCACGGAACGGGTCCTCACAACACCCATCGACGGGCACCTAGCGGCTCTGATCCAGAAGCACAGATAGGCATGATGATCAGCACAAAGAGTCACAAGGGGGGTGCAAAGTAGACACAAAGAGGAGTCTATCGTGCTTGAATTATGTGCTCTCCCCAAGGCCCCCGAGCTGCAGACCTCCTTTCGCGGAGCTCGACTTCGAAGCACTTCCTGGCATGGCACGCACCCTGTGGCCGTTTTGAACGATGTTGACATGTTTTGAGTGAAGTGCGACCTTGAAGGCGTCCCTCAGACTGGGCCTCGAATGCTGAGGCACGGAGCAGCGCGACTGCATGAGCACTGCCGCAGGACCAGACTTCCTCGAGCTTGGGTCGGGTTGACAGATGGAATCTGCGCATATAAAGCTTGTGCCTGCCAAATGAAGTGTCTCAAAATCTGTAGTCCCACATTCGCCAGCAGGGGATCCAAAGTGTTCTGTTACATGCAATCTACCCTTTGTTCACACCGGCCAGGAGCTGACTCGCGCGTTCACCTGAAGAAGCATCCCAATCCGCGAGAGCAGGCCTCTTGCATGCACAAGATGCGCAATTCGCCACATGCAACACATGCATCAAATGCTGGTCATCAGGATTCTGCTCTGTTCTTGCCTTGGCATATCTCCGTGTCCCTTACTAACCGGTGGACCCGTGAACACATCAACACTCACAACAGAAGCCAAGCAGGATCCATAAACTCTGCATGTCGGAGTTCAAACTTGTTTGCATTCAGGCGGCTATCGAGCGCCATCTCGAGCAGCGCTTCGCAGCTTTACTTCTGGACTCGAGCTCAGAGCATTCGCAACGTTCGCCAGAGCATGCCCGAGCCTTTTGTTGCAGAGCACTCCGCAACAATGCTTTAACGACTTCTGAATGTCAGTATCAGTAACGCAATGCAGCGTACGGCAGCGTGCTTTCACGTACCGCGCACTGTGCCGCAAGATGTTCGCCTCAGGCAAATCCCCCTCCAGTCAAGGACGCCGCGGCAAAGGAGACCCCACACGTGCCTTCGGGGCCCACCCGAAAGCCCGAGCAGGCCAGGCGGACCAGGACTTCCGCATATGCATGCAACTCTATGCAGTATGCAAGAGCTATGACCGGCCAGGTCATCACAGTTCCGGAGGGAGTTGAACCTGACACATGGGTCGCATCGGCGGCATCGCCTGAGGACAAGCTTCTTGTCGCTACAGACTTAATGGTCCTAATGGTTCCACACCCCTTCCTGGCAGCATCTGAAACAGGAGAGAGCTGAGCGTGCGCGTGCCGTGGCTCTCGCCAGGCATTGGACACCAACCCTGAGACTCTGTCAGCGCAATTTTACGTGTGTGCATGGGCCTGTTCGCCCCGAGTCTTGACACCAGGCGCGACACAGAATGGCAGGAGCAACGCACGCAGCTCTGCGTATTTAGGCCTGGAGTCATCGTGCGTCGCAGGCCACCCGGCAGTATCGAGCAGTGATCATGAAGTCAGGCCAAGCACTGGGCCCGAGCCCGCGACGAGTCCTGAGAAGGCCCTTCCGCCTTCGGCAATGAGCCTCACCTTCATCACTGTGACTTGTCTCAAGTGAAGGCTGTCGGAGATCTACGCTCGGCATTCATTGGCTCACCGTGCAGCCCGGAGAAGCAGGTGAGCGCATGTAAGCACCTGCTTGCCAGTGCTAGTGCTACCACGTACATAATCGCTTGTGCGATTCGGCTCACTACACGCCCTGTGCCGCAGGGCACTTCGGATGCATCCGACGATGGCAGACGTTCCTGAACGATGAACGCAGGTGATGGAGGCCGGTCAGCTGGATCCAGTTCTGCAAGGGCGGAGTCGGCAAAGGTTGGAAGGTGCTATCAGTTCGTTCAGGTCAACGACCGTCGCGAGCAAGTTGAGATGGTCACGACTTGATTCCCAGCTGCAGCATGAGCAAGCGGCCCGCACAATTCAGACCCAATTCGGTGCAAAACTATGCAATGCTTGGTCTTGTTTTCATAGTTGGACCATGCTTCTTGCCGCGCTCTTGGTGCTTGATGTTCCACATGAGAGTCATGAGATATGATTTCGTTCGCACGTACATAGTGCAGCCTGTTGGCAGAAGCAACTTCCGGGGAGCTTGGCGCAACCCATCCCATCTGACTCAATGCTCCCATGTCTGCAAGCGGGAGAAAGGAAGTGCGACGCTTGCACAGGCGCAACTCTGCGAACCTGAAGCACCAACTAAACCCGCGTCGAACCAGCAGATAAAAGCGGGCCTTCACTGCAAAACATTGCGCGGAGTCCATGGCAGGCTTGGCGCACACGTGACCTGCACTGATCAAGCCAAGATCGTTCCCGTGTTGGAGGCTCCGCACGAGACCAGAGCAACATGTGACGTCACGTTGCCGTTATGCTTCTCATGCCAAAATACATGTAAACGGCGCATAGACGCTTCGCGTGCCCGCCTCGGCATCCCTCGGCCATTGGGCTCCCCAAGCAGGGGTCAAAACATCATTTTTTAGGGGGTGCTCATGATCGCAAGCAGTTCAATGAGTGCGATGCAATTTCCAAAGCTGTTCGATGTCAGGAAGCTCACTGAGCAGCCACAGATAGAAGCAAAATGTTGGCAAAAAACACAAACTTGTTGCGGCGACGATGCCAGACTAGAAAGAAGTGACAACAAAGCGCGTCCAACTTGAAACGAGAGCTGCATAGTTCTGCCAGGGCATATCTGCCCGTTACCTGCCTGGTGCCAGTCCCGGCACCTTTACGAGCAAAGCGGATGTTGAAGACTTCAGCACGAATCTCCGAATCGCCATCAGACCATTTCAAGCGGGGCTCCCCTGGGCATCAGCTCAGGATAGCTCGGCTAAACCGCAAACCCTATGCGCTTCGCCGCAGGAGTCGCTCTGCAACCTCGACAGGCAAGGCAAAGTGCATGAGATGCAGATAAGGGGAGAGGACTTCATGGGGGTTTACGAGATTTTAACGCTACGCGACCTGCCTCGGCCCGGCCCAGCTCATCCGCGTGAGCATGGTGCTTCCGTAGCGCCCAAGTCGCTGGACCCCAAGCAATAAGGGTTGGGTTTAGGGTTGAGGGTTGAGGGTTGAGGGTTTAGGGTTTAGGGTTTAGGGTTCCGGGTTGAGGGCTTAGGGCTCAAGGTTCACGGTTTGGGGTTTAGGGTTTTGGGGTTTTGGGTTTAGGGTTCAGGGTTCAAGGTTCAAGGTTGAGGGTTGAGACGGTTCGGCTTGGATTGGGTTCATAAAGTTGAGCCAGGCCCTCTCAAGCAAAGGGGGGGGGGGGGGCAGGGTCAGCGGGGGGGGCTTGGGGGGGGGGAGGGTGCGTTGGACGTTTAACGTCTATTCTGCGCGGCCACGAAGAGGAGACGGTCAACGGAGGAGGGTCGGACGGAATGGATTTTGACGGGAGGCCACGGACACGGTCAAGGGAGGGGGGTCGGAACATTTTTCTGGGAGAGGGGCGTGGCGTGGGGACCATGCATGGATGTGCGGTTGACAGACGGGTTCTGGGGGGCGAGGACAAAGAGGGGGGAGCGCGGACGGGGAGCGCGGACGGGGAGCGCGGACGGGGAGCTTGATGGAACCGGAATGCATGGCCCACCTTCAGGAAAGTCTTCTTCATCTTCGTCCTCGAAGTCTTCGTCCCTGTCTGCAAGAGATGTAGCGAAACCCGCCTATATCCGACACATGAGCAAAGGCGCACGTCATTTGAGGCATTTCCGTGGAGCGACCAAACATGTGAAGCCAAGGCTTCTACTTATTGCTCCGTTACGACTTGGGGCGGGGGCGTTACGACTTGGGGCGGGGGTCAGATTGGGGACGGGGGAGGAGGAAGGGGAGGGAGGGGAGGAGGGAGGGAGCGGGGGGCACCTGTCATCCCAATCAGCATGCCGCACAACTCCCACCGGGCAGCTCTCGTCCACCTCAGGGGAGTGGGGGACACGCAGAAACGACAAGGGGTTCAGCGTGCGATGTAGCTGGTTAAAGGGGTAGTCACCTTCCGCACCCTCCCAAACCTGCGCCACGCTCTCCGCGGCGCCCTCCGCGCCCTCCGCGCCCTCCCTCCGCGCCCCCGCTCAGGACACAGTGTGCTGATGCTAAGGGTGCATTGCGTCTATTCTGCGGGTGCGTTGCATCTATTCTGCGGGTGTTTCCTTTGTGAAGCATGTGTTTACAAGGCACGCACGTACAGCATAGCCTTTAAGTGTCCATCTTACGGGGGGGGAGGGGTGGGGGCCGGGGGGCAGGGGGGCGGGGGCAGGGAGTGGGGGCAGGCGAGGGGGAGGGGGTGGGGGGGGGGGGGGGGGGGGCAGGAGCGGGGGCAGGGGGGCAGGGGGGCAGGGGCAGGGGGGGGCAGGGGGGGGCAGGGGGCGGGGGGGGGCAGGGGGAGAGATCAACTGGTGCTGGCGAACCGTCGGCTTTCAGATTGTGGTCGCCCGCATGGGCGTTACCCTTTCCAGGCAAAAAAAGCCGACATCTGGCGGGTGTGGGGGGAGGATTTGGAGGGGGGTGCCTGTTGTCAACACCTTCGGCCCGAGGCCTCGGCGGAAGAGGGGTACTTATCGGGGTCCTTATGATAACGGGATCCTACTATTTGGGAGTCTATATTAGGGTCCCTTATGATCGAAAGCCCCCTCTCGTGAATGCTTCAGTGGCGCATCACATCTTCCCAGCTCAGGTCCCCCGGGAGCTTAAGCAGCTTTAACATGCTTGCAACACACGGCGCGCAATTCAGACAGGTTTTCTGTGTGCCCGAGCAGGGAGCACCATGCTCGTAGTCCAAATGCCCTGAGCTCTAATGGTATCCTTCGGATTCTTGGAGGCTTGGAATGTGTCCGGGTCCGTTTGCTAGTGAGCCCCAGGTTGTGTCAAGTCTGTTAAGTGGAGTATCTTACGGGCAAGCAGGGAACTCAGCCAGTTGCAATGCAAGTGAGGACCTCGAATTGCCTCGAATTCTTCCTCCTTGTAGGAATGCACACTGCTATTGACGCAGCTTGTCATGAGCCTTTAGAGCTCTCAGATCACTCCCAGCGGCTCTTTCAGACCTTCGCTCAGCTTGTATTGTATCATGTCCCTCTTGAAGGCAGCGGGGCCACCATGCGGAAGCGGGCGGCAGCCTTCGCGTTGTGTCACTGGCGTCTCAGCAAGAAACAGCCTCTTGATTTGCAAGGGCAATCTTTCAACATCTTCTCAGCTCAAAATTCGCAATGTAAGGACTGGGGCGAGGCCTGGGCAAGCTGCAAGGCTTAGGTGAAGACAGGCTGTTCAGTTTGTGGTTCTGCTTTATCGCACACAGCGTCCATAGAAACATGCCTCAGCGTCGCACAGGGGTACTGCCTTCATGACCCCTCCTGCAGGAAGGGTTTGCAGCCTCAGAATTCCAGAAGGAAGAGGCCAGAAGCTGTGCCATGTCAATGTTTCGAACCTGCCAGACTTAAGCTCCAGCATCGCATGGCAGCACGCAACTGCGCCCATTCATATCTATTCATGGTTTCTTGCCCTGCAGCCATTGGCACCTTATACGTGGACAATGGGACAAAGGGGCGCACGCTAGTCCTGCAAGGGTACAGATTCAGAGCAAGGAGGGAAAGCGCATGTATCGTGAGCAACGCCTGCTGGCACATGTTTGCATAAATCCGGCGTACTTGAAGCCCGCCAAGGACCAAGTACTGGTAGCTTGTAAGGCATGTCAAAAGCTTCCTCAGGAGCCTAGCAGAGATGTAGACGTCCATGGACTCCATGGACTCCATGGGCCTCCTCAACAGGTCTGAGGCGTCGTCGTCCTGCCCGCACGATCTCGAGGAGAAGACGTCAAACGGGCAGCTGGGATTCGAAAGCGACATGCAAAGCGACGGGACGCGGCCTTCTGAACAGTTGTATCACTCCCCGCGGGCACAGATGTTTCTCCCCGGTCTAGCATCACTGGCTTCGAAGGTACAGACTGACACCTTTTTGTGATCATGACGGAGATCACTCCAGTTGCATGGCTCAAAATCAGAAAATGTGAGCGGAGGCACATGCACGCGTGTTTGCTGCTACGTTGCACTAGAGTCACTAGAGTTTCCGCTTCCCCAACGCCCACACTCTCCGCGATGTGACTGTTTCCGAACGATGGGTATGCTGAGTTGAGGTGACATGAGTGATGACTCAACTTTCCGAGTGGACGAGGATGGCCTTCCGCACGTGCTAATGCACCAGAACACTGCCGAATGCTTCCATGCATGGGTCTTTGTGCAGCAGCTGCTGCTCCACATATTCATTCCCTTCAGTTCCTTGGCAGTAACTAGGCAGAGCTGAATGCACCTAGGTGATCAAATAAACAACTGGAGATTTGTTGTGGCGAAAGCATTTTTGAGCCGTGCTTAAGACATCGCTATTTTAAGTGATTGAGACGGCATCCATGCACGCGTCATCCATCACAACATCCATCACGACATCCATGACGACATCCATCCGTGCGTCAACGACAACGAAGAAGCTTCACGAAAACCACCTCCGCTGGAAGATGTTCGCCTGTGCGCTTCACGTCGCTGTAAACGTAAACCTTATTAGACTCTAAACATCTCTAAACCCTAAGTTCTAAAACCTAAACCCTAAACCTGCTCTCACGTGATTTAGTCGCGAACTGCACGCCAAGGAAGCACCACGAACTGCCACAACAGCAGCACCTTGCGCATGCGTATTCTGCACGAGATCCTTGGCAGCCGCGACTTCTGTAGAAGTCGCTGTAGAGCGTGACATGACATGCAAGCCAAACGATGTACAAACCGCCGGCGAGCACAACACGCCGAGAACGTCGCGACACCCCAAGAACACGCAGAATCGTTCGCAAGCCAAAATGCGAACGCCTCCCACGCACCAGCGTCGCGACACCCCAAGAACACGCAAAAGGTTGTCGCTTGCGGACGGACATGCGAAGGCGTCCCACGCGCCAGCGCGATTTTTTGGGTAGAAGCGGCGAGCTTTAAAACATATGAGGTTCATGAGGGGACCCACGAAATCCATCACGCCATCCATCCATCCGCTATCCATCACGAAAGCCATCCATGCATCATCGATGACGAAGAATCTTCCCGAAGACCACCTCCGCTGAAAAACCCTCGCCATGCTTTCGGGAAAAAACTGTCACAGCTTCGCAGCCCCTTTCGCGATGGCTCCCCCTACCATTCATGTGGAGGTGATTACCTACCAATAGCTGCTTTCGAGCTCCCACTCTGGAATCTCGGGAGGCATTCCTTTCTTCTTGATCATGGGGGAGGAGAAGACGCTTGCTAACACGCTTATTTGGCCGTGTCCGTGTGGAGCCGTGGCAATCTTCTGGAACCTAATCCCAACGATCGTCTACGCCAATGTTGTTCTTTTTGCAACTGGGCAGCTATCAAATTGAAGGTGAAGCTTGAAGGGTTGTTTAGGGCTTCGGTTTGCTTTGGCAGTCGTCCCTGGGAGGCACTCTATTACGAGAGTTTTGTGGAGAACGACATTGGCGTCGCCGAGGTCGTGCTCGTGCCCTGTCTTGCCATGATCACCCATCGCTCAATGATCGCTCTGCAACTCGACCGCAGTTTGCCAACACCCAAAGAATTTGTTGGCCACGTCAGCCCACTAAACTTGCTGGCGAGTTACAAGAAGCACCACCCAACATCGTGCGGACAAAGGAAGTACAGCGGGCTCTCCCCGGAGGAGTACGAACTCTGGCAAAATGCACCGAAGCGCATTGCAGCAAAGAGACTTGGTTCCTGTGTTCATCACTGATAGTCCTCGCCACAACCATCTGACTAAGGCTTTTTGAAGCAGGTGTGCACACGATCGAGCTTGGTTGAAGTAAGTTTCGCTCATCTGAGATGGACGGGTCAGATGCAGCTCATCTCCACATGGCTCCCCGTTCCAGATGACATTCTGTTGATGGAAATGGAGAAGGGTTCACATTTTCAAGGCGGACTTGCCTCCTGCCAAAAGATGTCAAAAGCATGTAAACGGAGAACAGATGAAATTGTATGTTTCAAACGCCTTGGGTGGAGTGAGAACCTGCGATTCATACAAGATTTCTCCTCCCTCCAACCCCGACTTGAGCCCTTGAAGTCTTGACCTGAAGGTGCTGACCTGCATCAGATATTCTTTGAGCAGGATGTGTGCCTTGTTGGCCACCGGATTGCTGAGCTGCAGCTTGCATGGCCTAAGCTCCTAAGCTGCTGAATTTTGAGGCAGGATGTGAGCAGCTGGAGATCTTGGCAGGTCTGGGACGAGATGCTTGGCACTTCCACTGGTCCAAGGAGTCCAAGGGTCTGTGCAATGTGACCGTCATCCGAGGATGCTAACGGGACATTGTACAAATTCAGAGCTGAGAAGTTCTTCATTGTGTCCGCGTCTCACTCGCGCGGCTCAGCAGAAGCAGCAAAGATTCAATCATCTGAAACAGTTTCGTCGTCAACCCTGCACCGAGCATTCCGCGCAAGGCCCTCTCCCGAGAGGTAAGTGTGAACTTCTCTCCGGGCATTCGGCGAGTGAGCCCTTGGCCTGAGATCATCAGCGCCAGGCTGCCTGAGTGCCTGAGTGCGGCACACTCTGTGCAGTGTGGCGTCTTCGGCGCTGAGAATCTGCCGTGATCGTGTAAGGTGCCCATCAGGTACTGCACATCCTGTACCGCCGCGCTGCTGACGAAATAAGGGAGCAACAGAAATTTATAGTTGCAGGCCGCTGTCTGGGAGGACGCTCGGCGCGTCCATTCCTAGAAAGTCATCTGTGGGTTCTCGTGGTTTTTGTCCCTGCCAGGTGTTTTTGCACTCTTCCCGGCCCTTTTCCCAATTGCCTGGCGCTGTGTGAAGTGCTACGGCCGCTTTGCAAGAGCTCATGAGACTCATGAGACACCGAGCCCATCTTGAAACCCTCAACATCCCCGAAGCCTGAGCCCCTCACCTGCTTGGTGGTTGGCATTGGTTGGCTAAATCCTGCATCACTTAAATGACACAGTTGAGGTGAGCTGGGTGATGAAGCCCATGTAGAGGACGTCCTGGGTGCCGGATTTGGCAAGCAGAGCCATGTTGCCGCTCATCCTGCTGGAAGACATGTCAGCACACGTGATCAAAAGCTCGTAAGCTATACTAAACACCCACATACAACATCATACAACAGTACTGGAGCTGAGGTATCCTACTGCGTGGTACAGGCCGCCCTTATGGCGTACGCACACGGCTCCGTGTCATCCGTCTTTGCAGCAGCCGCCTTGGAAACTGCGACAGGTTGTTTGCTGTCAGTGCCGTGGCTTCGCAGTGTTCTGTACGCCGTCTCCAGACCCCGAACTTTGAAGCCGCTCAGGTCATCGGGATTCTCCATTATCGGCGCATGCAAATGGTGATGGAGTCGGTGCGGCAGCTGACTCGGCGACTTCCGTGCCTGTACCCGAACTTGCCACAGGCGCCTTCTGGTTGTCGCAGCAGGTTGCAGCCAAGCGCAACCAGCTACCATGAATTGCATGCAGTATCAGGCTATTGGGCTATTGCTGCAGTTGGCAATGGTGCAGTTGAAGGGTACCTGTCCCATGTAGGCTGCTCGAGATAGGTGCCTGCGCAGGTGCAGCTTGCAGGCCCCACGGCAGAAGCAAACGTCCGGGCAGTGGTCGCCTGCTTCGAGGCACATGTGCAACATGCGCATGCGTTGTGAGAGAACCTGCTCCGACTGCAGCTTGCAACTGACAAACAAAACTGAAGCAAGAACAAACACTTTAACGTCAATCGACTTTGCGGCAACAGTGGCGCGATCCGAAGTCCTTAGCAACCCTTTTGTGTGTGTACCCTGTCACTCCCAAACCCTCAAGTGCAATGTTGCTTGACCCCCCAAAACAACTTCTTGGCATGTCTTGGAACTGCCGAAGCGCCCCGGTTGTTGCAGACTGTTCTTCGTTTGGGAAGCCGCTACCAGAGCCGCGTCGATCCTTGGACTGTTTGGATTCACCTGGTCGGCCTACTGCAGGGACATGAATAGCTAAATAGCCACCCTTGCGTGTCCGTGGCATCGAGTTTCAGGACTCTTATATCGGCACGCTGGCGCTGGCTTCGGCACTGGGACCCTTAGACGCATGTTGGATTCTACAATACTAGTTTAATACTATTACTATGCCAGCCCGTTGCACTGTAGGAACATGTTGAATCGAAGAGTTCCCGCAGTTGCTCCTGGCAAAGTAGATGAAATCGAGCTGGCTCAAAACTCCCTGCTGCAAGTCAAGGTCTTGGCTTTGTCCTCGTTGGAGTCATTGTAGGTGCGCGTTGACCTGCAGACGGCCATGGGGACACGAGGTTGTGCCACGTTTGTCTTTGCAGGCGCACATTCTCAGCTAAACGCCGGGATTTGCGTATGCCTTGTGGTCATTTGTGGTGTTACAGCAACTTGTCAGAATTCCTTTCTCTGGGAACTTCAGCCATCCTGGCACATGTTCGCATCTCCAGACATATCAATGAGGCAGCAGTGAATCGCATGATTCTTTGGGGCTCCTGGCTAAGCTTGTTCATTGCGGTTGGCTGGGAACATCCTAAGAGTCCTTCTAGAGCAGCATTCTTGCAACAAGGTCGCCTTGCTTCTTCGGCTGCATCCATTCTTGCAGCTCCAGTCTTGACAGATGGCGGGGTGATGCTGGCCCATTGCTCTGAACATCCCAAGGCCAATGAAAACTTCGGGAAACTTTCCGTCAACTTGTGTCGCGCGCGGTGGCACAATTCCGCAACACGACTTATTCTAAGGGAGTTGGAAGTGAGTTCGACACAACACCTACCGTCGAAGTGCTGCATTGACATGGATGCTAGTACTTGTTTGCAGGTGACCGGGGCCCCAGATTCTGAAGCAGCAGATCAGGCCAGTGAGCTTTTTGCTCGAGTCGAGGAACGTGTGCAAAAGATGTCAGAGCAAAGGTGATGAGCCTGGCTATGGAGAAACTGGCCCTCCTAGCAGAAACGGAACCGGCAGCACGGCCGCTTTGGCACTGCATGCTGGGTGACTCGTGGTCTGCTCGTGGCTTTCGACTCGAGGTGACCGTTGCCGCTTTGATCCCCACGGCTGATTTGGGGTATAGTGTTGTCTCTGTGGCGGCTCAACTACTTTGTTGGCCTGCTTCTGGATTCGAGTACACAGATGGAGGTGTTTCAACATCCGTTGGCTTCAGGCTAGGTCGACGTGTTGCTCAGGTGGGCACTTTCGTGCTGTACATCCTGGGCAAGTTGCTCCACGTCGAACTTCCTTTGTGACTGGGGGACGATCAGACTTTGCATGAGTTCCAACCTTAGCGTGCACCGTTGTGCCGAAAGACTCCTTCTCCAGCGCGAAACAGAGCGCTGCCTGTGTACAAAGTCCTGCACACCACCTGGCGCAAGCGCGCCAGGCCCTCGCTAGTTGACAATTCAGGGAGTCATTCAAAGTACGCGGTCAGACAAAGCTGTTCGTCGTGCATGCAGTAAGGCCGCTTCCCAGCATTCTCCTTGCTTGTTGTTGGACAGCAAATGGTACCCGGGAGGTTCACTACGATGTGATCATCTCGGCAGAGCTTGTGTATCTGGAGGAGCTCATGAAGCATGCCGCGATCATGGTGACAATCTGCTAAAGACCAGCATGAGCGGTAATTATGCTGACTGTGTCTTCGAGTCGCGAGAGGTCCGCAGAGAGTAGCTTGCAGAATGCGACGGCTCAATTCCTTGCGTGCCTGTGCCGCGAAGGTTCATCACATACGTCATGCCAAGAACCATCGAAGCAAATGAAGTGATCGCGTGAACCCAGGTCATGCACGAACAACATGAAGCACTCATCGGCCTTCTGGTCGGTCGGTTGAGTGCGCAGTGCTTAATGTGTGACTAGTCATACAAATTCATGTAAGCGTGATGAGTGATTAGTCGTTACAGTCTGGTTTTTGATATCAGCGCGCTTTCCAATTTTTTGGAAATCTGTGCTTAAGGAGGGTGAAAATTGGTTCTCCTTTTCTTGGATTGAGTACCAAAGGCCGTTTCTTTGTTCAAGAGGATACATGCACAGCCACTATAGGACTGTTCAAGCCTGATCTCCTGACAGTGGGATCATGCGACTTATCTCCTGAGTCCGATGGTTGGCATGGATGGCTGGGCCTTGCGGCGCGAAGTTCTTTGGAGAGGTAGATGCCAAGGTGGGCGAATGGCGAATTAGGCGAATTCTACAAGTCTCAAGGCAAGGCAGTGATGCTGCAAGGCCTCGGGCCATTGCTCACTTGGACCTGGACTGCTTCTACGTGCAGGACGGGAGGGGTTCCGCCCTGAATTGCTTCAAAAGGGAGACCAGCGCCAGGTGGAGCAGCGCCGCCTGAACCTGGGCCAGCCGCCATGGACTGCCAGGACGTCCGGCATACCACTTCTGAAGTCAACAGTGGGTGAACTGCCAGTGGGTGAACTCGGGTGTGCTGATAGCGCTGGACATTGAAGCTGTGTTGCCGGGCCAGGGCACCAGTAGCCCCCTGAAATCTACTTGCAAAGAATGCTAGTTGCGAGGCAGAAAGAGCCGCCCAAACAACCGCGAACAAGCTGTTCGCTCCAGGTTTTGAAGTGCCTGTCGGACTGTCAAGCACCGCCAACGGCCTGTAGAGAATGGCATTGATTGCCCCTCCTCCTTGCCACCCCCTGTCAACATCTGTCAACTTTCGCCTGCTCAAACAGCATCTCGTGCCGCTTGCAGGGATTCCCCCCCTGCCGCGGTCCAACAGCTCGAATCCCAGCGTGAATGTGCAAGTTGCAGGGTAAGGTAGCTGTGGGTAGTGCTGATGCGGGCGAGAATGAGTTTTGTGAAGGACTGTTGCAGTTAACTCAAGAGAACCCTGGAAGCCCCTGACCAAAGGTGGCCAGCATGTGCTAAGCATGCGGTGGTGGCAAATGGCAGGAACAGCACATGCTCAGGTGGGATGGCCTCATTGCGGTCAACTATGCCGCTCGCGCACATGGCGTCAAGCACACCACCCAGCAATTTTTTGGCACATGCACAGACTGCACAGATTCCCGAACACATCGAATACCCTTGCGCGGCTTACTGTGCATTCGATGTCCAAGGCGCGGCATGCGGGCAGCAGAGGCTTCGCATTTATGTCCTGGCATCGTCCTTGTTCATGTCGAGACGATCAGCGAGGGAGCCGAGGTCCGGGGCAAGGGGTTTGCTATGCTTGACACGGAAGAAGACTCGAGGAATAGCAGGAGGTACCCGCATGTAGCCGCTGGCACAGGAGATGATGGGCAATGCAGCAGACAGAGCAGCGCCTCGAACTCAACGAGCCAGAATCAAACGAGCGTTCGAGGGTGGCATATGTCCAACTTCATAGCTGTCATAGCTACCTCAGCATACATTCCCAGCAAACGGCCAGCAGAAGTTTCGATTAACTCGACTAGGCCAGATCGACGCACGCAAAAGGCTTGCCTTCGCAGATACCGTTGGATGCCTTAGCGGTAATTTCCCGAATGCAGTGCCCGGGGTCTAGAGGTAGAGTCTTTGGTCGGCTAAGTGAACAACAAGGTCAAGCATCTGACGAAGTCCTCGCTGTGGTCCAGAGGTCCGCGGCAAGGCCGGTTTCAGAGATGATTTGCAGCCGGCTTCACTGGGGCGACTTGGACTTTGGCGTGCGGAGACAGCTCAGCCGTGCTTTGCAACTTTGCGCATCATACCTCACAGAGCTGCGAGGGTACGCAATGTCAAGCAAGACCTCATCACTGTGACTCATCACTCGTCAAGGATTTTTCCCCACCCTCGGTGTGGGGTTGTTAGATTTTAAACTCTACTCTTCTCCTCGCCCCGAACTCTTCTCCTCGCCCGGAACTCTTCTCCTCACCCAGTCTACTCCTCGCTCATCGCTGGAGTGCCCAACCCCAAAGTGTCCCTGGAATGCCCAACTCTAGAGTGTTCTTGGAATGCCCAACCCCAGAGTCTCCCTGGAGAGTCTCCCTGGAGTGCCCAACCCCAGAGTGTCTCCGGAGTACAACCCGAGTGCCCAACCCCAGAATCTCCCTGGAGCGCCCAACCAAGGAAGGAAGCAAGGAAGCAAGGAAGCAAGGAAGCAAGGAAGCAAGGAAGCAAGGAAGCAAGGAAGCAAGGAAGCGAGGAAGCGAGGAAGCGAGGAAGCAAGGAAGCAAGGAAGCAAGGAAGCAAGGAAGCAAGGAAGCAAGGAAGCAAGGAAGCAAGGAAGCAAGGAAGCAAGGAAGCAAGGAAGCAAGGAAGCAAGGAAGGAAGGAAGCAAGGAAGCAAGGAAGCAAGGGAGCAAGGAAGCAAGGAAGCAAGGAAGCAAGGAAGCAAGGAAGCAAGGAAGCAAGGAAGGAAGCAAGGGAGCAAGGAAGCAAGGGAGGAAGGAAGGAAGCAAGGGAGCAAGGGAGCAAGGGAGCAAGGGAGCAAGGGAGCAAGGGAGCAAGGGAGCAAGGGAGCAAGGGAGCAAGGGAGCAAGGGAGCAAGGGAGCAAGGGAGCAAGGGAGCAAGGAAGCAAGGAAGCAAGCTTGCATTGCTTCAAAACGCGGGGGGGGGAGGGGTGAGAAGCGGCGGGGTTGCTTGCGTGATGGGTTTCAAAATTTCACATGCTTCGAAGCAAGCCTGCATGGCTTCAAAACGGGGGGGCGGGAGGGGGAGAAGTGGGGGGGGGTTGGGGGCAGCCCCCCCCCCCCCCATTTGCAAACAGAGTGCCTGCACGATGGGTTTCACTCTCGAACTCGATTCCGCAGCGGTCTGGTCTGACCTACTAGCTAGCTGTAGTTCATGACATATGTCACGGCCGCTCTGTGGCGGCGGCTAACAGCTTCGGGTATGGACAGCAAGAGACGTCCCGCAGGAACCGGAGTTCAACTAGACTGCAGGCAAAACGGTCTCAAGCGCAACAGAGCCTACCTGGACCTACCGTGAACAGGAAAGAAACGCGTGCTCACAAGCTCAAAAGGACGGTGTATGTACAGGGGTTACTATTCTACGGCCGGTCTCACAGTTCGCTCACTCACAGGGCTAAACAGTGTGGGCACACTTGTGCCGCAGATGTCCTGGGGCCGATGAGGGAGCGGCACCCCCGTGCTGATGGAACAACGCATGACTGCGTATGGTGGCATGGTTGAAAAAGGACGCGGTACACTAAAGAAGAAGAGCACAAAAACACTCAGGGAGAGTGTAGCTATCTCTTTTTCTCATCGCTCAAGACTCCTTAGCAGGGCGACCCGGGCATGAGATGCCGGTATCATGGCACTGTGGCCGAAAGGTCGGCTTCACATGTGCCTTCCCTGTACATAGGAACAGAGACAAAGGTTCAGACAGGGTTGCCAGCCTGTCCCCCCGTGCACCCGAGAGGGGGGGTGCACCCCCACTTTTGTGAGAAAAATAAGCTCTCATCGTCAGGCCGATCCGCCTTCCCCAGCAGGGGGCCTGCGGATACAGCCAAGCACATAACAGTTGGACTGGATTTCGGGGCTTAAGGTTTCAAGCCTTTCCGATGCGACACCGTCGTCCATGTACCAGGCATCTGTCCTGCCCGGTATCAAGCCAACGGTTCTGTAGTGCCCTGTGAGAACTGTTTCACCCAGATGCACAATGATGGAAATGAGGTCATAGGCAAGCCAATCACACGCTATGCTGCTTTCATTTCTGAAGATCGGCAGGTGGACACAGCGATTGTTGAATGTAATAGGCACACGGGTCTTCCTCGTGACACCATTGGTCGTGGTATATCTAGGTAGGACAAGGAAAATGTGAGTCGGAGCTGTGCATAGCGCATGCGGTTGGGCCTGCAGGTGCCAGTTAAGGATGAGGGTGTCCAGCTCCCCGTCTTGGATACCTCCAGGTGCTGCCAGAAGTAGCAATGGTGCAGCGGGCTCCCTGATTTCAGTAGTGCACCCCTCCTCAACCGCAACTCTAGCCTCCCAGTGAACGAGACTATCAGTCCAAGCAAGCTTAGGGATGATGAACTGTATGAATTCGCTCACGTCATGCTGTCTGTTGGGCTGCGCCCAGCCTAACATGTACATGCGGAGAAACATGGCTGCATCCCAGTGCGTTTTGGCAAGTGCCTTCTGCCAAGCATCAGGTATGCGGCTCCCCGGCCTGAGTTGTACTTGCCACAGGGTGGCAGTTATGACGGAGTTGATGTAGCAAGTGTTGCCGCTATTTTTAAGCTTGAGGCGAGAGACACTCGGCACACCAGCAGGTGGCCGTGCACTTCCTGCAGCGCTCAGATGTTTTCCAAGGCCTTTTGCAGTGCCATTGCCAGTCCGTGGCGTTGCTGGTTTGGCGGCTGCAGTTGCGCTCCCACCACATTCCACACCGCGCAGTTGGCCAACTGTCGCAGTTTCTGATGCAGGATGTTTGCTCTCGGATCTCGCATGGCTACTTCGATGAGGAACACTGCTTTGTCGCCTTCCTGGGGCTCTTGCTTGGGACGCCTTTGGGCGCAGAACCTGGTGACCAGATCCGGAAGACACAGCTCGGCGACCTGGTTGATGAGCTCCGTCGCCTCTTCCACCTTCAGGCTCTTGGCTGTCGCCGACGGCTCCACCTGTTTGGTGGCCGAGTTCCACTCCTGATACACGAAGCGCTTCTGCTGGTCGAGCCACTGATGCTTCATCGCATTCTCCACGGCCGTGGGATCTCCTACCATCAGTTGGACTCTTGCCACGACCTCTTTCAGCAGGAGGCCCAGCGCAACGATTCTCATCGGGGGGACGTTCTCTCCTTTCTTCTGTTTTTGTTGCCATTCCTGCCCCGCCTTGAAAAGCGGCAGCAATATGGTTCCTGGGCCTTGTTGCTGGAGGTGGAAAGTGAAGGATGTGTCCAGGCGTAGACGGTTCAGGGCGTCCTCCTGCTGCAACGACAGATTTGCCAGGAGCGTCACCACCGAGTTCAGGTTCTCGTCTGCAATTTGCCGCCGGCCTCCCCGCTGTCCTCGCCGGGCCGCTTTGGGTCGCTTGTTCGGTGCGTTCTCGGTCTCCCGGTCCATTTCTCTCGGCTGCTTCGAGGTCTCTCTCATGTTCGTCGCTAGCCCTGGTAGTAGGTTGCCGAAGACGCTCACCACTTCCGTCGTCATGTTCACAGTGTAGTCCTATCAGGGCACATTGGAAGATCACATTGCATTGGAAGTAATGTCTGGAGGGGGAGGACCTGTCACACCACGGGCAGGTGCCATTTCTGAGGAGTCGGGGCTTGACCTGTGCACATCGCTCCTCAAGTTTGCCGTTGGCGGTGACTGCCCACACGTCCTTGTGGGCCCTAACTATGTGTCTCTTTAGAGCCGTGGGATCTGCGATCCATCGCTTGCAAACACAGCAGTGTTGCTTGAGGGACGACACAACATCGGCATTTAGCAGACTTTTCCAGCCTTGTTGCCGAGCAGCATCAAGAACCAGCTTTTGGGCTATGGGAGGCGGCTCATTTGCAGTGGCCTCCTCTGGAGCTTTTGGATCGGTGCTAGTATCTGCTTCGGGGCCGACCGCGGCTCCCTGAGTACTGCATTCCGGATAAAGAACAGGGCAGTATCCTTTTTCAATATGTGCTTTAAGCCCAATCCATGCCCCGTATTTGAATTTACAGAAGGCACACTGGGGCAGACCGTTCAGTGCATGGTTTGCCGGATCAAAATTGAGCAGCTCTGGCTTGTCTTCTGGGTGCTTCCATGCCTTATGCTGTCGGAGGCTAGTGATAGTGCGAAATTGTTGACTGCAATGCGGACAGGTATAAGGGTCTGACTCCTTATCTTCAGGAAGCTGCTCACCTGCACTCATCGAATGGAGTGAGTTGATAGCCAGCGCGAGCTGCGCCCGGACCTGTGGAAGGGCCCTAATGTCGCTGGGGCACTCTGCTGCAATTTTCTCAGGCGCGTCATGCATTCTCTGGCCTTGGTGAGCGAGAGCATGCAGGGGGTCCTCAGCATTGAGATGCTTCTGGATCTGTTCATTGGACACTAGGGTAAGATGCGCCGGCTTTTTGGCAATAGCACGCATCTGTCTGGCAGCCATTGCTCGAAGATGCTTGCGTCCTGTGGGTCTAACACCCACCGCCAGTAGCCCGTGCGCTGCTGAGCTCCACACCCCGGCTCTCCAGATTTGGTACCTGGGGCGGTTGCGCGTTACGCGTCTGGAGTTGATGGCTTTGCGAAGCTGGCTATATTGACCCCTCGCCTTACGCATACGTAGCTGAACAGTTTTCTCCTGGGCATCTCTATAGGAAATGACGGTACCTAGGTACTGATGTGTTTTCCTGAGGGGGATCAGAATCTGCTCGCCGTGTTGCATGAAGGCAAGGTGTGGGAGTTTGTCCTTAAAGACCTTAAGTTTCTGCAAAATCCTAATTGCATCTGCTCCCTTGGCGTGACACAGCACGACCGATTTGGTTGCGCTGAGAGTCATACCGTGGTCGTTAAAGGTTTGCACGACTTTTTGGATGCCGCCAATGGCACCCTGAAGGTCTTCGGCGCTTTTTAACGTCCATGCAGCTAATGCGTCATCGGCGTAAAAAGTGAACAGCTGCGTTACCCAGTCCCAGCCTAGGCGCTCCGCTAGTGTGTCAATGATAGCAATTGTGTGTGCCACAAACAAATACGGCGCGACC